ATCGCGTAACGGATATGGCGTGAATATATATATGTAGGTATACTTAACTTCATGCTAACCAAAATCAAGTTACTTTACGATATGTAAAAAAAATGGAAAAAACCTTAACTACATTAGCTCAATATGGATTCCGACCGACATTATCTTTCCGGAGATAGTAATCGCTATGACTACACATAATTGCTTAGATTAACGCCAACAGAGATCCCAATGTGGCCTTCGATTCAACTACATATGACAAAATGTGATTTGTGCTAACCATAGCCAATTGGTATACCTTCCATATAAGAAGTTTTAAGAACCATTATCAACTCCGTGGACATGTGCTAACGGCGCTGAACATATTGGAATTCAACGTGGTTGGAGGTATTATTTTTCATTTTAACTTTCGTCCTTTTATGGTATATTAGTATATTGGCACTATTCTTATAGATGATAATAGAATGGTACACCCGCCAGACCTAACGGTTTATGCTTGCGGGGTACTAGTTGAAGATGAAAAGATGAGAATGAGGTCAGCTCAGTTAACCCACCGTGGTAAATTCGGCATGAATTCATCATGATGATTTCCAGAGGGAACTAGGTGAAGGTCAACCTGACATGGTACAGCGCTAGCAATGGTGTTATTAGACCACATTACTAATCCCCTTTCTCCCTATATTAGCCCTATTAGGCCACTAGTCCTTATTATTAACAGTCCCCTCACCCCACCCTACGTTAATTAAATTATAATTTATTTTTAGAATAGATAAGCTGTTAATATAAGAATAAAGTATTTTTATAGAACCATCAATTAGAGAGGGCTAGCACGTGATGAGCTCGTGAAAGGAACTTCGCATACATAACAGAGAAAGCTCTGATACACAGTTTATTATCTTAAAATTATTTTATAAAGAATCATTCTCCACAGATTATGATATATTGTGAAATATGTTATTTAATTCAATTACATTGGTAGGTAATTATAAAATGTACTAATAAAATAAAACATAATGTCAAAAATGTTATTTCAAAATTATACTTAATAAAATATTCTGTTCTATTCTATATGAATATATACATAAGCAATTAGGTATGGTAGTTATATATATATAAAGTAGTAACTACTGATGGATGCAGGTTTATATCATGATATGTAATTAATTAATTTAGCTTTATACGCCTAGTTTATACCTTTATTTGTATTTTGTATATAACTAAATATCATAGCGAGACTTATATACTATCTATACTTTTTATAACAATTGGTAATTTATGCAAAAGTTACTAAATACTATAAAATAGTGTATATTTATTGATATATGTATAATTAATAAGAAAATCATAATCAGGTTATTGTGCAATGTTTATATGATTTGAACATTTCTGTTAACTTCTTTACTTGCAACGAACAATTTGCATTAACGTTAAATTTATTTTTTAGCGGACGCTTGATGGCATTTCGAAATTGACACAGATAACTGCGTACCGATTTATTTGGCGCAACATCGTTTAGGATGTAACTTGAATAAAAACTCATTGAATCCATTGCATCCAGTATTGCGAAAACGAAATTGTGTGTGCAGAATTTACATAGCTTCATAAAATCCCATATGTACAGATCTTCTTAACTAAAGCCTAATATCGCTTGGCATCACAAAACATACATGCAAAACAAAATTTTATTAAATACAATAATACATAAAAGTAATTCTACGAATGAAGATAATACAAATATCACACTATAACACGTCATTTATATCTGATATTATAGATATACCTTTATAAACACCTTTATGACAACATGTAAGTATTTAACGATCAATTTATGTTATATTTGAATATTCTAGAAAAAAACTCGAACCCGAGTGCTACTCATCAGTAATAAAATCTATCTTAGTGTCTCTTTTATACATAAAAAATAACTTATAGTACACATTATAATTAAATCCTATGTTGCAATTTAGTGTAAATTAATTTTCTATAAATGTTTATACCATATACAGAAGTAATCACTGAAATAAAAACAATACCGTAACAAGAAATATTAGTTGAGAATGGCCTCAATAAAATAACTTAAACACAAAAGGTGATAAAATGTCGCTTAAATATGTTTGAAATTTTATTAATAACCATGTAAGATATATATATGTATGACACACTTTTCTTCTATACTTTAATGCTTAGGTAGTTAATACAGTCTTAAAATTTGTTGTTAAAATATTTTGCACTTATTTGAGATTTTTGCCATAGTGTCATAAAAATTGTTTAACCTCTTTTTTGTTAATACTTTTTATACATTTCAGAACTAGTCAAATAAAATCGATAAATTTAGGGAATGGGGATAATGGGATGTTAGGAATAGGGACAAGTGGTCCTATTACTGTCAATCTACCATGTCTGATTGAGTTTTACTCGTCCAGAAGCATAGTGACTGGTTGTATAATCTCTGGTGAATTTTCCACAATGTTCTAACTAAGATAACGTCATGGTAATCCTATCATCCTAAACTGTTACCCTTCCTAAGTATACCTTTAATCAGATAATAAAAAACATAAATTATATTAATAATAACTGTTATTTAATTGAAGTAATAATTTAGAACCATAGCTTCTATCTAAATAAGTGTTTTAATCGTAGGTTTATTATTTTATTATTCAAACAAATAACACTTACCTCAATATTATAACAAAAATCTTAATATTAGTGATCAAGTAATTATTGATGATTTTTTGCTCGTGCACAGATGTTATACAGAAAGTAAAAACTGTGCATTACTAATATACTAACTTAGACTAATTTTTATTCTAATAGCTCTTTTCATCTTCGTATATTATGCAAATTAAAAGGAATCTCAGCATATTCTGACGTCGTTTCGCTTATGCGGCATTAATATGAATGTGTTTTACTTTCTGAATAACATATGCACCAGAGCACTATCGCCCTGACGTCATACTTATTACGAATACAATACACACCTTTCTCCCGACAGTATACAACTCACATAAATTGACACTTGTTTTCTAATTGCTCGTTAGTAAAAAAAAATATTTCACAAATTTTATTAAAAGATAGGACTTTTATAAACAAAATTTTTATTAAACATAGGTTAAACTACATAAAAATATATAAAGTATATAATATTTTGAATATCTAAACTAATATTATAATTGCAATGTGTCTGTGTATCTGTCTATATTATATTTGGCCCTGTATTTTCTTTCTTTCTTGACTTTTTTCGTACTACTCTAATGCTGTTGGCTGCAGCTGGCCATTACAGCTTCGCCGGACGATAGAGGACGAGAGCAGATAGCACTCGCAACCCGCGAAAGGACTTATGGGGCGACTGAAGGCCAATTTCCGCCTGCCGGATACGATTTTAGTCTGAAGGCATCGCTAGGGAACCTCGGCTCAGGCCGTCGTAATTTCAATTCCCGTTTGAATTGGACGTGGATCGATCAGAGAGGCTCTTGCTTTGGCGTGAAGATAAATTATATCACAAGGATGGACATACTTTTCTTAACAAAAAAACAGATGACGTCGCGGATAATAGATAGTATTACCCGTGATCATGTATATCGTAGTAGTTTATATGATAAATCACAGCGGCAGCTAACAAAACAACCATTATTGGTCGAGTCTTACTTTAAAAGTGAATTCCTAATAATGCGATAATTGAAGACGAGAATGCAGTGAAGTAACTCATATTAACTAGATGTATCATTCCGCTTTCTTCGTCGTAATAATATATGTTTACGATTAAACTCATCTAGATCCGAGTTGCTTGTGAAAAGGTAACAAACAGACAGAAAGACGCACTTTCGAATTTATAATATTAGCATGTATATATGGATACTAGTGATCGTTCAGTGGTCGAAATTCGACCATAATTAATTTAAATTATAACTTTGAACATTATTAAGCTTTTAAGTTCAAAGATACGTATTAATACATATATAGATTACTTTGATTTGACAATTAACAATAAAGGCAAGGGACTCCTTTTAATAATATATTTTAGTTATTTTATTATATTTTTAAGGTTTTTAATTTTAGGTTCTTAGTTGTACAATTAAGTTATGTAAACATTATCATTACAACATATTATCTGTATTAATAATATTAACAATATTGACATTATTAGACATTCACGTTTTGTTATCAGTTATCAGTGTAGAGTTTTTTTTATTATTTTAATAATATAATTTAAAGAACATTTTATAAAAACAATAATATTCTGCAGTCCTTCTCTACGAGTATATAAACTATAAATGTGCTAAACTTCATCGTCCGTGCAATTTACTTATAAAGGGGCAAAGTTTTTGCCTCACGTACTAATGTAACGATGTTGAATTGTTGAAATTCGTATGACATTCGTATATGCATATATATATATACATGTGGATTTCAATAATTCAATTGAAATGTACGTCAACAAATTGACAACCGTATAAAATTAAATGATATAGCCATCAATGGTTCTAACTATACGATGATATGCAACAATTACATGAGATTGTCGACTTCTAATATATGATGAATTGTATGATCTGATGTCATAACCCACATAGTAATGCGGGTTATGACATACGGGAAATCAGTACATTTACTAAAAAAAGAGTCTTGTCTTCTTGGTCGAATAAATTATAGATAACTTTTCAAATTTATTCAATTTTATTTAGTCCAAGTATGTCGTATACTGTCGGATATTCTATATCCGGATATAGAACCCCGGTTCCAACTATTAATTTGAATAATGTGTCACATTTTTTCTGAATACAAAACTTTTAAGTGGCATCGTGATCGCCAGATTCTTACAAGTAACTTCCAATTAGGTAACATTCGTCTTGTAAATGAGGTACCTAAATTGAAATAGCTTAACAGATTACTAGAGTAATTCTTGAGACATGAATGGCCGCCTTGCGTCCAGCGGTCGCCGTCATCTCGATTACTTTCGACGCCGGCGCAGCCTTCGACGCGCCTCCGTCGTCAACAAGCCACAGTGCACACTCCGGCGCACCGCCGTTAGCACGCAAACAAAGCTTCAAAGCCTTAACAAATGACTGTACTAACTTAACCAAACTTATTTGTGTTAGATATTGTGCCCATGCTATTAGTGACCTAGTGAAGATACGACTTGTGATCAGTGAGAAGTGATCTACTATGATGCTATCAAGGTAAAGTACAATAGTTACTTAAAAAATTAATTATTTCTAGAATAGAATAAAAGCTCTACAGTAAATTTATAAAAAATATTTTTCATATTATGCATTCCTTCAAACACTGAAAAAATTATAAGTATTATTTATACATTTAAATTCTATATTATTTTCAATAACTATTACTTATAACTATGCAAGCATAATAACGGTATCATGTAAAATTTTGCAGTATGACTGAAATTAATGATTTCACGTTGATGTCTATTATGAACGCGACGTAGCAGCTACGCGCGTTAGCTACAGCGCACGTCGTAGCAACGTCTACGTTTATATCCTTCGTAACATATATTTTAAGTATCTTTGTATAAAAATACTTGAAATTTTCGGATATTTTTTAATTGTTATAATAAAAAAAATTGAGAAGAAGAATTATTAAGTTATCCAATACAACATATTTTATTTTAGAAATATTTATCCATATTCAAATCCTAATGAATAAGATAAAAGTTATCAATACTAACTAGTATTATATCTCTAAAAAGTCTTAATTAGGTTGCATTTAAACATATTGCTATAAATGAAAAGAAAGTGAATGCAATTTATACTTACAATTCTGTAAATAATATCAAGTATGTAATACTGACTATATCTATATACTAAACCTATATTAAACTAAACTAAGAATCAATTGACCATATCTCAATAATGATATACTTTCACAATTTATAATTCAAATAAACATATTATATCATCCATTAATGGACATAACTCTTATATACGGTAATATGTGTGAATTTAAATGATTAGAAAATTGTATAATGTAGTACAACTAGAAGTTAACTGATGATACCTGATTATAAATCGAACCGGTTTCCTACCACTGTTAAAAGGATTATTAAAAGAAACATTCTTAAATTCACTAATCCATTCACCTATTTTTTACATTCTTCTAACGTCAACATGTTTCTATGTATATAAGATACTGTTTCCTACTATTTCATTTTGCTTAAACTGTCATCCCCTATTTCACCTCCTCCGAGAATATTTTTTGAGATAAAAGATAGCCTATGTATAACCCTATGATAGATTCTATATACATATTAAATTTCTTTAAGACCTGTCCAGTCGTTTATTCCTGAAAAGGCAACGAATAGCCAGACAAAAATACTATATACTTATTTTATATTATACTATATATATTATATTATACTTATCCATATTGATTATTAGTTAAAAGATCCGGGATACAAATAAAATTCTCAATTTATGATAGAAACATTTTTTTTATTGTTGATTATACATTTATTCATTGGCCAATGATCGTTCATTCCCAGAACCTATTGGTATAGCTTCCTAATATCATTCTTAGTGGAGTTGAGTAGCGGTTGTTTTAACTAGGATCGATGTTAAGAAGACGTTATGCTACTTATTTTACCGCTAAATTAATTTGAATAATAATATACCTTCATGGTAGTGAAGCAATGCGTTTATTTTTAGATTTGATGGGATGGGAGAAGTAGAAAGGGAAGTTAAACATGGTGTCTCAAAATAAACCATAAAATAAATTAATATTTTGTTATTTTAGATATCACAGTTTCATAATATGGAAGTTGTTATGCAATTTACGACAGCCGAATTCCGATTAGATTTTTTAATAATGCATTATGTAAACTAATTCGTTTTTATCTCATCATATGGTTCTATACTATATATTACATATATACATAATTGAAATTCAACCATGATAAATATTATAGTGTTAGGGTTAAATTATATAACAAATTAGAATTAAATTACCAAATTTGAAGATATTTAAGATAAGATACTTAAATATCTTCAAATTTGGTAATTTATCAACGTCAGTTTAGTGGCATTGAAAATACACTACTTGTTGTGGTAAGCTTATTAAATTTATATTAAATTTAATTAATATTTATATTATTTATTTAATATTGTTTTATAATTAATATTTATATTAATTAATGATTTATAACACTTCATTACACCAACATATAAAGGATATTATCAATAATTTAAAACATTGAAAATTAATCTAAGTAAAATATTTTATATTATTTCTTCTCCCATAGGAATTGTTACAATTTATCAAAGATGGACTTACAAAGTAGTACATATAAAGTGAATAGGGTAAAGGTAATATTTAACTATTAATTTATCGGTCTATGGAAGTCGATTGCTTATAACTAGTAATGAAAAAAATATAAAGGTAATTTTAAAAGTACAGTTTTAATCGATTGATTAACCCACATTTTATATAAAATTAAATAACGACGCAGCATATATTAGCTACATTAAGAAACGTAAGTACGCGATAAAACGATTTTTTTATATGCATCCGCAATAAATATATCTCGATCTTATTAAGATAGAGTAAGTCCTACCAACACGAATCGGAGAGCTGGAATGCATAAGTTACGTAAGTCGGCAGTCTCGTCCTACTCGTTTAGTCAAGCCAAAAATAGCCGAGAGCAAGTGAAATCAGACATTATTGTAACAATAAATAATAAATAGAAAACTCACAAAATACCGTTATGGTACGCGCACACCAACAACTTCATATTATAATGGACATAGTGTCAGTGTTATAAAATAACAATACATTTTGAATAAATACGTAGGTACAGTTGTATATTTACATATATGTAAATGTTTACCTATATATATTTATGGATATTAAATATACTCAATCTAAAAGAATGATGGCATAAGAACACGTATAATTGAGTTATCGTTTGGTTATTTAATAGTGATTGTAAAAATACAATTTCTGATAAGTGACTGAATTATTTATATACTTAGCTACTTGCCCTAACTTTGCACGGGTGTATATGTATTAGGTATACATATAAACCTTCCCCTTGAATCACCCTATCTATTAAAAAAACCGCTTTAAAATCCGTTGCGTAGTTTTAAAGATTTAAGCATACATAGTCTGTCCCAGACAGCGACAGCAACTTCATTTTATACTATGTAATGACAATGATACACACATATGTTAACAAACTGCTCTCCAGCTTTGAATATTATATTAAATAAATAGAACTTATCTTTTTTAAACAAATAAATAAAAGAAAACCTATAGTAATGTATTAGTCAAATTTGCAAAAAAATGGGAAAGATTTCTTCATATGTAGTTGTTAGACGTTAACTGAATATCGTTCATTTTAACTATAGTAGACTCTTTGTATCAATATTGTATTACTTCTCTCATAGAAAGATATTTTGTACACATATACGTTTATGAGATTACAGTTTGAATTATTTGTTATACGGAGTTTTCTAATTTCTATTCTTATTTTCTTATTTATATTCTCAACATTTAATTTTTTAATAAATGATCTAATCAACTTTTATTAAATATATAACTTGTACACAAATTTTACAACATTGTATGCTTCGTTTAACATTTTCATTATTTGAACAAATCTAACAACACTCATTTACCTATACAAATTATTTTATTACCTTATTAAAAATTCCTGAAATCCTCTCTTCGGACGGTTAAACATAGACTGTGCATTACTTTCACTTTAAACAACATGACAGTTCAAAAATTAATTTCTTTAATCACTTAACACTTTGGTTCTAAATTTACGAATTCAAATGCTAATTAAGCATTAAATAAAAAGAATATGAAGTTAAACTTTCGGTATATACTTACTTAAAATAACTTAATAAGTTTATTTGTAACACTCATGAAAAAATTCAATGTTAAGATGTTGAAGGCTATTGATTATGAAATAGTAGAACTTGTATTTCTACCTATACATGTAGATGGGAAAAATAGATGTTTACTTTAACTCAATCTCTTATTTAGTGTAAAGCGTGCTTACAAAAACACGGCACAAACAGTTAATTTTTTCTTAGGTCTAAATATTCATCTAGAATATTATACTTACTATATAACATACGTCTTAGTTTCTTCTTCTTTGTTTAAATATAATTATATTTGACTATTATTCTTTTTATTTATGTAGTAACTAAAACAATGAACCAAAATAACCTGACTAAAATAGAATGATTAATTAATTTTGTTTACATGGAAATTACCATAGTGAAAGTCAACGTCATAAAGCCAACATAGATGGTATAAATCAAAATTTCACGGCCCAAACATCGTTCTGCTTCGGATTGAGTTAAAAGGTCAATCATTAAGAATAAACATTATTTTATTTTCTTAATTTAGTAAAGCAGGCATATTCAGATTTAAGCTTTAATGTTATCAACATAAGTGTTTCTTTGACACTTGACTTTTTGTAAGTACGTATTTTTGATGTATACAAAATATATAACTTCATAACACAGTTAAGTGAATATTAGATATTTCTAAGATTTTAGGTTTATTCAATTAATCGTCTATGAAAATAGGATGGACACCGTCTATAGAGCGTAAGTCTCTAACTAATCCAATTTGAATAGTTTCATTAAGTTATTGACCTTTATTAATAGCATTATGCTAGCCGAATTTCTTATGTCATATTCAGTGTGCTGTACAAGATAAAGATAGATAATGATTTGACATAATTCTCAGATAATAGCGAGTAGTTGACATGAACTTTAACATCGAATTAAGTGTAGTGAGGGGTGGTGACGTAACAGTAAAGTGCACGGCGCATCGCACTAGTCCGTCGATGGCTACACGTTGCATAATCGACACGACGAGTTCGGTAATAGCCAACAGTATATGGTATACCAGTATTATTTAAAGTTTATGACTCTCTTTTATATCCATATCACGAAATTAAATTTGGTGCAACGTATTATATCTTAATGGATTAAACCATAATAATAAATAGTGAAATCAATGGGAATACGAGTATTAGGTTCTTATATGTTTGTATTCAATCGAATAATAAGATAGTATATTGTACCTGATTTTACTTACTAAACGTTATTCTTTACATGCTCTATATTATATTTTACGACGTAAAGTGTTAAGTTTACTATATTAACTGTCTAAATAACAGAATATAATAATAATAAACGGTGGTACAAAAGACGGACTATTTTGCGAAATAAAATATTATATTATTAGATTTGTTTTATTACTCTGACCTTGCGGTAATAAAATATTTTATATTTTTCTCAATTAATTAAAGTGACATATAAATTATTTAAATTTAAAGAATTTTAAGTTGTTGTGTACAGTAAAAGTTTACTAGCATGTTCTGTGGACGCGATTACCTACATGTTACGTTGCCGTAGTATGGTCACTAGGGCGAGTTACACAATTATAAATACTTATTATTAAAATGAAATTTCCGAAGGTTCATCTTATTGCAAAACAACATATGTGCCGGGTATATACATAGTCATTAAGTATTCAAACAATTACTGAACCAAGAGGCTAGACAGATGTGGAGGTCAAATTTCGTAAAAGGTAATTATATAATTAATATTCGCAACTGCGAAGCATCTGGTGTGAACCTCGATGCCATTCTGTTGCGCTTTGGCACACAATTTACTTAATTACAATTATTCAAAAGCGCTGTGGATATATAATAATGAAAGAATGAACATGAGTGAACTAAAACAACAATTAATTACAGGCCACTATATTCTCGTTGCATAACGTAACACTGATAGTACACAATTTGCCATTGTAAATACTATGAAATCATAGACCGCTTGTTCTGGTGTGTGTGTAATAACAAATTTTATGACTTGAAACCATCCCAGAAACCATTTAAATATGGACACAAAATTTCATCGAAAATTCAATACGCCTTTTAAGAGAATGTGATATCATTCTCTTAAAAGGCGTATTGAATTTCCCACAAACACGTGAAAACTGTTTAAAATTAATTGAGCAATTAGTTAAAAATAATGATTAAAATATTCAGCAAGTGAACAATATACAATGTTACTATCGCAGTGGCATATCTAGATGTTTATCATTTTATTTATAGTTCAATGACTGTCTCCCATTTTGCAACGAAAAGAAAGATAAATAAAATAGAAGAGAATATTTTTATTAAAAAATTTGTATTTTCAAATAATGTTCCAAATTCTTTATTTAACCAGTATAATTTCAAAATAAGTAATTCAACTAGGACAAAATTACTACTTATGAAATACAGAAGTTAACTCTATCGATTGTAATCATGCCTGTTAAGTCGTTCAAAAATATAAAAATATAAAATAACAAAACTATTAATTTTATAACTTCACATGACGTTATACTAAGCTAGTTTGCAATCTTTTTTTACTAAAATATACATTATATTCTTAAAACTTTTAGTGTATTCAAACTAAATCCTAAATTATGTTGTCATATATAAAATCGCTGACATTGACATTTTTGCATGTGACGATGTCACAATAGTAAATGCCCCTAGAATACGACAATACGACAACAATATATTTTGCGAAATATTTTTAAATATTGTCTGAGCTTCACTGCTCGCTATAACAAAACTTATAGAGTATTGAAACTAAATCTTATTTTATGCTGTAATATACAGTTATAAAACGTAACTGACATTGACATTTTTACAGGTGACTATGTCACAGTAATCCAATCAAAAGAAATCAAACAGAATCCTAACAACTATTTCAAATATTCAGATTGTCCGCTCCAGAGACACAGAATATCGTTGCACTGCTGCGGACCCAGTGTTTCTGGACGTGGACACAGATATATGAACTAAACATATATTTTGTGATATATATTAATACTAGCTGTGCCCGGGGTTTCACCCATATGAAATTGATAGCCTATGTATTATTCCAATGTAGAAGTAATATTACTGTAAAGTTTAATGAAAACTTTCATAATATTATTAAGATGGTACGGGATTCACTCTCTGCCATTAAAGTAAACCTATAAATCAACTTATACATCTCTATAATAAAGGTATAATTATGAATTAATAATAGAACTTATTCTTCCCAAATAGGAAGGTTATAATTATGAGATTTTTAGTTGATAATCTCGATTGCGATATTAATCCCTAGTTAAACACATTCGTAAATGCATTTTCCTTAAGCAAAGACGGACATTCCATACAAATGTATGTCTGTGTTCTCTACTTATTTTAAGAGTACCCACTATTATTTAACTAATTAAAATGTAATTGCTACGCAATAGTTTTTATGTGTTTACCTCGATATTTGTTGCTGTTCGTACTTGTAATGTGAACTTGACCAACTTTTTAAATGTTTTTAACTTATACGTTGGTAAGCATATCTTTCTCAATATAAACAAGCTCTCACACTCCTCGTACCAGTGAAAGGATTAATGATAAACTGTCGTTTTTATTAAAGCGAGGTTACCCAGTACTACGTCGTCGCAATTAGCGGAAACAATTATTTCCACATACATACAGGTAGGATTCGTCACCAATATTCTCATTAATTTACTACATAAAAGTCCTGATCGTCCGGCAACATTAATATTGCAAAATAAACTATGATAACCCTTCACTTGTCTTGAAGTTGATAGGATTAAATATATTTAATGTTGTCGTTATTACCACATTCTTAATTAGTAAATACAAATGATTTTTAAAATATTACTTAAAAAAATTTATTATATTACAAGTAATAAATGATATTAATACATTATACATACAGCGTCGAATTATAATTATATTCTCAAAGTTAAATTCTGATAGTTTCTCATTTCTTCTATTTAAATTGAGAATTTACGTAACTATTTGCCTGATTATACCAAACCAAAGTACAACCATGTATGTAAAAAAACAGCAGTACCTAATTAATATACAAATAGACTGACACTATAGCTACCTACAAATTGGAAAATATTAGAGACTATGAGATGATAGTGTATTCCTACTTAGTAGTTTAATAAGTCTAAATTACATGATGATTAAAGAAGTCATTAAAGTTCGAAGAGGTTAAAAACAAAGTCACTCACTTTCACATTTATAAATTAAAAATGCAATCTTAGTTCTCATATTAGATAGTATTTGCACAGGTAAGAGATATTATTAGATATTAAGAATATTTATCATAATTGCGGTAAACAAAAATATCTCTGTGTTTGATTAACAATTAAGAACTTATCTCTATACTCTTCATTCTTATGTTCAAATATGTATATATATATTAATAAATCTTTATTATAATACAAGTACCATTTCAATGGATATTAGATACCTATTGAGTGATATTTTTACTGCTATATTTGAGTTTAAAACTAAGGTAGTGAAGATGAAATGGACATACAGGTAAGAGGTTAAACATCTCTCAATAAGAAAATACCTAATATTCATTAAGTAATATTTTGTAGCACTTGTTAATTCCTCTGATTACTTCATCCGTGATTTTAGTCGTTATGATAATCAGTTATATTTTTCTTTCGTATTTATTAATTTCTAGCTTTCTATGATAGTGAGAATATGCCGGTATCAATCTCTGCAATACTCGAGGCAATTATAAAGGTGTTGTTTATTACCTACATAGACCAGTGGTTTAAAGGTTTCTCGAGTTTCAACTAAATCACTAAGGGCCTTGATTACCTCATATGGCTGTTAGACTTGTGAACCAATAAATAAACTAAAGCACCAATTTTGCAAGTAGAACGTTTTATAATACCCTTTTTAGGAGTAAAAGATTGAGTAATGCAGTGTATATCACCTAATGAAGCTATGTTTAATGATATTTTATCATTTAATTAATTATATCTGTTATCACTATTGTAAACATTATTTATCTAGAATAATTGCACGCTTGTGAAGCTGAGTTATAGAATTAATGATAATGTTAATATAAGAACAGCGAAGCAAATAGGTATATAGATAGCATATTTATTATAAGCTATAACTAATTATAAAAATTATATATACGTCATTGTATTCGTCACGAAAGTAGTTGTAAGAGTAGATAAAAATAAATATTACAGGATAATGTAAAACCACGCTTTACACTATCATTTATATGAATGATTCCTACTGTGTCACATCTCTCTTTTTAGCTTATCCTCTCTTATCGCATATTCAATTATGTTGTAAATGTACGTTTATATTTAGAATTATGTAATATTGTAGTAATGTAGAGTAACTTCATGAAATACACTTAAGTACTATAAAGCTTTGTATTTATGAAATGTCACTTTAGTTCTAAGAGTGCTCTACTTAGTTGGTTACGAATTACGGAATTGTACCTGATATTTTGAAATACATTTTCTGCTACTTATATATGGATTGTTCAAGTGTTTGTTTACGAAAGAAGTACTTATGCATTGAATAGTAGTAAGAATACTGCGTAAATTCTTTGGTAATTACAGAATGATACTAATTTCTGTTATTAAGCTCAAATATTTAGAATTAAAGCAAATATATTTACAACGATTATCCTTATAAATATATTTGCATTATTTTATTATTTCTAAATAAGAAAATCGATCAATTATTTACGTATTCACCTTATTATAATAAATATTATACATTTCACCATTTTAATAAAAGTAAATTGAAGTAGGTATTACCATGTCGGTAATATTTATCAGTGACCTCTTCCAATTTGTTGAAACATATTCTATCTAGTGATTATAATAAAAAAACCACTGATACAATAGTAACTTAGGTATTAATTAATGTATTTTTTCTTTTTAGAGCGCTACTGCTAGCGCTGTGTTGCGCATACGCAACGTCATTGACTCCGCTGTCGGCAGCCGGCGATGACAATGACTGCGCTCTATATCTGAGCGGACCCGGCCGCACATCCGCCTACGACTACAGCCTCAACCTACTCAAGGGCAACTTGTGAGTATGCACCCTGTAATATCACTTCACTGTAACCAAATGGAAATCGAAGTTATAATTGTTATTTTAATCCGCTAAACAGAGAGTTCAATGTACTTAATTTAGGCAATAATGTGTATTAAGCCGCAAAGTGTAAACGTTAATAAAATCTGAACTATATACTATAATAACCTATTGACACATGTCTTTTTAGAATGTGACTAGAATCGCAAACAAACAAAGTGTTGATGCAAAGTTCTTGATAAAACTTTATCCTATATAGATAGATATGTACGATTCGGACGTAATACAATAAATTGTAACTTCTTGTGTGTGCGTATATTCTCATCATCTGGAATTAAAGATATGCTGTGTTTCTGTAGACATCTAATTTCTAAGCTTTATATACTTCAAATTGTGTCAAAACTTGTAAACTAGCTTGGCGACAGAAATGTGACATAGACCAAGACAACGTTATTCTTCTATGTGGTGTCTTCAATATGTTTTAGTCTTATGACTACTGATTTAATTAAGTATACCTTTCATAGTACAAGCCAGATAACAAAAATATGCTGATGCTAAGGATCAGGCAGAAGTAGCAAATTCATAATTTGCAGCTTAAGTCGATTATAATAACTGTTTACGATCGCAAATAGCCTTAAACTTAAAACTTAAACATTTAAAAAATAGCATTCAAATATAGAGAACGCCACGCATGGAGCATTGATATTGTCTTGTTTTACTTTTTATACATTTTATAACTTCTTCTCGAATATTCCTTGGTGTCAATATTAAATTCAATATACAATGGATTCTATCCGTATCTATCCGTAATAAAAATTCAGTACATTATTATAAGAACTTAAATATAATAATACTCCAGCAAACAATAACTTACTGTACTTTTACAAAACATTTAGGTTCTAAATACATAGTCCATTTGAATGTCTCTCGAGTATCGCAGACATAGACGCTAGATGTACAAATTCAACACATTCACTATACAAATGTTTGCTAACATTAGCCATATTATGATAATCACATATTTGAAGAGGGTCAACTTTATACAAACATTAAATTGTAAATAATCGGAAATCTGTAACCCACATTTCCAACACCCTAGGAACTTTTGCAGCTTCACCTTAATATGTACATGTATAACTTCTACACAAACATAGAATCGTATTACAACCGAATATTATAAATTTTAAATATATTAAAACATTTTCAAGATGAGTAGGTTTAAAAGACAATAGACTATTAAGCATTCATCGATGGTTCCTGTACTAACCTTGAGACAAGTCGCGGAAATGCGGCACATTTCAATATATTCGCGACGCGGCGACGTCTTGATTTCCGTTACATCTAGGGTTACCTTTAGTTAATAAATAAATAATAGATAGTAGAGATTTGCGGACATCTATAACCCTACGATATTATTAATATTCTTAATTTGACTGTGATTTTTCTTTTCCAATTATTTATATTTAAGTGACTGTTACACGAAATACAGTCTGCCATTTATTAAATAATTTTAATGTATAATAAGATACTACAAACATTTATATGCCAATGGAGAGTAAATTCATTAATATTTAAACCGCTTTTTGAACGTTGAATTATATAAGTATTACTATCTCAATTTGTAATGTCAATTAAGATACATAATTATCTTGCCATATTATTGAATTAACATCTTGATTTACGGTAATTCTTAATCTGATAATTATAAAAATCTCAGATAATATACCGTGGGTGCGGTAGCCCTAATGTAACGTCCAATGTCAACCGGTCGAGTGCGCGGGAGTATTGGGATCGACGTCTTTCACACTGTCGCCGTTGCGTCACACGCCTGCGCCGCGGCCGCGGCGGTGTGACTCTGCCTAGCCACCTTACCGCTTCAAACTTGACACACTTCCGCGACATACTTTACTCTCACCGACATAGACATCTCTACAATTAATGCCGAGCAGTTTACCTTTTGTTAGTTTATAAACTGCGCATGCTCGGGAATAGTATTGGATGTTGATTCGAATTTCCTAAATATTCCTTGACACGCACATCTCTTGCTGATTCTTGTATCCAATTGTAATGTTAAACTCTTGTTTAACGGTTGCCGGATTGCAAATGACAATTGGTTGCTGTATGCATGAATACAAGTATAGTTTTAGCAGATAGATCAAATATATAAAATCAGATTCCCAAAGCGCAACATTTCAGTTTTTTGCAAAGAAAATATTTATATAATAGTGTAAAAATGCCTAAAATATATAATTTTTACTGATAAAAATAGCTCACAGCTAATCTGGTAGGCATATTTCTGGAAATTTTAAATCAAAGCCAACATACTTCTATCTAATTTTATCTTATTTAGACACAGTAACTTGCATGGGATCTACATCAATCTTAAAGCAGGCTTATATAAAACTATTTGTTAAAAGCTATAATATTTAGGTATGCAATCATAATCCTATGTAGACACGGTACGGAACATTTTAGCGAATACACGACGTTGATACCGTAAAGTAAACGTACACAAAGACGTCGTTAGACGTAATTATATGCACTATGTTAAATAGTTTGCCGTTATAAAACCTACCTACAGATTACATATCTGTAAATATATACGGACAGGTACATACAAATAACCATCTCCAAACCTGTACATATAAACGAATGCTGGCATACATTAACAATCTAATGCGTTTATCTAATTAATTGTGCAATATGTAAATAAAACCCAAACATTCTTCAACACGAAACTTAGATAACAGTGTATTGCACATTACAATAAATATACAAGTCATTAATTACAGAATGATGTTACCGTTGTTTAAAACTTCGTTCCGTGATGATCTTGAATTGTAAATTGAACCGAAATATGTTGTAATACGTTGGCAAGTATCAACAATTGCTTTCGTCTCGAAGCACGCATCGGGTTAAGCAATGGAGGCAACGAGGAATACACGTTCACTTTCAAAAATCCTTTCGCTAGATCATTATTATGATACACTATATCTGTATAAAACAAGTTACAAGTGTTTATTAAAGTGACTACGCATTTACTCCAATTAAAAGCAAAGTAGTTTTTAATTTAAGAGAGAGTATTAACATAGCAAGTTCTATTTGATTTGTTTAATTATTATATCCTATTGCCATTATTCTAGAGTTCTAGCAGTATTATTATTGTATTTACTGGAACAATTGTATGGTATATGATTCGACTAACTGTAGATATTAATTAATAACTATTTTATTATAATAATATAAAGACCTTCCACATTGTAACAAAATTTTTATATTGCAACTAAATAACTGGATAAAAATGCACTGAAAAATGGACCCACAGGTCACATTGATATAAAATAATCCACATAATTCTCAGATCTGGTAAATGAAGTTGTAATTAAGTTACATATCGTATAAATTTTACATTTTTGTGCCTAATCACTTCTTTACACAGAATTAAAGTAAAAGGACCAAGTCCTTTTACTTTAATTCTGTGTTCGACTTTATCATAGAACTGTTTATATCTTTGTCATAAAGCATAAAGACCTATTTATGAAAGCGATTAATGTTGACCATTCATAACATTGATGTCTATGGACTCGACTCGGTCAGAGATATCGAAGTAACGGTGCGACCCTCTATTGGTGCCCAATAGGTGATTCAAACGCCGTGGAAGATACGACCATGACAACTCACGGCCGCATCTTGTGGTCAAAAAATATAATAGAATAATCTGTGGTAAAAATATTGCATTATTATTTTTTTCCAAGGTAGACTTTGTACAAAGTCATCTGAGTGGATTAATTATCTGGAAGTTAAATATATAAATACCTCATAATAGTTAAGTGCGGAATAATTTGTCAAAAGTCAATTTCGCCAATGGAGATCGTAAAAATTCTATGCTATCTACCACTTTCTAGTATTGTTGATGTGGTCAAACCCGATTAATTAAATCGGTCCACTATATCATGCCTCTCTGTACATACTGTTACTTATTTAGTACGTCAATCGAGAGGTATTTACTGTACCTACAATATATTTTGAATTAACTTCCGAAAGGAGAGACTATTTTTGTATGTACGTGACGTAATATTTTTGAAAACCTAACTTCTTTTAACATTGAGTACATTTTATTAGAGCTGGTAATAAGTATTATTAATCAAGCTTTTTGAAATAAATTTAAATTATTGTGCGTTCATCAAAAAATCATGTTAAATAGTCTGGACGAATTAAAATTAATTTTAGTACACAGATAGATCACATCATGTATAGAAATTCAAAACACTAACGCTGAGGCACGGAGTTAAAATACGTGATAGGATTTCAAATTAATGTTATATAATAGAGAAAATTAGACTTTATTGCGAATACTCCAATTGACTGTGGAAAATCGACGATGATTAGATTACACATAAAAAAGGTTTCCGTGCTTCGATGTTCTGATTACAGAAGTACTAATTGTGAGAAACTATACCGGCAGAATCCGGCATCCGGCACCACGTGGGAACTAGTGTTATTCGGTAATCTGTATGACACAACAACAACAAGATTGTATGATAAAATACAAAAATTATTTTTACCGTCTAGTTAATTCGTAGGCTAAACAGACAAATATTTGATGTTTTGTTCTTTAGTAATAATTATCTGAGTAAAACCAGTAGGTACATTTTGCGTATTTTTTAAAATTGTAACGTATTAACTAATCATCATGTAGGCCACCACTATTTATCTCGGTCAATCATTGTCATACGGACGACGTCGTGGGCAAAAGTTAGTACTGCAGTATTCAACCTATTGTCTAAAGAATAGAAGCCGTACTTGGCATCAATCAGTTCAGTTCAGTTGTCGATTGAATTTCTGGGATAAAACTGAAGCATACTTTATTCATATGGAATAAACACAACATAAACACTGATAATTCATTTATTTATAAAGACCTTAATAAGTAGATAGTTTTGTTCTTTTTACAAATAAAAGAGTACATTTTTATCGTAATCTACGCGTATGAGTCCTTTTATGAAATATCTTAGAAAGATCTGCCAAACAAAATGATAAACTACAAAATAATATTCTACAGAACCCTAAAATACTGCATTTAAGGAAAAAACCAATACTTACTAGATGTTTCTTTTTTATGAGGCATTTATGTAAATTAGCCGTAGCCGTCACGTGACTGCATAACCGGAACGTAATTTAAATGGAAACGTATTCAGTTCAGTCGTTGAATTTGTAATGTAAGGATTACAAATCCGCTAATTTAAATCTACACGAAATACATTATAGAATATAAGTGTATGTAAATCATTTGAAATTTAATTGACATTTTCTCAACTTATATATTTTGTTGAGATTTATATAAGAATTTTATTATTATTTTATATATAAAAAGTTTTTTGACATAATTTCTTATATTTTCAACAAAAAAACAACTAGTACACTGGTAAACGATAATATTAAACTAAATTTAATACTGTCCATAGGATAAGGCTGCATTTAACAATATTTAATAGAGTTTAATTAGTTATTGTAGAAGTGTTTCATAGTAGCAGGTTTTGTATGGAGATGGCTCGTGGACATATAACCTTAAAGTAGATTGAATTATTGAAGATAAATGCAAGCAGATTGTCGGCAGTCTTGACAATTTCTCGACGAGTTCGATGACACTTATTAATTTTATGCGCATGATAAAATTATGTAAACATGAGACGACTGAGTATTACAAATTTGAATGAATGACAGGGATAATTTTATGATTCTTTTAAGGAATGAACTACACTCTATAGGTAATTACTAAAAAAATCAAACCTAATTAAAGACCATACTCTAATATGTACATAGAACGTTTAAAAAATATACGAAAACTGGCGTATATATGAACGTCAGTTTTATTTTATTAGTCTTCTCAACCCTACCGTCTAGTTCCAGCATTTAAGTTGATATTGATAATTTATTTTGGTAATTACTTCTAACATCTATTACAATTTCCCAGATTGATGAAACAAATACTAATACACACGGTTTATGTAACCTTGTAATTTAAGTTATTGTGGTACTAAGGATTCGATCAATATAGTGTGTTCAAACAATAATTTAACATTTCTCTGTGAAAAATTTTCAAAATCAAATCAGTACTACTTATCCGATTTTTAAATTTAGTTTGGTTTTAATTTAGAGAATACCTCCAAACAAAGACACAAACTTTACCTCTTTATAATATTATTTATAGATAGTAAACCTTCATATTTACGATATTATTGCGTGGTACAATTAGATGTGATTGTCACTCATGAACCTTTAGCCCGAGATAATAATCCAATGTAGGTCATATCGTGATGTCAATAGGCGTATGTTACTCATAGTCACGAACTTCATAAATACCTTAATTTATAGGGTGTGAAGACATAGAGGACTATTTCAATTCAATTTTGTAAAGTCTGCTATTTTTCTATTCTGATCTAAAGGTAGATTTTGTAAAAAGTTGTCTACGTAGGTCCTCTGTCTACCTAATTCAGCAGCCAAGTGTAGTGTGTATTGTTATTTATATTATTTTTTGGGATGTGTGCATTAACATCAAATAATATCGTTCCGTAGTATAAAATAAAGTAAAATCACAGGGTAAGAGACAATATATTTTATTATATTAATACTCCGAACAGTGGTATCACAGATGGCACATGATGACGTAATGTCATAATACTGTTCATGTATATAGGTGACGTTTACCAACAAGTGGGTCGACAGGTGCTTTGGCATTCTAATTACATAAAAAATTTAATTAATAAAAAAAATATTTAAAAACAATTAAATAATAGGTAAACTATACATGGGAGTAACTTTTGTCTAATTAAGTAAAATTCTTCCGATCATTTTATTAAAATCTTTATAATTGTGTAAAAATAATAGCCTCAGTTTTAAAGGATGTGTGTTGTGCTTTACTTTTTATCTCTCTCTTTCTTTTTATCTCTTATTTAAAAAAACTAATTAGTATAAGTTATTACAGTAATAAACATAATTGTAGTTTTTAAAGGTCTACAGGAGTAAATACCTATGTCAAATTAACGTGATATTGTATGCCGGAACAATTCACGCTTGACCAGTTTTAACACACTTACTTAATACTACAGTATATATTACTTTAGCCCACGGCTATTGTTTTTTTTTTGTTTGTAAACCGATACGAAAAAATAATAAACACTAAATATTTAGTATAGATTTCCACACAGACAAAATTCCAACTCCTTGTTTTTGGTTCTATTACGTTGGTAAAGTTCCCAAATAATAGTTTTTCTCATATATCTTCCGTCGGCCGGTTACATTTAAATTATACATGTGTATAACTAACATAATTGTAATATCTATTTTTGTTTCAGTGGTTATGAAGGACAACACACGTGTATCACCTACGATGCAGTTAATCAAGCATATTTGGAAGCTAGAAACAGAATTGGTTAGTACTCCACTTACTACTATTTATTACCATGTTAGAATTACAAAATTCTTTTTTATAATTATTTTAATTTTTGATTATTTTACAGTGGTAGCTCAACCAAAAGGCGATTGGAAAGCTGAGGACTTTGCAAGCGTCGGCGAACTGTTACTAGATATCTCTATCAACTTAGCAAGAATGTAAGTAGAACATTTTTTTATGTTTACCTAAGAATGAACCAAATAACTCTACTATAACTTAAACATCAGTACATTTATTGTATATAGATAATAGCATAAGTTCGAAAGACATTGAATAGAATATATGAACTAAACCATTGCATTATTTAAAAAATTCAATTGTAATAGGTATGTTAAATTCAGTCAAAAGTCGTTTGGCTAAAGTTAGTAATTCGTTTTATGGCAATTGCGTAAGGTTTTACAATAAAATACCAATATGATAAATCTGCAGAAAAAAGATTTAAATGTCAAATAAAACATAGCAAAAAAGTTACTATAAAATTGAAGAATTATAATAATGTTTTTGTAGAAAAATTTTAAGTACATAGCACTGACAATATTATCTGATTACACTAATAATGAGTGCATAAATGTTAATTTTCTTTATATAAAAAAAAACATATCAAAAAGAGCAACACACAAGTTTTTGCTCATTCTTCTTGTGATGAATCCATTCCGAATGAGTGGTAGAATCAAAATGATATTCAAAAGAAGAGTTTATTTGAATAAAGATTATTTCTATTTCTATTTCTATTTCTAAATATTACAATTGTTTAGTTACCACCCCAATATGATGAGATGGTTAATTTTCACAAATAGTTTTTTTCTAACCTACTGATATGAAGATTAAAATGATTAATTGTACCAGATTATTCAAACACGTGTGTGGCGTTGTACTTATAATTTCTAAGGGGTAAAAAATAATTTTTCACTGGTACATATCTACATTTATGACGAAATATTAATTTATAACTTATTATCTAAAACCTTTTAGATTTTTATTAGATTCTTATTCGTATACAGTAATGTAATATGTAGGTTATTAATGAAATCTTAAATTAACACTTCATATTACGTACCAACTAGGTATCTAACTATTACCTGTCCAATAATACCTAATCTAGAATGCATGTTACAGAAGTTGGGTAATGAAACGCTAAGGCAATTTTAACTTGCACGGTGATAAGATTGCAAACAAGTCATAGCAAACATAACCTAATAACATTTAGTTGAACAATAAACTTTTATAAAACTTTGGTACATATCCGACCTTGCAATACGTGGCGTGTTCTCATTATCCTTTCGGGTTGATATGTACAGATTAACAATGGTTGATCACTTAGAAAGGTTTTCAAGGCTGGCCGGTCATCTGATCACACGAAGCCAAGATCTTTTGTCTTCTCATTTTATTTACGGACAATGAAGTACTCACGACGCGGAAAACTGAACATGAATGAAGATCACGCAACGACTGTGACAGTTTACAAACGGATACCATTATGTAATAATAACTTTATTTGTCTGGCTGTTGACTATGAACAAAGTAGGTATATATAATGTCGCGATCACACGTTTACTAAAATAATTACTTAATTAAGTACAAAGTTAAGGATGGAATGGTTATATAACAATCCTCTGCAAATAAATTGGTTCTTTACATACATACATGTTCACATATCCATAGAGATTCATCGCTTATAGCCATAACTCTTTTCATGCATGAACTCCAATTTTAGAGAATTTTGTCTTATAAATTATAATGCATTCATATGAGATCAGCCTGATTCGTCTGCATTTCAGATCAAAGTCAGTAGCAATTCACTTTCGCAGTCCACTTTCGCATCGTATCTATTTCTTCCATAATTCCATATGTCCGACACACCGTATCATGGCCTTTCTCAATTTTACATCGACACTTTCTTGTTTCTTTCAAACTTTCGCACTCTCTTGCACTTCTATACATATATTACTATATGTATAGAAGTGCAAGATATTCTATACATATACAAAAGTTACGTTAATTATACATATATTGTATAAAAATAACAGTAATATTTTTTAATAATATTGCGGTATTTTGCTGATCTCTATGTTTTTACCGCATCACTCGTATTTCAAGCACACCTTATATATTTTGTTTTATTTTTCATATATTACAATTGAAAATATAGTAAAAAAGTATACATTTTTATGTGTATACAAATACTTATTTTTTAACATTGTACACAAAGAACTACTAATTCCCAAACTGAACAAAACTGTAGGTACTAGGCAACTGTTCATAATTTATGAACCACGTTCTTGTCGGCGGACCTCTGGATATCTTATAGACAAACAGATATGCCCATGAACTGAAATAACAGTAACCGCCTTACACCACCAAGGTCGTTAATGTAGATTTCGTTATTCAATTGTAATAATTAACAATATTATCTGCAACAAGAAAATATCAATATGTTCTTTTCACCTTACCCCACTCGAGCGCCCACATACCCTACAGTGAATGCTAAACACTAGACTTTTTATTCTGCAGTTGGTGTACATGAGCCCTTGATCTTAACATTTGGTATCCGTCACTTATACAGGCTATGTGCACTGACCTTTTTAAGTGAACGGATAACGTAAATGTCATCTCTGTTCACTCATTAGCGCAACTAAAATACCTACTTGTTTCTGAATCAGTCCAGCGCCAATGACTCAGAAGCCGACAGCCGGAAATATGTCAAGAAGTGCATTAAATCGTCAATAGGTCCAGTTCCTTGTCTATTCAGTATAACTATTCATTAAATCTATTCACAAAGTTCATATGCACAACATAAATTACTGTATGTATTTATAAAGCACGTATAGAAAGGACAAAGTCATTAAGGGTAACGATTAACGAAATGATAAATGGTTTTAACAGATGAGGAATTTAAATAAAGATTATATGTAAGGTATACCTCCTAAATAGTGAAGGGCGTGTGGGTCACGGTACGATAGGTTAACACTGATCCAATAATAATAGTTTAGGATACCTACCTTATAGCTACCTTAAAGGCAAAGGTACATAGATACTATCAGTATAAAAATAATCTATTAAACATTGAAGAGTTTTCATGGTGGAAATAATAAATTATACAAAAAATATTTTTTATTCGTCTTATTATAAATTAAACATAACTTTAGAAGAAAAATATAAAATTTAATATTCAACACTTCTTGAGTCGAAATACTTTTATACTGTATCTACCTGATAGTTATTAATGTTAGTTAGATATTAACACAAATTAATTTAGTAACTTCTAAATAAGTATCTAATTGCATAAAACAATATACCTACAATTATTTGAACTATATCTAATAAACGCCCATATTTAGTGAGTTAAAATTACTTTAATTTTAGAAATAAAATTTACAATTCCACAGTAAGCTGGTAGGCTGACTTTTATAAGTGCCTATTACTTCTGGTAATAACTAATTGCCCTAACTATGCAACCTCTGTAATATTCTACATAAATTGCAAATGTCAGCCTATTCAAGGTTAATATTCGTCGTATAATTGTATTAGGTAAGTCTATCATAACTTGAACTATTCAACTAATTTATTTCATGTAGGTATCACGCTTATCGTTGCGTATCATCATGAAGGTCGATAACTCGATACATAGAATTTAATTTAACTTCTGTCTCTACATGATTGACATATCTAGGCCGCGACTACATTGATACTGAGATAGATACATATTGTTTTATTATAACTTGACATACAGCTTCTGAATAATGACAGTAATGTCAATGATACGGGCGTCTAAATTAGCAATACATTCTTATATGCAAATAGTACTCTATATTAACATTCTATATATATACGGCATACGTAACATGTACATATATATTTATTTTGACCGTAAAATATGTCCAACAAGATGTTGTGTGTCTGTTTCTAATATTGAAATAACCGTTTTTTACTACATGCATATGAATATAAATACGATACAAACAAAACACAAAATAACATTTTTTAAAAATTTTGTATGTCTGTTTTTTCCGGCTAATCTCTGAAATGGCTGGACCGATTTTGACGGGACTTTTTTTGGCAGCTGATGTAATAAGAAGTAATTTAGGCTACTTTTATTTTAGAAAAATAAAGCTAAATTCCACGCGGACGAAGTCGCGGAAACACTAGTAGATGAATAAAAGAACAGATCCTTTTTTACCTTTTCTAAAATGTTTGGTCGTTCTGTCTTAAATCGACAATTATTTCCGTATGCGCGAACCGCCATATCAATTTATATATCGACACTCTGCTTTTAAACTATCTCACTCTCGGACAATAATAACAGAACATAACAAATAAAAAGCCAGAACGAATCTTGTAAAGACCAAAAGTCACTAGGTAATCTCGAGTGACTTGCTTCACAAATGACTACGTAATAATATAATGGCAACATTGAAGCACGAGGACTTGTTCGAAATCATCACTTGCGCAATAAGAGTAGTGGAGAGAGGTATCTACCCATCACGTGCTGGGCTATACTTACTACGTGTACTTTTATAAATTTCATATTATCATAATATTCTCGTTTGGATGCATTGGTACATATAAAACAACAATATTGTTGGATTATGGAAAACAACAACTAAAAATGTTGTTGTATAATAATTATGTTACAAGTGCTTTGTAGTCAGCCGACGCTTTCTAAAGTATTCTTGCACAACAAAACAGAACGTTATTAACCCTCTTCTATTCTTTTATGAACCAAATACGGTGTTCAATGGTTGTGTACCTTTTTTAGTCTGTATAGAACATAAATACACTAAAAATATTTTGTAAGCATAAAAATTCTTAAATGACAGCTTAATAAATGTTACGTTTTCTACAGATATGGCTTGACTTATGAGGAAATCGAAAAGGGTCTGCCCCTGATCGATACATCACGTACACTCATCCGCGAAGTGTGCCCACCAATATTCTCCCATGTTGAATGTAGAGCTGGTAAATATAGAAGATTCGATGGACTGTGCACCAACCTTCAACATCCAACTTGGGGTGCTACTATGGCACCTTTCCAAAGGTAAAATTTCATTCATTTTATTTTTAACTAGCTCTAGCAACTTTGTCTAAGTGACTTTTAATTCATACTTTTCTCCTATTGGTCGTAGCACGATGTTATAATTAATTTTCCTTTTTATTCTGAGTAATAGTTATTGAGATTAGTATGTAAAACTAAATGAACTCTTTAGCTTTTTATAATGTTAGTATAGATTTTAGAAGTGAAATAGGTATACAATCTGATTAACCAAGAACGTAGAGGATATCATGATCCCACTGAAGCGTAGCCATTTCTGAAGACTAAGGTATTATGTCTGTGAATTTAGAAACATTTTTCACCTTTCGAACTGAAACAAATAAAATACTCTAAAATATTTGATAGCGTTTGGCAGTTATTTTTTATAACTCTGTAAAGATATCTAGCCTATCCTACAAAAAGCTATTTACAGGACAAACTATGCCTAAGAAGTATTAAATAATTAATTAAATTAAAATTAACTTAACTTAAAATATAAAAAAACATACCAATTATTTTGTAATATGTAAACTAAAGTATAGAAATACAATTCAATGATTTGTTATCAGATTGATCGGCCCACTTTTTTCTGACGGCATCAATGCTCCGCGCATTTCGCACACTGGTCGTGACCTCCCGCTCTCCAGAGTGGTCTCGCGTACCATGCACCCTGATGAAGGTTTCCATGACCATGCTGGTACGGTGATGGTCATCGCCTGGGGACAGTTTATGGATCACGACTATACACTCACGGGCACACCGCTTGGTAAGTTGTATTTTTCATTAAATAATTATAGTACGAAATATATTATTACCGAGTATTTGTTTAATGGAGTTGATGACTTATATGATGTGTTATATTGTATTATATAATGTTCGTGTATAGTAGGAATGTCTACGGAATTCTAGTAATGTTCGGCGCCAATTAGTATAAGAACTGATGGTACGCCTTTTCTGTCCATATATTTGTCACACATAAATAGTGAATATTATCATAAATACTTACTTAACATTTAGAAAGCGCTCTTATGTCGATATAGCCACCGTATTAAAATTCACACCCATTGCAGAAAGTACTTAATATTATAGAAATAGTAATATTATAAGTTACACAGGTGCAAAAGAAACAAAAAAATAAATACTAATTAAGTTTGAAATTCATAAAAGAATTCAATTATAGGATAATATGGGAGCTGCAACTCGTAATCCCTTTGGAATTGCTAAAAAAATACATAAAAATTGGCAGAATTCATGGAGATATCAAGTGCCTAACTAAGAATACCTGCAATTCATTTTCTTACTTTCTAGTTGCACCTAAATAACATCAAATATTAAATAGTTTCACAAGAATTGATAGTAGATGAACGCAACATTAAATACATGAGTAAGCTAAACCTAAATCGATGTAAATATTGCAAATCACTATTCGATCTGCAGATCCAATAAACCGTAATGACCCCGAAGAATGCTGCAAGCGGCCCCAGCATTTGAAGCACCCGTACTGCAATGAGATCCGAGTACCTGACGATGATTATTTCTACCGTCTCTTCGGCGTGAAATGCATTGACTTCGTACGAGGATTCCCTTCGCCGCGTCCCGGATGTAGATTGGGTAAGTCTAGTCTATGAGTCAGATTAAAAGTCAAATATTTTTATTAACCAATTTTTCGATTTACCACGTCACTTTAATTTTATCGCCACTACATTGCATATTGTATTCGAACATCAACTTAATATTGCTCAAATAACCTACCTATTTTTATTTTTTGTGTAATATTTATATTCTCCTTGAGAGATATCTAATATCGTCACAAGTAACGTAATCGATAATATCTATAACTAATTAAACGTATCTAAATGCATGAAACTAAATTCGATGAGCGATTGGTACTCTTCTTTAGTACATATCTATATTTTACTATCATCTATAGAAAAATAGAAGAAAAGAATACTGTACCAAAATTATCTATGTAACTAACATTAATAAAAAAAAGTTGCGCAGTTTCATACAAAAATAGTGTAATTTTAATAGTGTAACTTAAGAATAAATGAGTCTAGTCACTCTTTTCTACTACCGCTTATTGCTGGCAGCTTGCCATTATTTTTATAAATTTTGATATATCTCTCCTTCATGAAATCAATGTACACATATTATTATATCATGTTTTTTCTTCAATAGTATATTCATCTGGCTCCAGTCACACCGCTTTATAATTTTAAAGTGTACAGTAATAAAATTAAATTGTACATACACCGAGGTTTGACCTGTCAACAAACTTTATGTAGAATGGTTGAGCAACCACAGCTGACCACTCTGCGGTTGATTTACGACATTATTATACAAAATTTGAATCTATTATTGATACGTGAAACTTACGTCTGTGCGGTAATTTACACTATGTATTCTATTTTTGCAGACAACTGTACTCATTCATTTTTCTTACCGCTAATAATTTAATAGTTAATTAGAATTTCTGGAAATTTCATTTCATTTCCTGTGTGTTTCCGGCCTATTCATCTCCCAAATGATAATAATTATCCAGGACAATTTACACATGCCATCTAATTCTAAACCACCTAAAAAAATACTGAAACTTTTTTTTATAAATACATGCATATAACACATATAATACATCTATCTATAAACACACCCAGGCTAAAACAAACAATCATAGTTATTTTTAAACTGTCGATTTTGGTACACATTAATAATATAGTTAAACAGGACTATACCATTAACTATACAAATACTATTGTAGGACTACTGGTCCTACAGTAGTATGGTTAATAGTATTTGCTTATTTAACTCGTGACCACGGCTATTGCAACCTAGTCAAAAAGTAGAAACTGATAAATACCCATAGTTTTCATAAAATTATTGAAGTTAAGAAGATTAAATACAAATAATAATTATTATTATAAATACAAATGTTTGTACAGTTCGATAAATCGAACCCGCGACCATTGGAAGTGTAGAATGCGGTGTGCTAAGTCGCTAGACGACATCTGGCGCTGTCCAAAATGCTCTTTGTAGGATAATCAAAGTTTGTCTGGTCCAAATATTTGTTTTAAGTACCTAATTGGGACAAACAATATTATAAATAAACGTAGGTAGCTGTTTAAAATATTTTCTTCGATCGAGTACACAAATGGATATAAGAAAAAATCCGTGGGCGATTGATGCAGTCATCCTAACGGTAAATGGTGTGAAGCGACCATTCAAATAAATACTAGCTGACCCGCGCAACTTCGTCTGCATCACACTAGCTCAATTTACATAATATCTTTTTAGGTTATAGCCTATGTTTTATTCTGATGTATATTTAATTTTATTAAATAATATAAGCTATATTACTGTAAAGTTTCAATAAAATCCGTTAAGTAGTTTTTGCGTGAACGAGTATCAAACACCTATTCCGTGATAATAAACTTTCGCGTTTATAATATTGGTAAGATAAACTGTAACATACGACGTTTTTCGAATAACACACAAACCGGTCACAGAATAGCCGGCCCTCGACCTTTGAACCATCTCCTAAAGAGAGGGAAAGTAAACCGCGCCGGTTACGTACACGTTCCCAGATTGCGTAATCTAGTGCAAAACATTCGCCAAACAACTAGTCGCCACTACTGACTCATGTATTAATTCATGCCTTTCTTTCACACTCAACTTAAAAAATATGAAATTCACATTCCGATGTTAATGAAGCGAATACTTATGGGCGATAAAATTAATGGTATAATAAAGGTACGTGTGAGATTTATCAAACATTGGATACAAATGGTAAATATTATGTAGGTACGAACAGTGACAATAAAAAATAAGACAATTCTAAAAACTGTAAATTTTTTATGTTTTTTGTATTCAAAATTGGTATACCTAATAATAAATATATAAAAATGTGCAAAGTGTTTGCAATAATACCTATTATTTGTTCAATTGACAAGAACTTAAAGTTCTTTACATTATATACATTAAACATTCATTATATAACAATTTATTTTAAATTATATATATTGGAATAGGTACTAACTAAAGACGACGAAGCTAAGACTATTGTCTTTTTAAGTATATGAAAGCTTTTATCTATTGTATTTTGGTTGTTAACTATGAGTCTAGATACTAGAACAGAACTCTGTTAAGTTTAAATAAGAATAAATTCTGAATAATTTTAATTAGTTAAGTATAACATTATGAACCTAATATGCACGAATATTTAACTATGTATAAAATCGAACAGAAACTGTAAAAACATTTATTGATTACATACTAGAATTTAATGTTTTTACCTTTAATATTAATATCGTAATAAATTATAATACTTAGCAAGATACTGAAGACAAACTATACTAATTAGATATGATTACCGTGAAGGCTGTCTTGTCTGTATAATATGCAGTGATTGGTTACATTTTTATAATTAAATACTGAGATACGGAGACAGATTGATGAATGTGACTAAGTATGTAATAGTTTAAAACTTTTAAAAGCTTTATAATTTATTTAAGAACTATAAGATATCGTAAAATAATAAGGTCACGATACCTAATCGGTATGCAAAATGTATGCTATATTAAAATGTTTTTAAATTTTGCACCCATAATAAACATCATAACATCGACACTCGCAGTGATATCAGCATATTACTATAGTAAATTTTAATTATTATAACAACATTAACAATGTTTTATATTTCGAAGGCGTGGTTCAATTATGATTCTTCTTTAATTTTATTATTAATTATAAATTATTAACCGGGTCTTAACACGAAGAATTTTATGGCAAATAAAGGTATGTACCTCTCTCGACGTTTCGACTAGGTTGCACTAGCCGTGGTCACGAACTGACTGGAGTATAGGAGGATTTTAAGGGACCTTTAAAGTAGGTTCCATGTGCATTTGGATGTATAATTAATTCTGTATGTGTAGAAATTCATGCGGGTTGAGATATTAGGTACTAAATATGAGGAAAATAACCTGGAAATGATCACTCAAAACTAACGCGTGATTTGCTATACTAACGGCATCTGTTTGAACACATAATACCACGCTTAAAAGCCTTTTGTGAGAGCGGTTTAATGTTCTCATTATTGAAGATGTTTTTTTCTTGCAGGATCAAGAGTACCATTCAACACATTAACTGGAGTACTTGATGGGAACACTGTATATGGTGTAACAGAGAAATTCGCTAGGTAATGTGTATATTTATAATTACAATTGACTAATCTTGAATACCACCAACAAATTTAGTGGGCATGATGGATCCTTTATTGCCTTATACCTTAATATTTATATATCTCTCAACAATGTTATTTCAGAAAGTTACGTACAGGATTCGGTGGACTTCTACGTATGAATCCAGTTTTCAAGGATTATGGTCTGAAAGACTTGTTGCCACTGAAATTAGACATTCCAGATGAAGGATGCACTCGACCAAACAAGAATATGTACTGCTTTGAAGCTGGTTTGTAATTTTTACTCTTTCCACTACAAACTTATATATGAACAATATTATTAAATGCCTTTTCTCGTAAAAATATTTAAATTATTATTTATTATAATGTTTTCTAAGTCATGAGACAATTTTTGTAAAATGTCTCCTTATCTACTTTTCCAATATAAAATATACTAAGAGAGATAGATATTACGAATGTCACAAAATGTTTTATGAAATAATTTAATAATATTTATAAGTTGTATATTATAGATTATTTAATCTCTATTTAAAGTAAAATGATGCTTGAAACCACTTGATTATAGAAATTTATAATTAAAACCGAGGTGCCGATTCAGAAGACCAGCTATAAAGTCTTTTTATTTTTATAAATTCAGGTGAAATCCGTGTGAATGAACAGTTGGTACTGACTGTGATGCATACACTCATGGCAAGAGAACATAACCGTGTAGCCCGTGGTTTAGCGGAAGTGAACCCACACTGGGACGACGAGACTCTGTTCCAAGAAGCACGCCGTATCAATATCGCTGAAATACAACATATCACTTACAACGAATTCTTGCCTATTCTACTAGGAAAAGATGTTATGGAGAAATTTGGTTTAGTGCTACAGAAAGAGGTAACATTTTGACGTTTTGTAACCATTTATTAATTTTTTATCTGTAATGAAAACCGAACGGTGTACACCGGTGGCCCCGATCGTCCCTCTGATCGATAAATTACGACGGCCTGAGTCGAGATTCAAGCCCCTTACCCCCGTCAGGTAGTTGGCTTACAGCGTCCTTAATTGGGTTTAAAGTAAGCTCACCACTCGCCCCCCATCGTTTGGTGAGGCTGTAATGGCAAACTGCGGCCAACATAAGAATAGTTTGAAAAAAAAACTGTAATTCAGATACTGCAATCGACTTATTCGTTCAGTGTAACGCCTCTAGAGAAAATATATGTTGACTCGAAATGAAATTTTTAATCATTTCATTTCTTCCTGATTACTCCTCGTTAAGTAGGTGATCGCAACAAAGCGTAGGTCATAAATTAATATAATCCATGTCGATATCATATATCGTTGAAATTATCTTAGATACTTAACGATTTGCATATATACATCGTAGCTACAGTAAACAATATTTTACTATGATTATATGATAAACACATAGTATGCATATAAAATAATCTTCAGTCTATAACTAAGTTAATTGAGTTGAGTACATATAGTATATATATAAAATAATTGTAGGGTTATTGGGACGGTTACGATCCCGACGTGAACACCGATGTGATTGATGCTTTTGCCGCCGCCGCATACCGCTTCGGACACTCGCTGTTGCCCACAGCTGTTGAACGATGGTCCAAAGCCCACAAATTCATTGGTAAGTATTAGTTATAATATGAATACAAAAAATAAAATATAAACTCAAACCCATTCTTATAAGTAGAAACTAAAAACTTATGAGTTACTAAAAATAACTTATTGATAAAATGAGAGTAAATGCAATAGCAACACAAAATGGCTTTTGAGGTATTACGAGTTAGTATATGAAACTATGCTTTCTAAAAATGATAATTCAATACTACAATACATAATTTCATATTACAGTAATTGGCAAAGAAAATTCCAATAATCTTTGTTATTATATACTATAAGGTTTTTCTTCTGTCTAATTTACAGATTTTTCTATAATTTTCATATGATTCATTTTTTGTTTCAGCATCAAAGAGATTGTCAGATCTTATTCGACGACCGTACGACTTATACAGAGCTGGTGTCCTCGACGAATACGTAATGGGTTTGATGAACCAAGTAGCTCAAGCTATGGATGACTCCATCACACAAGAAGTTACAAACCACCTGTTTAAGAAAGTAGGCGCCCGATTTGGCATGGACTTAGTCTCGTTCAATATGCAAAGAGGTCGAGAATTCGGTCTACCTGGTTACATGGAGTTCAGAAAGTTCTGCGGTTTATCTGGGGCTGATAGCTTCCAGGATCTCTTTGGCACTATGTCGAATGATACTGTACAGAAATACCAGACAATATTTGAACACCCAATTGATGTAGATCTCTGGTCCGGTGGTGTGTCTGAGAGACCTTTACCAGGTTCCATGTTGGGACCCACGTTTGCTTGCGTTATAGCCACACAATTCTCTTACTCCAGACGAGGTGACAGATTTTGGTGAGTATTCATTATATTATATTAATAATCGATTTATTTTAATACTATAAAAAAAATTAAAACTGTATATTACAAGAATTTTATCGAGGTAAACTTTAATGAGTCGTCTGCGTGGGAATCCCTGTCTACCTATTTTAGCTGCCAAGCGGCTTACTTTATAAGCTATTTTCTTTGAAGGATGAAATAAGGCAGTGTAATTACATAGAAGAGAGAATAGATAAGAATGGTATCCCAGGTGTCGCATGATAGTGTAACGTCATAGTCTTGTTTGTATATATCGACGACTGTAACTACTTACCATCAGGTGGCCTTAACTTTATTTACCGTTTCAATTATATAAATAAATCTATTAGTTTCTATGGGTACATATCTTTATATCTTTGCGACGTCTATTTAGACAATTTTGTTGTATGTAAAATCTTAATATTATAAAATACAAAACAGTACAATCTGCTAGCAGTTAATAAAGTTATTGATAATAAAATTTATGTTTTGTAGGTATGAATTGCCAAACCAACCTTCATCGTTCACACCAGAACAACTAGTAGAAGTAAAGAAGGCTCGTCTTGCTCGCGTCATTTGTGATAACACAGATATCATTGATACTGTCCAGCTTTATCCCATGGTTTTGCCTGACCATGAACTGTAAGTATACTATATATCTCTTTTATAATACTGGAACTGGTCAAGTTATAAATAAGAATTTGATATGAACCATTGAGAACATATCAGAATATTATATCTTATTTAATCGAATGAATATTAATTGAAATATTAATATTGTTTTCTACCTACATATTAATTAAAAATTTCAATAATAAATCGAACATAATTTCCATGTTTTAAAATTTTATTTCGAATATGAAAATAAAATCAACAAATTACGACTAGCTTCATCTTATTTTTCAGAAATCCTCGTGTACCCTGTAGAAGTGGTATAATTCCCTCAATAGACTTCACAAAATGGGCGGAACCCGCGCCATTCCATGGTGCCGCGAAGCAATTCGTGAGTAGCTTCACATACGATCCATATACAGGAAAAAAGTAGTCACTAGCACTTAGACTGTAGTGATCAGAATAAAATGCACCTATATTAGGTATCGGGAGGTTACTATGTAAATATTACGGTACAGAGGCGTCAGTAGTGAATTAAGGGTAACAATCGTTATACAGGTACAAAAAATCCTTATTTGGTATCTAATCTTGTGATACATGTAACTTTTTATTTTAAATGATATATGTAGTTATGTATAAGATATATTCTAGCTTATGATAAATCTGGTTACCCCTGATACACTACTATATGTAGACTAGACATCAAGTCAAAATTTTGTCAATCCGCTAAGTATATACCTTCAAGTCAAACTTATAGTCAAGTCAAGTAAACTTAGAGTCGTGTATAAAGAAAAGTAAATCGGAACTACCTCCAGGGTCGATATTGATTTCACCTAGATTCACTTAACCCAATAGGGTTATATACATATCGTAACAATTTTGCAACATATGTACCTATAAACGTTACAATTTGATTATTCTTAGTGGACTGTCAAATGACTACATAATTAAAAAGTATTAGCTCTCCGATTTTATCCGGTACCATAAAATCGGCATTAGCAAACATCTTGTAATATACTTTAGCTAGTAAGAGTCAAAGTATATTTAGTGCGATTATTAATTATCTTATTTATAAAATAGATTAAGTGACGTGTACAAAATTAATGTAATAAATGGCTTAGCAAAGGCCAATTTGCTTGATTGCCATATATTTGTAGCTGAAATACCTACATATGTAATGTTACTGTTTTTCGGATTGATGCTCATCTCAATATTCTTTTTTAGTCAGGTGACGAGCAACAATACTTTGTGTTCTATTAAATTTAGATAATTATTATACACAGTATCGTAAGAAAACATTTTCATAAAAACTACAATAATCAATATTGAAGGTTGCTAATAGACATTCTTGTAAAGTGTGACCATTTTTTTTATTGATTATAATGGAATAAAGCATCCACCTGCGCTAACTGTTTGCACGGGCTGGATAGAGGATGATAAAATAAGCATGAGGTCAGGTCAGTTTGCCCATCGTGATTATATAACCAAGAATTGACCGAACCGATAATTTCCAAATGCAACGGCAAATGGTATATTGCTAGCAATGGGGACACTAGACCCTATTACTAACAATCCCATTGCCCCCAAAAGTAAACATTTAGTATACTTTTTAAATGTCAAATGTTCATATGCAAATTGCACGTTTGATATTATTACTGAAACCAATTTATTATTATGGTACCTAAGTACATGCCTCACACGCCACAGATGCCATCCATTAGATATGTATATGGCTGAGAGGAATACTATTGGTGACTTGAGAAAAAAACGAGCCAGAACGTTTTACTTCACTGACTGGAGGTTGCTACATAAATATGCTCGAATATTATTATATATACATAATTGTTGAGAGTCAAAATCTCGCAAATCCCGCTCTCTTTTTAGTCGTTGTTTTTGGAGACGGTTGGTTATAGTACTATTACTTCTTGAATTAATATGTAGAATCTGTAAACACCGTTAGTATGTAATATATATATAATAAATAGTTTCAGTAAAAACAAACAAATAAACATAAGTAAATGTTATTTTTTTATACTAAAATGATAATATTTACATACTATTATGTATCACCTCCAGTTTTCGTAGTTTTATTAGACCTATTAGTAGTAGTATCTAGTAGAATCTTGCCTGTTTCAATAGATATAGTCAAATATTCTTGTGTCTGATTAGGTACATAATGTTATATAACTCTGAATCAAATATTAGATACTATCACCATGAAAATTGTGGTTTGTCAAAAACTTAGCAGTATTCTCATACTTCATACTTAGGAACATATTACCTATTTATGATTCAGCATTGCCAACCTTAAAACATTGAGTCTCATACGAGGGAGTAAAAAATCTCGTACGAGGATGACATGTCCTTATACCGATGGTTAAAAATCTCATACCTCTACTTACGAACGTACATTTACGAGAATTTGTATCACTACTATGATTATTACACTATATATTGATCAGTTAATATATTTTGAAGTTTTGTGTGAAAATATTACTGTTTAGTCATATTTTGTAGGTGTTTATTTTTATTTATTTTTAATATAGTCACACTGCACATGTACCTAATTTTAAGGCCTGCATGGTGTGTAGTAGGTACACACGGATATTATGTAGGTAAGTTTATGTAAATACAAGCAACGTAAATAAATATTGGTACCATTAAATTTTGGTTTTATTATCAACTTCACAGCTAAACCCACTATATATACATTTGTAGTTAGAAGTAGATAGTTTTATTGTACACTTTCATAGATGGTGCAAAAAGCAAATAAGCACTAAGGTAGTTTTTTTTGTGGATGATAATGGAATGGTGCACCCGCCTGCGCTAACGGTTTACGCTGGCGGGGCACCAGAAGCACTAAGGTAGTTAGGAGATTGTAGAAATTATAGTCTAATAAATAGCAACGCTATAATTGTATGAATGTATTGATAGCAGAGAATCATATGTAGGTATATCTAAAATTCAAGACAATATTAAAGAAATTTGTTTTAGTTTTAATATTGAAACGACTTAAGTTTTTCATTACATTCACGGAAATTTAGTAGTAATATAGGTACAGATTAAATATATAATAATTAGCTGCCCGTACACTCCATCTACGGCATCACTATATTTTATAGTGATGCAGTTAATAAACGAGTAATCTTATTAATTTCCTTACGTACATTTATCTCGAGATTTCAGCTCATCACAAAACTTTTTTCCATAGATGCTGAAACATCTATCTCTTATAATAATGGCAAGATTTCAAATATACGTGCTACTAAAAATTATCTCCTATATTTACTAACTTGACGTATGTTTGTAGTGCTGTTCACGTGTATAGGCGATGATTGCTATTGTCTGTTACGTTAGAAAATTGAAAATACATAACTTTTAATATATTACATTTGTTAATGGACGTATTTTAATTTAGCTTAACTACTAGTACAGATATAATTAGAAAGAAGAGGTCTAGTGATATCAAAACGGTTATTAGGCAGTAAAATAAAGAAAAGGGAACATCCGGCACGACAAGTTACCGACACAAGATAGAGTGGATGGTGAAATGGTGAACTGAAAAATAGAAATACGAAAACAAAAGAAAAAAATCAGTAAGAGTACGAACCATCAATCTGTGGGAATAAAATGTGATGTAGCGCTAAGAGTTTGACACTAGAATTTATATATCCATTAATACATATAGTTACATACATTAATGAATTTAAAAATGGACCGGCACTAGCTCCACGGTAGTAAAATCTGTTAAAAGTGTAAGTACTGCATGCAAAGCAATTGAACATTATTAATAATAAAATGTATTTTATCTTCATAATAAGGTGAGTGGATCATGGAAAACTATACTCCTTATAGGGCCAATTGTTAATATATATATATACGTTTTTTTATTAATTGGTAGTAGAAATTAATATAATAGTAGTAATATTTTTTCATGCAAATATTATATTTAAAGTTACCAAGCACTTAATACTGAAAAGATTTATGTTAACAATTAATTATGATGAGGAAGATCCGAGATCAAGTTCTGTTCCATATAATATAAAACATCTATATGTAGTAAACAAATTTTACAGATCCAACTTATTATATATTTACAGATTACTGAAGCATACGTGACCACTGACAATAACAAAATTCAAGACACCAATGTTACGACATTACCAACTCAAGATTTTGATTGTATTGAAACTACAGTTTCCAGTAATATTCCTCAATTAGATTCCCATATAAAATTAAACTTAACTATAGCAATTAATACTTCTCCTAAAATTCTTTCTAACCGCACCGCTGAAGATTGTGCAGACAGTGTGGATATTAAAACTGATGGTAAAACTAACAATCTTACGCAAAACTTTATTAAGGCCAATGATACAGTGTTAAAATATGTTTATAAAAAGAATGATGACATTAATTTAATACAAAAACTACAAGGCCATCCAAAAAATAGATTAAAGAGAAGGAAACGTTCAATTAGTAATCAGAATATAACCGAAGATATAAAAGCACATGAAAGTCAAATTACTCCATTAATAGTAAATTATGAAACTTCTCATGATTTACATAATACCCGTACAGAGCCGTTGGAAAATCATGAAACAGGCAACATTATAAAAAATTCTAACTTAGCGGATTTCAATATTGAAACTCTACATGAAAATGCCGACACGCCATTGTTAAACAGCGACAACACCAAAAAAGACCCTAAACAAGAATTTGTAAAAAATAATCATTTACCATTAAATCAAAAAGACAGTGATGAATCTATTGAACGAAATGCTAAAGATACTCGAAATCAGTTTATTGAAAATGATGATAATAGTGAAATAGATAGGTACAAAAATTTTGAACGTCGTCCTCATACGATTGAAAAGTTTAAAAGTAATAAGAAAAGCGAAGAAAGTGAAGAAGATGATACGCAAAATGACGACAGGTATAGAAAAAAAGATTCCTATGAAGACAAAAGCAAAAGTGAAGAAAGTGAAGAAAATTCACAAAAAGATGGCAGGTATATAAAAAAAGGTTCCTATGAAGATAAAAGTAAAAGCGAAGAAAGTGAAGAAGATTCACAAAAGGGCGGTAGATATGAAAAAAAGGATTCCTATGAGGATAAAAGTAAAAACCAAGAAAGTAACGAAGAAGACTCACAGAGGGATGGTAAATATAGAACAAAAGATACTTACGACGACAACAGTAAACAATATAATAAAAATTCTTATGAAAATAAGAATGAACATTATAAAGGAAGCGAGAACAGCAATGAAAGAAAATATTTCAAAAAAAGCAATGATAGAAACGAAAATCAGTCAAGCCATGAGAGTGAAGAACAAAATTCTTCTCGAGATAATCATTCTCCTTATATATCAGGATCTGAAGACAGCAATGAAAGTAAGAAAAAAATATATCCAAACAGCGATAAATTAAGTGATACAAAATCGTATTTAAGGAATGATGATAACGATGAAAAATATTCTTCTAGGTCAAACGAAAAAGAAATTAATGAAAGAAAAGATAAAGATTACTTAGAAAAAGAGGATATTTACAATAATAAAGAATCACAAACAGAAAAAAACAGGCAAAACTTTGAAAATAGTTCAGAAAAAAAATTGAATCTAAATAGATATACTGACGAAACATCTGTGGAGAACAGTAATGAAAGTGAACGAAAATTATTAAACCCAACAATTGACTATAAAAATTATGACCCAATCTATGTTCAGAATAAAAGTACACTGCCTATTATTCAGGACGTTGATTTAAACGACTTCAGCTATGAAAGAATTCAAATAAATAATAAAGGACAAATAGAACCAACCAAAGACATTCACGAATATAATGATGATAGTAATATTTCAAAAGAAGTTTCACAATCAACTACATTTAAACCAGAGTCATTAGAATCAAATGAAAAATATTCAGATACAGGACTGAGTAGTGAAAGTAAAGAAGAGAATAAACAGCCAATACGAATAAATGATGGCGAAATTAAACCGGTTGTGGAAATTACAGTAGAAAACAATAGCGAATCAAGCGAAGCTGAAAGCATTAAAGATACAGAAGACAAAAGCCTTGAAACATTTCTGGGAATTAAAGAAAATAGCGACCATAGCCAAAATGAGAAAATAGTTACACAGAACGAGAAAGAACTGGAAATTGGTGACGTTAAACAACAATTTGAACGAATTCCGTTAAATTACAAACATGATGAAAATAATGTGTCAGAAAATAATGAAAACAATCTTCATGAAACTACAACTATCACTAATAATGAAGACAAAACACAAAACGAAGGTACTTTGGATACTTTGTCAGCTACAGATCCACAATATGATAAACACTTAAACTTTAAATTCGATGAAATTGCAATCAAATTACCTGAAATAAAATTACCAGATGATATTTTAGCATATCCATATGATGAATCTCCATATGGCATTGGAGCTCAAAATAGCAAACAAAAAAAAACACAAGAGAATACAAAAGCAAGGTTTTATGATTACGATGATGACGAAGATAGAGATGAAAATGTAAGCGAAAAAAAGAAAAATCAGGACGTCGATGATTATGGATACCACGGATATTATGGCAAATCTAAAGAAAATGACGAATACAAAAAGGAAAGAAATGAAGAAGAAGAGGAAGATGATGATTACGTGGATTTGTATGAAAAATTTGTTCGAGAACGGTTTGGAAAAAAAGGATCATTTGAAAAACGCTCTCAAAAATTAAAAGATGCAACGCAAATACCGGAAAATACTAAATTGTACCAAACTGTACATGATGTTCTTAAAAAAACACAAGACGTCCAGAAACAGGCAGAACGTAGTGGAGATCCAAATGCAGGATATATGTGGACTCTTGAGTATGGACAAAATTTATAACCACAGCTTAAAGTTGTGAAAAATATTAAATATAGGAAAATTTTATTATTAAATTATTTAAGGCCATACAGTATTTTGAAATCTGGCAAAGCATTCATCAATCTAAAGAATAATTAAGTAGTTACTTGTAGAATTAAGATCATCAAACTAGTCCTAGAACATGATTTCAATTTCATATGTATTGAATTTTTAAGTTCCTTTATCTGTAATTATAAAAATATATGATAGAACACTTCAAACCACTGATGAAAATAAAGATTACCTGCTTTTTAATGTATTAGTGACCTAACTCAGCTTTACACGAATATACAGTGTATATGATACTACATAATTATGATTCTGTAACTATGCGCTAGTATAGACAATTAAATATAAACTTTCCACCAGAATATTCTCAAAAATTATAATATTTATGTCTACAGTCTGCACCCTTTCATTCATTTATAACTCCAAGTAATTTAGATTTAACGTCAGTGTAAAACCAGTCCACATTACGACTTCACGTAAGTGTACACGTTAGTTATAAACTTACGTAACAGCAAATTAAATAATAGTAATAACTGGACACTACAACAACAATCAGGGGGCTCTTTTAAAACAACTTTATAATATCAAAATATCTACCGAATAGATAAATAATGATAGCGCGTCGTGGACTAGTAGTTTATTACCACGACTTAGACCGAAATAGTCGTGAGTTTGAATCTGGCTGAATAGATTTAAAGTAATAGCCACGAGATGATGACTAGTTCAAAACACTTATATATTACCTACGTAGGTAAAATTTTTTACCGTGACTTTTTATAATTTATATTTGTTTAACAATAAACTAATACAATTAGTTATCTATTATCATAACTTATTTTTAGTTATTGCTTTCATATAAATCTAATTAGTTTATATTATATATAATATGTAATCTATTTATTAAAATGTTACCAAACTTAAACTTAGTTTTATTTATTTCGTCAAATATTCTCCGATCTGTAGCACCTATGTAAGTAGCACCTATGTATCTGATAGATACATACTAGAATTTCGTCGACATGTCATCAGAAGGATTTCTTAAAGCCGCCTATCTAGTGAACAGAATCCGAAACCGCCCGCAGAATCTAGTGAACATTTTTATTGTGAAAATTATATCTTCATTCACAATAGATGTTATATTATTGTTTTTCTGAAGATACCTGTCAGTGTATAAAGTTCATACAAAACAGTATCATTATAATAATATAATAATAATAATGTATTTATTATCAGGCTTAATTGCCCACTTTGTTAGTATTACAGATTTCTTATAATTAATGTTAGTACGTACAGACTACAGACACAAAATACACACACAAAAATAATAATAATACAAATAATATCAAAAATTAATATTAAATTAAGTTAAAATATAAATTAAAATACATTCACATATAAATCAGTATAAAAATCAGTATAAAAATCACCGCCATTAGAAATAGTACAGCAGTAATTAACATACGCACAGTCCAGCCTGCCCGCAATCATGCTCAGGATGCTGTTGGTATTGGTACGTACCCTCCGCACCAGGGATGCGCATCTTTTCCGCATTGTAGCATAAAAACAATCCACACGGTACTCCGCGAACATCCCTGATGCACTGCAGCATCGCGACAGCCCCATCAACACCCTGAATGCGTTGTTATACTGAACGCGAAGCCCGCTGTAGGACTTTCGGGTGTATGCAGCCCACAGATTGCAAGTATAAAAGGATGTACAAAATGATCTAAACAGAGAGTGATCTTGACATCCCTAGAGCACCGCGCAAATCTGTGCGCTATCATATTCGCCCTCACCGCCAGCGCTCTCCTTTCTCGTTCAATATCGTCGTCATCTCTAAGGTCAGAGTTCAATAGATGTCCCAAGTATTTAAATTTATACACCCTTTCTAGCACTATGCCATTGAGTTTGACTTCGGGAAAAACATCTGTATTATTGCCTCTGGCCTCGAAGACCACGACTTTACTTTTTATTGCATTATAAACCAGACCGTGCCGACGCGCATATGACTCACAGATAGTCATAAGTCCACATACTGACGCACTCAGAAGCTCCATGTCGTCCGCATAACTTATATTATTTACATTTACACCGTCTATATGACAGCCGACATGAGTGCTACCCAATGCAACTATCAGTTCATTAATATACAGATTGAAAAGTATCGGCGATTATGTATCATTATCTATCATCTAGTATCATTATGTTGTTTAAATATGTAGGGCTTTGTAGTATATTTTAGGATAAACAAAACTTGACTGCTTTTAGTGACATTCCTTTAACAGTCAACCGTGGATAATTTGAACTCGAAATGTTAGAAAGTATAGTAGAGACATCGATTTGAAAACATCGATGTTTATCGAACATCCCTAGTCGAAGATTCACTGAAGTAACAAATTTTTTGGCCAAATGTCTTGTTACCAAACCATAAAAGTATTAAAAAATATATGTAACCTATAATTTCCTTTAATTTTAATGAAACAAGATCTTGAAAAGAAACATTATTAACTGTCTGTCTTCTAAAATATATCATTGAACCAGAATATTTTAAGTATAATGGCGGAGGAAATACAAAGAAAATTACAAAAAGAGTTAGAAGTTTTGAGTGGAGTGCAAAAGGAATATCATAAGGCCATGGCTCAAAAACAACAGTTAGATAGTCAATTGAATGAAAATAAAGCTGTAAAAGAAGAACTGATGTTGCTGAAAAAAGATGCTGAAGTGTTTAAACTCATTGGTCCAGTATTAGTAAAACAAGATTTAGAAGATGCCAGGCAAAATGTTGCAAAGCGCATGGAATACATAAACAAAGAAATCAAAAGAACAGATACTCATATATCGGGACTAGAAAATAAACAAGAGTCATTGCAAGAAAATCTGAACAAATTAAAAAATGATCTCGGGAAACTTAAAATTAAAGCTTAATATCATATTAGTCACTGCTTATTAATAGTATTACAGCCCTATCTATTAAAACTATTTTGTATTTGTTGTATCTAACATAAAATTGATATGAATATGAATGTTATTATTTATGGATACCTAAGTTATGTATGTCTATTTCTAATAATTACATTAATTACATTTGATAGAAATAAATACTGTAATATTTATGTATGTATATAACCATACTGTGCAAAAATAAAAAATTGGATAAAAGTTCTCTCCATACCAATTTTAGCAGTTACCTATTTTGATACTATGAATAATAATAAAATAATCTATATAGGTTTCCTATAAAAATATCTCTGTAGGTACTATCAGTATGGTTTCTACCAGTTTTATCAAAATATATATTAAACATTAAATCAATTGAATGTATTAAATAAAATATTGAGATATAAATTAAATGTTCATTTTAGTTCTTTCAAATACTTCTGTTCAATAAGTCGAAATTTATGATAATGCCACTGCCAGATCACTTGTGTAGACACAAGTGATCTGGCAGTGTATTGTAATATTTCTGGCAATAATCGAGAATCTTACATTAGTACCTCTCCAGATGACAGAATTAAGTTCAGTTTAAGGCAGTCCACATTATGACTCCGCGTCGTATGTATGTGTTAGTAATAAGTCATATAACATGCTATTAAATAAACTTACTAATGTACAATGAATAGTACAATTATGTAGAGATACCTCATTGTATCATAATGCTGTAGTGGTGAGATGTTACCACTGCGCTACATCACTATATTTTTTTAAATATAATTTAGTTTGTGTTATGGTACAGTATAGTATATACATATTTGCATGTTTTTCTTAACAAGAAAAATATTTCATGCATACTACTAATTATCAATTTTTTAAATGCAATGCAAAAAAAAATCATGAGTAAAAAGGCCTTTATGAAAAGAGGTAATTCTTGATTACACTTGTACATTCAATTTAATACAATGTTGTTCAAATATGATTGATAGGAAGGTGATGTTTCCATGAACAACAAAATTACACTGTATCGGCTGTGGATTAAATTATTTATTATCAAATGTATTGTGCTTAGTAATTGATAATGGTTGATTCAGCCACTGTAAAGTATGTTAGTAATAACTTTATCATAGACTGGTAATAGTGCTAAAGTTACAAATAAATTCATAGTCTGATTCCATCTCGATCTTTTAACAGAGACTTTTTTTAATAAAACAAAGTTAATAATTGTAATATAATATATTTTCCCAATTATTACAAAAATATCTGCAATATTTTCATAACTTTATGATAATGGCACATTCATAAGGTAGTGTAGACCAATATCACATATGTATATCACACTATACAAGCCATTAGGCAAGTTCTGAAAAACTTTTAAATACGAAAAGCATGCAGTTTACATTTTTTTAATCTGTATTTATAACAAATAATGTAGTATTAACAATAATATTTTGTGACAATATTAATAATAAATGCATATTAGATGGAATGTTCATTATCATTTAAATTTCTATAAATATAATTAGTCATTTAAAATCACATTAATACAAAAATAGATGCCAATATCATTAAAGCCTACATCAGTATGTCATGGTCCCATAAAGTAATATCATGAATAAATGGCAATTTTTTTATTATTACAAATTTTTCCTATAAGGAAGTAAATTTAAATACAAAACCATCTTCATGACATATCATATTTCTATCGTTTTTTTTATAGCAAAATATTTCTCATTATAACAATATAATTTATAATACAAGAACCGTACAAAACCAACTTCCTTAACGTCTATATAGTTAATAGATAATATCGTAATTGATATAGTTTTAAATGTATAAATATATAAAAAATGTAAATATGTACTTTTCTAATTTTATCAATAACTTCTATAATATATGTGGATATCACTTCTTCTCAACTGATATTCTGCTCTGTACACAAGGTACACTACAAAAAGGCATTTCTTGCTTCACAACGAATCTGCCACTTAACAAACTCTTACCACACATTCGGCCTGAGCATATAAAGCAGTCAGCGTGCCAATGCATGTTACTCCAGGACACCCCTTGTTGCTCAGGTCCAATGACGCCACCGCAAGCACGACAACGCTCTGCATGGAACTGATCATAACAAGAAAGACATATAGGCAGACCAGTCTTATCATCTGGAACATATTTTTGGCCACCAAGTGGTGCATCACAGTGATAGCAGCAAAAGTGCTGCACATGAAAAGCTCTCCCTTCTGCTGCTGTATAGGGTCTCGTAAATATCAATTCATCACAGCCAGCACAACGTGGGATCTGCAAAACATTAGCCAAGTCTCTAGCACAATAGATTTCCCCTTCATAAAAGAAGTATACAAGGTCGGCAAGCAGTTCTCCACACTTGCTACAAGTGAAACATTGCGGGTGCCAAATTGCCTCTTGTCCTGCTCTTTCAGCTTTAACTGCTACTTCACCAGCGAACATGGCCTTTTTACAGCGCTGGCATGGTACTCCTTCATTATAAAGTTTCCTGTTAAATTCCAATTCATCTGGACTTAAGGACATATCACTCAATTGATCGATTACAGGATTTATTTGCTCCACATAACTATTATTATATGGTGAGTCCAAATATGTACCATCAGAAACTTGAATGTTATCAATTGGATTATCCAAAGGTAGAGCGCCAGGATATGTATTATAATTAGGCAATGGTGGAGGTGGTAAATCTTCATCAGAATGGCTTCTCAGGTACTCCCGCAAGGGAGCAGTTTGCTGTGGCTCAACCTGGTTTATTGGTTTAGTGGTAGTAGAATACTGTGGATTAATTTTTGTTGAACAAATGGTTCCGCTGTGTTCAGGGGTGGTCGGCTCATGTTTCCAACTCCAAATCTCTCCATTAGGTGCAAATATTGTTCCTTTCTGAATCCTACTATCCAATAATTTCGCAGTTCCCATAACATTATTATTCGTGGTTGACCATAAGTCAGGCATAATCTGAACTCCTAGAGAATTACTTGCAAACTCATTTGTCTCTTCCTGAAATTGTGGATTTTTATTATATTCCTCACGGAAAAGTTTAATGGGTTGTAAGTATACATCATCTGTAATAGGTATATGCAAGTCATTCAAGTTCTTCAATAGTTTATCATACACTGCTCCGTGTTCTACAGCACTCTTGATTCTGTCAGATTCAATACGCATTATGTGAAGTTTATCTTTGACGGTGCGGCTTAGAATAGGACTTGACTTGTAATCCGGCAAGTTTGCAGCACTGCTTACAATATTTCCTTCGGAGTCAAGTACTAATTTCTTGTCAGAAGCATTCTTAGGCACTATGTTATATTTTACACCTCTAGAGATATTTGATATTTTTAATGGCAATGCATATGATTTAGTTGTTGTATGTGATTTGCTATTTTCCACTGAATAAATTTCACCATTCTGAAGCGGACCAACTCTCACTACATTACCCATTCCAACGACATGGTCTTTTATACGTGTGATGTATTCCTGCAAAAAAAAACATATAACAGTGTAAATTTCATAATAAATGTACTTTATTTATTAAATTTGTATCTGTCATTACGTACATTTATAATTGCGACAGACCAAGAAATTATTCGACGTATTCAACTGTATTCGAGAGCGTACTACTCTGGTAAGATCACATTCAATTCACGCCATAAGATATACATAACAGTACCAAAATTAGACTGTAAACAGTCGTCCACGTGGAGGTAAATATAAAAAATAATAAGAGGTATAACATCTTAGTCCCCTAGAATGGCAACGCATGAGTGAGCATCACAGGTTAAATGATAACCTGATACCCGTAGTGCTGTTCATGTACATAGGTAATGGGTACCGCTTACTATCAGATAGGCCGGCCGCTTATTTGCCATTCTAATTACATAAAATTATATCCCTAATAGGTTGTCCTACCTGAAAATTTTAAAACTATGATAGTGAACCTAGAGCCAATAACCCAAACCAGGGGATTAATTATGTAATGCTGTCTCTATCAAATATCATTTCAAGGTAGTACACGTAGAATTAGTACCCGACTAAAAATATCTCAAACATATTATATTTTATATAGGAATTTTCCAGACTTTTGACGAATTCAAATAGCTACAAACAAATCTAATATTTTATTACATTACATGAGACATTGACACATATATGGGAAGAGGATGCAATACAATGTTTAAAATACAATCCATTTCCTTTTGATTATAATGAGGGATTGTTATTATATCTGACGTCAAGATAACGCCCAATAATTATAATTTGTATGCAAATGGAATGTGGTGTAGCGGTTAATGAAATTCCTTCATTTTTTATGGTGGTGGTTGTTTTAAAAATGTGTGTATTACTATACACACATTTTTATTCCTCAGTACGTCTATGTGGTGGTCTGGGCGCTTTTCTGTATAGATTATGAAAATTAAACATAACACGAACTGTATACTTGAAGAAGCATAGAGTTCTTACGGTTTCTAACTATATACAACCTATTTCAGCAGATATTCGTATTCTGTTGTTTCGTTGGAATATAAGCAGTGAAATGGCCTTTATTTAAATGGCACAATATGTTTTATGGTGTTCACGTCGTAAACAGGGACGACTAAAGATGTAGTATGAAGGTATACGTACGGTGTGTTCGGACTTCTCTTGGTCGGAAGCATGGTGTCGAGCGGCGGGCGCGACGTCGTGCGGCGGCAACTGTGTACGGAGCTGCGCGCGTCGTCGTCGAGCAGCCGCCGAGCCCGACACCGGCGCCAGCGCGCCCAGGCACGACATGTACTCCGAAACCTGTAGTGCGAGAATGCCAGGCATTAGGAGCCATCCAACGAATAAGTCACACGCTGAAGGGCTCGACAAAGTCGGACATTAGCTGCCTATACATGTACGCTCTTTCACGCGAAAAGAGAACGCATATACACAAATACATGCAGTATGCAGTAATTTTTTTGCGACATCACTAATGATTTTATGCGTGCACTTTTCTCCGTTAAATTGGGAATGCTCCTGATCTCTCGTGAAAGTTCGTGTCGCGTAAAGGCAGTTAGTTATGGAACTGACTGTCTCTTAGCGTGAATGTTAGCAATACTTCTAACTTCATCTACTGTGCTATAGTGGCAGATTGCATAGTGGTAGCTAGTCAGGAACTGGTCAATGTGACCAATTTCCTCCCTGTTGAAAACTTCTATAATGGTTAAAATATTATGAGGATCAGTGAACGCCATATGTAGACAATCTGTTAATATAAATAAGGACAGATTTTATAAACTTTAGGAATTATAATGCACAAGGTATACTTAAAAAAAAATGTTTGTGAGGATCCTGTTCCTCAACCCACCCTCGGAACCGCAGCTGACATTCACTAAGATTCATAATAAAACTATTTTAACCATTTTAGAAGCTTTCGATAGAGATTAAATGTTACGAAATTATTTGCGGACTACAGTCAATTTGGTGACATTAAAATAATTAATATTATTATTATATATTATTTTGTGTTTTATTATTTTCTATATATGTTAGTCTTTAAAGTATATTTATACGATGGGGCAAAATTGTTACAATATAAACTCGCCTGAAATAAAAACATATTATTAATATAGAGTAAATTTATTTTTACCACATGATTATGCTAAAAACGTATTATTCAAATTTTATATTATGTAAATAATAATTATATAAATTTGGCATATCAAAACATCCATACTATTAATAAAATATGTGATATTAGGTAACAAATACTGATAAGAAATACAGATTTAATCTCCAGTAAGTTGATTAGATATACACCTAATCCTAGGAAACACAGAGAATAAATAAAAAAATATTTTGATAAACATACAATTTAGATAACCATAATAACAATACTTATTTTGTATCTAGGATATGTACATTGTATGTATAGAATCGATTATGAAGCGGCATACTTCCAACGATATATAGCAATAAATACAATTATTGAAGTCTCTTAACATGGGCTATAAAATTTTGCCTATGATAAGAATTTATTTCTAAATTTCTGACCGAATTTAAATTTGTTTACATTCTTTTCCACTAATCAATTCCATAAGTTGAAGTGTCTATTTGTAATTTGTACTGAAAGTACATACATTAAAAAATCATGTAAAACTAAAATTGTCTGTCTGTCTGTGTGTTCTTACTAATATCTGAAACGGCTGGAACCATTTTGAAGAGACTTTCACTCGCAAATAGCTAATGTTGTAAGGAGTAACTTAGACTACATTAATTTAGGATTTTTTTATATTAAAAATAAGTAAAAGTCCAAGTCGACGAAGTCGCGAGACAGCTAATTGGATTTTTTTTATTTTACTAGCTGTGCCCGCGATTCCGTCCGCGTGGAATTTAACTTTATTTTTCTAAAATAAAATAATTTTTTTAAAACAAAAGTAGCCTAAATTACTCCTTATACGGAACTTTTTTTGCCAAGTAGCTGATGTACAGCTATCTGGCAAAAAAAGTCCCGTCTAAATCGGTTCAGCCATTTCAGAGATAAGCCGGAACAGATAGACAGACAAAAATGTTATATATGTAACGTATTTATATTAATATGCATGTAGTACAAACGGTTATTTCAATATTACAAACAGACATTCCAATTTTATTTATATCTATAGATAAAAATGCTATAACAGTAAAATTTCGTAAATGGAACACGTAAGCATTACAGGAAATATAATATTATATACTTCAACTAGCACAGGCATCATTAAAAATCTTCCACAAACCAAATTATGATTCAAGTTGTTATCTAAAATATTTTCTAAAAACAAATATGATTGAAAATAACTATATTACTAGCACAATAATGATAAGGAAATTATTACCAATTCTGTTGATGCATTTGGAGGAACCCAGTCAAGTTTGACTGGCTTATCAGTTACACCCCGGATTTTGATTAACGGCACTGTGAAACAGAATCACAATTCAGTATCAAAAATACTGCATAATTACATAAATTATATAAAATACATGAAATTTGAAATATTATTGGAAATACCCTAATATTGTATTGCTAAAAATATCAGAAACTTCATAACATGTCTTTAGATGAATAAAGGTCAAAATTTAAGTAATATTAATCATAATAGCACTTTATTTTGACTATATTTTGATTGAAGGAAAAGTCCTTCAATCAAAATATAGTCAAAATAAAGTTTCAATCGAGGGTTTGTTGCCTGCATTATACAAATATTTATATTATACAATTTTATAGTTAATTACAATTATGTATTTATGAACAAATTCAGGTCTATAATTACGGCGGCAGGTCCCGCGATTCTAACTAGCTGTGTCCTCCAGATTAAAATTGTATCCATTAGGCGGGAATTGGCCTTCAGCCGCTCCACAAGTCCTTCACTGTGTTTGGAGTATCATCTACATTCACCCCCTAGCATCCAGAGCAGTTGTAACGGCCAGCTGTGGCCAACATCATTAGAGTAGTCCGAAGAAAAAATAAAGTACTGATAGATATCTGATATCTGATAGATACCTAGATATCTGAGTAGGTAGATATAGATATTTATTTATATCCCAGATTTTACTGTGGTCAATTATGACTACACTGTGGGTAATTATGTTTATATTAACCAACTCACACATAAAACTGACATGAATATATCACAATCATGACCTGTTAAGGGTAAGCAAGTTATGAACTAAACTTCTTTGGGATGGAACAGATAATTACAGAGGGGCTATTGTTACTAGTAAAATTCTCATTAGTTTTTCTTCTTCTCTTTAGAAATCATCAGAAATATCACTTAGTAATGACAATTCGTTATGTAATCTGATTTCATTTAGGATTCATATTTCATTTTTGTACATAAGACAGAATATTTGAGAATAACCAACCATTAATAATTTTGTAAAACATGAAGGGCATCATTTGCACATTGCCTATTTTTCTGGACATGTATATTTAAGCTGATAATACGCAAGTAACAGTAAGTAGTGACTACCTGGTGTATTTGATAATCGGATTAAAAAAAAATTGTGCATCAACATACACTTTTTGTGGAATACTTACATGCGGCCTTTTTAGGTCTAGCAGTGCCAAGTAGTTCAAATTGAGCCCAACCAGACAAGTCATCATCTTGTACATCATGCACATCTTTGCTGCAGTGGCAAGCACGGCACACTTTTCTCCAGAAATGCAAATCCAAACCAGGACAACTAGTCCCTAAAGATGAAGTATTCATTTTAATTAGCATTGCCATAGTTAATAGTATTCAACAAAACATGGATTTGTAAGAAAATGTATCTATTTCTTTAAAATTAATACTCTTTATGAGATAGTTCTCTTCTATAGGCTAACTGTTAAACATACAATTTTAAATGGTATCTCATACAGCAATTTATATATAATAGCTAAAATAGATTCAAAATATCAATATATGTACACAAATTAGGGAATCAGTCTTAATTATAATTATAGTGTATTGTTAAGTATTGGTATTAAAAATACAATATTGGGATAGTATGTACCCGGTTGCATTGCATTGCATTACTTGTACAATGCAAACATTTGTAATTATGAGTGTGACTATTTGGATTAGTCTAGGTATTTTCTGCAAAAAATGTATTTAAATATTTCTATCAGTTGTCTAGCACTTTGTAACACATGCTCTGGTTACCTTGGGATTAAATATGTAAATTGTCCTGGATTATTATTATTATATTATGAATATGTTATTGTTTTATATTTTAAGTTAATCAAAGTTATGGTTCAAATACATTTATTTATGGATAAAGAAAATATTCACAAATTTCGGAATTACTGATTTTATATTAATTTGTTCCATTTGAATACCTTGGTTTGTGTTTACGGAACATTCAAATGTATTCCAAATTCAAACATACCACAAGAGTTACATGGAGCCCCGGCACCACTATCGTGACCGAGCCGTGCTTTGCTCAATTTTTCACGCTGACTCTCAAGTTTTGACAGCCAAGCTGGTGCCTCTGGAGTCTCAACACATGACTGTCCCTTCTGTAATTAATATTAAATATATACTGATGTCGAAGACTAACAAATAAATATTATGTATGTTAGAAGAACAAAAACTGCTTACTTGCTTAGACATCGCAGATGAGTATTAAAAAATGAAAGAACTCAAGGGAATTAAAAAAATCATACAAAGAAATACATTATTGAGTAACAGTTTTTAAAAAGCCGAAATTAAAATCTCAGGACTGCTGTAAAACTCTAGACCAAAAATAACACATTATAAAACGATAAAAATTAAGACGACAAGATGTGAAATACGAAATTAATTATTATCAGCAATTTGTTTTAATAATACACAAAAACAAAAAGTGAAATAAAATTAAATTAAAAACTGATAAAGTGAGCAGAAACAAGACAAGAATGAATCATGAATGAATTAGGGATGTCGCAATTGACGTTTTTACTTTAATTTTAAATTATCGATAAAATCGAATCAGTGATATCAATCATGATGAGATAGGCGAATAAAGTTATACGAAATAAAAAAAACTTGACATCATATCTGTTCTAGAGCTAATAGAAAACATCAATATTTTTTTTTTCTTCCGTTTCTCATTCGATACTCATCGTATTTCGGTATATATACATTAATAACTAATTCGGTGTTTTTCTGTTATCGACATTCCTAGAATGAATGAAGTTTGATTATTGGTATCACATTGACGTAATCAGTAATCACACTATTAAATATGGTATGAAAAGACTTCTAATTTGTCAAGTATAAAATGTAAAAAATTGTATCCATAGTAAATGGAAGTACATAAAACAACTTGTATCCAGAGTCTTAAAAAATAACTTAAAAAAATAATAAATAGGAACCGAATTAAGCAGCATCTGCTATTTTCTTTGCCTATCAAATTTATCTGGATATTTTTTAAAATAACTAGTTAACAACAACAATTTTGTCTATGGCCGTCATCCATCTTTCAATTTCAATACGAATTCTAAAGCTCTCTTTAACTAGATTTTAATTTTTTATAAGTATTCGTTTTCTACTGAGCGTATTCCAATATTAATAAGCTATCCAATTATTTATATCGATAAATTAGTGTATATAGTACCATATAAATTAAAATAGTTGAAAAAAAGGTAAAGTTAGAGTTTGTTATTACCATACGTTCACGTTTCATGACTCATGAGTCGTGTTGAATAAGATTTTATTTTGTAGATGTCTTCAGGAAGACCTATCAAGTGTGTTGTAGTCGGCGACGGTACTGTAGGAAAAACGTGCATGTTAATTTCGTATACAACAGATAGCTTTCCAGGCGAATATGTACCCACAGTGTAAGTTTATTTAATTTAATATTGATAGACTTATATTTGTCTAACTATTAGTAATTCTTTCAATAATGATCAATCTAATTGAAAATATTGTAATCTTTTCTTACAGATTTGATAATTATTCTGCTCCTATGGTGGTTGATGGTGTAGCAGTATCTTTAGGTTTATGGGATACTGCTGGCCAAGAGGACTATGATAGACTAAGACCCTTAAGTTATCCACAAACTGATGTCTTCCTTATATGTTTTAGTGTTACAAGGTATCACCTTTCTACCTCTAATATTTTATTTAAAAATAATTAATTCTAATAAGTAATTCGGATTATTGTGAAGTCACTGCTGATAAACTAGCTGTGGTTTACCAATTAATTGAATTACATATTCACTTATATATATAAATATATATGTAATATTCACACAGCATCATCTAGGATCAAGTCACCAGAGCTTATGCTATGAATACCAAGTATCTGATAGAAATATTTATATATATATATATATATTGTAAGTAATATATACATAGAAACACCCACAGCAATACAAACAATCTCAAACTTATGATTACAAATATTTGTACTATGTGACGATTTGAACCCATGACCATGCCACCTAAGGCAGTATGCTTGTCCATTAGACTAGTGAAACTGTCAAGAATAGGATCAGTTATGTATTATGTTCAGTTATATGTCTATAAATATATATATAATAATGTATAAGACAACAAAAAAAACAAAACTGAACAAATGTAGAAAACAAAAATCACTAATAAGAATTATCTGCCACTTGAAGATTTTCTTTTATTTTGGGGATTTGAAATTATCTGTGTGTGTGTGTATATCAGCTTGGTTATTGAAATTTTATGTATAGTATAGTTAAACTACAGAATTATACTTAACAGCATCCAAAATATTTGTTTTTTGAATAAATTATTTTAAATTAACGATTTCAGTCCTTCGTCTTATGAGAATGTGACTTCCAAATGGTATCCTGAAATAAAACATCACTGCCCTGATGCACCTATTATTCTAGTTGGTAAGTAACCATCAAATTGTATTAATTTCAAACAACAGTAACGATTCACTGATCTCAAATCGATTCATATGCATGCATTTCTCTTGGACAGGGTATTTTGTACTTTGTACTAGTTGACTAATTTCTTATAATAAATAACTGTCAGCAACAACTTCACCTGCTTTTTTTTAAGATAAAAGAAAGCCTATATTTGTCCCTGTGATACAATATATTCATAATTATTGTATCACATATATAAATAGTTATTTTGGGCATTGTATCTTTAATTTTTGTTTATAATCATCATCATCATCATCATCATCGCAGCCCGGAAGACGTCCACTGCTGGACATAGCCTATAGGACATGCCTTAATTGTTTATAATCATTTATAGTTAATTTAAGACTTCATTTAAAATCATTATATGCACTTTGGACCCACTTAACACTTCTTATGGCACACTGTATTGGCTTTACTGAAAGATATCTCTTTTACAGATTTCCTCTTCTTAATATTATTTCTAATGAATATACTTAAATAATATATTGAAAGTGCAATAAAGAATATAGTATATCTACAGTTCAATTATCTTTTTAACATCTATTCAGCATTTTAGTTGTGATAATGTAACTGTAATAGCCAGGCAGTACCAGAAAACTGAGGTAGTCTTTGTAAAAAGTGATTTGGGTGGGAGAATCAGTCTTATCTGTTTGCCAGCCACTAGATTTGTAAGCTATGTTTTGGTTGAAGAGTAAAATTATGGGAATAATTAACATGATAATAAATGTCCATAATGCTAAGGTTTTTGTATGTAGGCGATGGTTACCACTTGTCATAAGGTGGTTCGTCAGCTTGATCTCATTTCAATTACATAAAAAAATAGACTTGCATTTATAACAATGCTATGAATATTTTTTATGTGTTCACAAAGTATACTTCTATATCGTATCTTTACTTAGTTAGAAGCCTACATAATACTTTTCTGTTGTATATTATTTATAGGAACGAAAATTGATTTGAGAGATGATAGAGAAACATTAAGTTTACTCTCAGAACAAGGAATGTCACCATTGAAAAGGGAGCAAGGTCAGAAGTTGGCAAATAAAATAAGAGCAGTCAAATATATGGAATGCTCCGCCTTAACGCAACGGGGTCTCAAACAAGTAAGTGATCCTGTTTACACATGTGACCACACTGTGTGATTATAGTATAATGTGTAGTACATTTTCCTCTTTTGGGGCTATCTACAAATTACGTCACACTACTCTTGTTTTACTTTGTAAAAACTAGTCACATTTTAATTGTGTGTCATTACCAACCATAGGACCCCCTATCAGGAGATGGGAGGAGGGTTATTGTTTAATGTATGATACCCTTTCACATGCATTAAATAAAAGAAACCTTGTTTACGCAGGCTGGGCACCAGTGAAGGATGATTAGATGAATGAGCCTATCTGACAAATTCACTAGGACTTGATCATGATGGATTCCGGGCGGAACCGCGTGAATGTCAACCATGCATGACATGGTACATTACTAGCAATAACTTTTTCAGTCCACATTACTCACAATCCCCTTCTTCCCCTTGGGAGGAGGGGTACTCGGAAAGTTGTCTCATCTGATTTTCTTTTAATTTATTGCAGGTGTTTGATGAAGCAGTCCGTGCAGTATTAAGACCAGAACCTCAGAAGAGGCATCAGAGAAAGTGTTTGATCATGTAAATATAACTTAATGACATAGTTAACAAAAATGACACTCATGCAGGAATCTCAATAAACAGTAATAATGTGTTTCTACACCAAAACTCTGCTCAGTTTACTTTTAGAAATAGAATAATTACCTATTCATTAAAGACTCATACAAATAAAGTCCCATATGTGCCATAAATTCCATTATTACTGCATAGTGCTATTGATACAGATGTCGAAAATCATCACAGTGATATATTCTAGTATTGTTACTTTGTGATCATGTATTAAGCAAACGGAAATGCCAAAGATTATGAGTAGATATAAGTCACAGTATGTTAGAGTTTGTTTTTTATACCCTTTTGTTGGTTAGAAACAAATTGTTACTGTTAGGAATTCACGAGACTACTAATAAAGTTATTTTTATACAGACAACTGAACCTCGAATATTTTGAAATCTGAGATATTATATTCTTATGCAACTTGTGAATAAGGACTGACTGTAGATGCTAGTGTGTACTAATAACATACTCAAAATTATTATATAATTATTTGCGAGTAAATGGCAAGGCATTTATCATGACTATTCAAGAGTAAAATATTTGTTATTGCATTTTATTTAGATGTATAGGATATGCTGATAAAAAGTAGAATACTTGCTAAAAATATTTTTGTAAATCTAGCTAATGATACAATTTATAAAGGGCAATAATACTTTGTAATATATCATACAAATCTTGGAGAAATGTAGACCAATTGCATGTGTATAGGAGCGTCTTCTATCCAAAGCAGTTATAAATAATGAAGGTCCAAATATCCACGTAACTTGGTCTACCATAGAGTTATGGCAGCTGAAATGTATGCTTCAGTGGTGATCATTTATTATTCTAGTTTTATTATTTAATATTGTATTACTAATCTAATATTACTGATTTTTTTGTGTATGACTTAATGTAATGTTTAATTTTGTATAGATTATGTGGTATTAAGGTGTAAAGTGTGTTTATAATGAATCACTATGGCGAAGTATTTTTGTATGTGAAATCTCTAGGGTAAGAATATTAAAACACATTTACAGTGTGATAATACTTAGTAACATAAACTGTTTGACAATATGGTACTTCTGTATTGTTAATATAGCAGTTAAATCTCATTAGGTCTTTACAAATCAATGGTGTTTGATATTCATATAACTTGCCTTTAATATACAAGATTTAGTGGGCGCCTTATTGACATTTAAATATATTTTAATTGCTACTTTTTATTAGAGAATTATATTGTTAAAAGATATATAATAATGTCTCGGGAATGTTTGTCACTTCACTAGGCCATGTTGCTAGTGCTGACCATAAGTAACAGTATGAAATCACAATTTTAAAGGTCTATGGCAGATACCCTAACATGCGTATTTTTTAGTTTCATGAGAGCTAAATATTTTGTATTTAATATGAGTATATCTCATAGATAGTATTGCCATAATAATTTACTAAAATACTAACGAAAATCAAGTAAACAGTTTAATCTTTATTTGAAATCACTAAGATTATAAATGATACTGTACAGCTGCCAGAGTATCACTATCATCAGTAAGAACGAAGTGTATTAAATTAAAGAAAATTCAATTATTTTATTTGCGTTGTATTAATTTGAACAAAACAGATGTACAATATTGTGTCCAAGTTATATTATTTTTCATAGTATCTTAAAAGACGTGTTTTTGAATCTATATGATTGTTAAAGCAATCTTCGTGTCAATTAAACTACATAAAAGTGTATTTTTTTTATTCTAAACACAAGTAAAATCCACAGGTGCCCATCTATTGTGACTATAATTTAAACTAGCCCAATTATGCTGTACATGTGCATGTATATATAAATATATTTTTATGTAGATATCTTGAAGATGGCTCTAACAATTACGCATTAAATTTTTTTTATAGTATTTTGGTATAACGGTCAATATTTTGTGGACAATATGAATTTAAAGAATAGAATAATTCTCTGTAATATTCCACAGAGCAAATCTTGTAAAGAGTTTATTAGCACATTATGAGTTGAGATTGATTCATTGAGTAGATTCTGATGAATTGTTTGACATGATGCCTACGGCTACCTTTTACCATCGCACCGCTCGCCATCGACAGGGTATTCATCCCCACATGCTGGAACCTAAGTGGTCTCGAACAGTGCGGTTTCAGAGGAACTTCCTCCCACGTACATTTAGATTGTGGAATGAACTACCTGTCGAGGTTTTCTCGAGAGACTACAGCATGGGGTTTTTCAAGAAGGGTATATTAAGGTTTCTTTACGGTCGGCAACGCGCATGTGACACCACTGGTGTTTCAGGCGTCCATAGGCTGCGGTAACCGTTTACCATCAGATGCCAGCCGTATGCTTGTTTGCCACCTACGTAGTATAAAAAAAATATACCATGATATGACAGACAGATTTTACTACTCGTGACATAGCAAGAGGATGGAGACTGAAGAACGTGTGGGTTGCGTTGAATTGATTCCTGTTACAGGGTAACGAATATTATAAATTTAAGTGCATTATTTATATTGAGAAGCATACATTATTACCATAATTTTAAAAGAAATGTGTGGGTTAAATGTGTGGAAATTAATCTTTAAAGATTTGCTTGGTGGATTAAAATGATACGCAACAAAGGGCAACAATTTAAAAACGATTAAATAAATCACTTGCGATAAATTATAATTGTCATATAAATAATAATCTTTTAGTGGTGAAATGAAGCGTTCCAATACAAGAGAACCTATAGTGTCTGCGCTTTTTTTTGGATTGTACCTGTATTAAATAATTGTTATTAGGTGTTATAACCAAAGAGATGAGAAAATAAAAGGTGAAGGTTATTTATCTTAAATTGACGCGCGGAGCGGGGATATACAAACCACTTGTAAAATAATTTATCGCAAGGGAAGTACCTGTTTGAAATTATCAAATAACAAAATATAATACTTATAATAAACGGCCGAGAATTCCACACGTCTAGATAAGATGACCGAGGTATAATTTTCACACCGGCAAACGTCAGGTGGATTACCGCCAACACGCCACTGTCTATGGAAAACATGTATAAGTGCGAAAGACTGCACTGAAATTGTCAATAAAATTAAACATTGTCCATTTCACAATTATATGTTTAAAGACTGTTTTTATTTATATTATAAAGCTTCAAAATGTATGTATATATACTTATTCAATTATATGAACAAATGCGCAATTTATTATGAATGAATATTATGTAATAAATACTGCACTTCATAAATTATTGAATTTATCGCAGTTCTTATTTAATTATTCCACCTATGTTGACTTTATTCATATAGGTACTATGAAAAAAAAACAATAGTTTTTCATACAAGTTTTATTTCATATAACACGTTTACATGTCATTGAAACATCAATATATCAACATAATTATGATATTTTTTTGCGTAAATGGCAATCCCATTACAAACTACATATAGGAGTCGACACTAAATACTTGAGACGGTTATCTTCAGTGTGTCATACAATTACACATGCAATATAAATATATATATTATATTATATATTTCCTTCCTAGCTGATATTAATATAATTTTATTACAAAACATCGTTAATATGTTTAGGTAGGTATTATTAATATTCTAAATCATGTTGAATGGATTGATTTGTGTATAATTCTTTTTCTAGAATACATAGATAATGTATCTGAGATTATTATGAGATACCTACGTTAATTACTGACTGGCTAGATAAGATATAAACAAAATTTATATTGTGTGTGTAATTTCATTATTGGAAGAATTCAATTAAACTAATAATTTCAGTCGATTCTGCTAGGAGTTTTCCAACTATATATTATGCATTATTTCCTTATTATTTGGAAGCATAGGTTTGTGTTATCACTTTGCATGGACATCTAACTCAATGACTGAATATCGGTCTAAGTAATTAAATAAAAACATTACATTATTACTGAAGACATATAGAAACGTTGCTCGTTTAAATAGAATTTTAAAGCTTGACATACACGAAACTAAAATCTCAGTTTCAAACTCATAAAAATATTACATAATTAATCGTATATTACGATAATAAGAATATGCCTTATAGTGATACTAAATTATTACGAAATTACATTAAAAAATTATAAAATAAATGCAACACAATAGGAAAACTATATTAAATAAACATTTTATAATTAATCATGCATTAATAAATTCACCATAATAGCAATTCTTACCAATAATATAAATATATTTGATCGTTCCAAACATTATTTAGCCTTAAACAAATATTAATGTCATAAAATTAAATTATAGTCGAAAAGGAACACCAGGTGACACGAGCATCACAAATTCATTTAGTGGTTAAATCATCTTTGGCATCCCGAAATTGACTACACATAGTGCCAATTGTGATGATACATACTTTTACAAAGTATATTTTATTTCCATGGATTAAAATAAAATTAAGTTAGACAGTAAATTAAATGTTCTACAACGCGAATAGTTGCATTAATTAAATGGTTTGTTTTCATTTTGACCGAAATACTGGAAATTGTAGCTCTTTTGCTAGGGTACGAAGGGACGTCCCTCTGGAGGGGGGACTGTCTGTGAAGTTTTCAAACATTCTTCATTGCACTCAGAAAATACAGCAATAAAATAATTTGAAGACAATGTGAGCAAAGATGGACATATCCCTAGAAGAGCTCACTTCCAGTCAAAACAAAACACCACAACAGTAAAAAAAATCGCCTTATACTACGTTACAACATATATGGTATTTCATTCTCATAGGTTGATGCTACGAGACCTTTTTAAAGCCTTATTAACAATACCTTTGTTAAACACTGATGATTTGGATATTTTGAGTGTGCTTATGTTGGATATATTTTTTAATATCAAACACTGATGGATTCGTCGATATCTCGATGGAAGCTGGACTACTTGTAGACTACTTTGAACGCAGTTTTCCAACAAGCTACTGTGATAAATAAGTAGGTAGGTACTTAATAACTATCGATTTATAATCGACATATAGAAGTTTAAAATTATTATTCTATGAAAACACCCGAAGTATTTCTATCACTGTACTCATGTGTTATTATGCAATGAAAATTATTTTATGTTTATAATACGTACCTACCTAAATCAATCAGCCGATATTTCAATATTATTGTTATATTAGATTAATAAATATAATTATCATAACAGGTAGTTTAAATATCGACGACATAAAGTTACACAATTAGGATTTAATCCTGCAAACAACACCCAATTAGACATATTATACAATACTGTGATTACATGTTTCCAACAAATCTATACTACATTTAACATAATAACAAAATATTTTACCAAATGCCTACTCCAATTTCTAGGTATTGTCAAAATCAATATAAAACTGATTACTTTTATGATAAATAGATACTTATATTAAATCAATTAAAATTTGTGCTCTTGGGCAAAATATTTTAATACAATAATGACACTCTTTAACCAGTAACTATGAACAATTTAGTTAATTATAAGTGGCATACAAAAAGCAATTGCATATGCACAAACGATCAAATTTATACACGAGGTGTAAACGTAATAATTAAACTGTTAATTCTTAAAAAATCAATACAATTTATGTCGAAAAACGATCTAACGATATAAAAAAAATAGGACTGGGCGAAGCTCAGACGCCCACCAAGTGTACCAGACATATTGATAATACTGGTATAATATTCAAAATAACAAGTATCTGCAAGAATAATTAATTGAATTCATTGAAAATTAGTTTAATCATATTGTTAGGACTCTAGGACCTTTTATATTTTCATACTGTAATAATATAACAAAATAATATTTTCCACTTGCAACTAATTTGCACCTTTGTCTAACCAAATTTTCATTTATACATTTTATTACCTTTCATAACTGTTCATAAATTATAAAATAGTAAGTTTAATGGCAATCGCGTACACAGTACAGTAGTATCAATAAATTGGTATGAATGGCAGTAATACAGATTACGGTAGATTCAGTAGATAGTGAATGCTGTAGCAAAATAATGTTGCATAATTGATTACTTTTGTAATGTAATATAAACAATAGGTAAAATACCATTTTTCTTTAATATGACAGTAATATTGTCACATTTTTAGCATAAGCTGATATTTTGTTATAAAAAAATAAAGTTTTCAGTACTAAAATATAATCATATTTCTAATAACTTAACACAAAAACTTTGAAGACCCAGCATTCATGCAAGTAGTAAATTACTAATTACATGAAAATAATTTAATATTAAATACATATGACACCAATAACATACATAACTATCAATTTGTAAAATGTTAATAGAGAGTTCAGCGTTGAACTATGACAACAGTCCACCATAGTACATGTATTCATCTGTCTACTCAGTCAGTGAGCTGGGTATTAATTATGTAATGCATTACAAAAAGTTCTTATTTGAAACAGATTGAAATTGAAAGGTCTGCAATTATATTAAATGATTTGGTAGTAACAATTATAGATCTTACAACTTAGTTAATAACTGCACCTGCCAAAACAAGTTTCAAGTCTGAAATGATTTCAAGTGTATTATATAAACAAGTTCTTTGTGTAGTAAACAGATAAACCTCTTTAATGTTTTTAAAATTCCTCTTTAATCTGTCAGATTACATAGTGGACAACATGACAAAGTGAACTGTTTGACTGCCTCATGGACACATACAGATTAAACATATAATTTATTCTTATATTTATACAGCATTTTCCATAAATTCTATCTACTACTACTAATGGATGTATTTTTGTATTTTTCTATATTTTTATTCACATTTATTAAATAAAATAAATCCTTAACATTATTAAAATAAAGACATTTAGTAAAGCCTATGAAGATACAAATTACTACTGATAACATATATTTAAATAAAAAGAAAATATTCTCTGCTTGAGAAAAACTTACAACTTGACACATTGTGGATTCATTCTAAAGATAGAAAGCCCTTAGAAACATTATGTATTCAAACATTACTACGCTCAAACTTTAGCAACATTTTTATGACAGAATTTTTGAGTATACATTTTCAAGGTATGCTTGTACCTTTTAACAAGTCAATTTATGTGCCCTCACTACTTGTCAAATAGTCATCATCCTGATATCACATAGCCCTGTATGGTCCCTGAGACTTTAAATACTGAATCACTAATGAAGGACCAGAAGAAACCACTTCAGGTGGAATAGCAGTTAGAGGGCAATTTTCAATGCTCATTATCTGCAGGCTAACACAAAGAGCTAATTCAAAAGGCAAATTAAACAAATTAGGATTGTCATTTAAATATAAAGATTCAAGATTTTCAAGAGTACCTATTTCTTCTGGAAGATATTGCAAATTATTTTCACCCACACTCAGGAATGTGAGATTAGTTAGATGGCCAATTGATCGTGGTAAAGATGTCAACTGATTAGATTGTACAATTAATTTCTGCAAGTCATGTAAAAACCCAATTTCATTCGGTAAAACCTCCAACTTATTTTCTTCTACATCCAATACTCTCAATTTCTTCAAGCTTCCAATATTAGGTGGAATTCGTTTCAACAAATTGTTTGACAATATCAATACCTCTAAGTTCTGTAAACACTGGATGTCATCTGGTAATTTGGTCAGATGATTAGTTCCCAAATTGAGTTCTACCATATTTGTCCAGGTACCAATATCAAGTGGAAGGGATGCCAATAAGTTCTCTTTCATATTCAATTTAGTAAGATTTTTTGCTCTGGAAAATATGGCATAGGGTATTTTGTCTATCTGATTATGCTCCAGATTAATAGAGTAAGCATTTGTAAACTGTGACGGACCTCCTGAAGGATAACTCATAAATGAATTGCGGGATAAGGTTATGCTTGTTAATTCATTTAAGCTGGCTAGGAGGCCATCAGGTAGTTGAGATATAGAATTACCTTCAACGTTAAATTCATCCATGTGTTTGCAATTACTCAATGTGGATGGTATTCCTGTTAATCTGTTGTATCTTAATCCAATACGAGTTAATGCTTGAAGATTCCCAATAGTTTCAGGAATATCCAATAAATCATTATGTTGTAAATCCAGTGTTGATAAATTAACACAGTTTCCTATCTCTTGAGGCAAATGTTCTAGATGATTGTGTGAAACATCAAAGGTCACTAAATTGATGAGTTTGCCAATTCCTGAAGATAATTCCTTTATTTTGTTTTCTCTCAAACTAAGCATAGTAAGATTAGTGAGATTTGCAATGCCATCTCCAACCACTCTAATTCGGTTAAAACGTAAAAATAGTGTAGTCAATGAAGTTAATTTATAAACAACCTCAGGGATGTCACTCAATTTATTGTGTCGTAAATCTAAGACCTTGAGACATTTCAGGTTAGCAAGTGAGTCTGGTAAGCTCATTAGCGAATTCTCATTTAATGCTAATGTTTGTAAGTTAGTCAAACAACCAAACTCTACAGGAAGCGCCACCAATTTATTACCATACAAATAGAATTCCACTAAGTGCGTCAGATCCCGGACATTCGGCGGCAAAGATGTTATGGAACATTTACTGAGATCTAGACGCCTATCGCCTTCCTCACGACATCTCATGAACTCTTTGATGACATCTAAATCTGCTTGAATCGGTTTATTTTTCTTGGCTGTTGGTTTCGGCTTATTAGATTCGGGATGTTTGACAGTTACGACTTTAGGTCGCGCAGCCTCCGCATTTGCAAGTGGCCGTACTGTATCTGTGTTTGTTATTGTTGCAGATGAAGTTGATGGTTTCTTTTCCCTCATGCTGCTTGAGCTCGCTGTAGAAATGCTAAAATTTTGTTTTTCTTTTGGACTAGGCAGAGCGACGGCGATAACACAATCCCACGATTCAGAACAATCGTCGTCGTCTTTATTACTCATACCGCTCCTGCTTCTATATATCTGTAAATTACTTTTAATCTCTTGTTTATTCAATTTTCTATATATTTGTGAGTTATGAGTTCAGTTAAACACACTTGACATGATTTTGTCATTTCATCTCAAAACAAATCAATACCTGCTCCAGAACAGATATGAAAATAGCCACTTCGGCTTTCGTTCGTCTTTCCTATGTTAACATAGATAAATAAGCACTAATACTAAAAAACTATGCAAATATACACAGGTATTTTAATTTATTGAAATAATTACTATTAGTGAGAAATGAAACTCAGTACTCAGGCTTGTGTGTAAATTTAAGTAAATTGGAAAATTGAATTAGTCGAAGGGAGAGTTGATCGGAATCACCACAGACCAAACCAAAAACTAGGTCTAAGTGAGGAGGCTAGTAAAATATTGTCGATTTTATTTTGTACTCGAATTATCGATATTAATAGTAATATTGCCATCCGATACATTGATGTCTTGATATAAAGTATAATAATTCATCTTTTTTTGCTCTAAGTACTACCATCGTAATCAAATTCAACCATACCATATTCGTTATTAACTAACTGTAAATCTAAAAATATACCTTGAGTTTTCCGTAAGTAATAAATTCTAAAAACTTCATAAACTATTTATGAAGGTTTTAAAAATTATTATACTTGTCCTCTTGGGACAAAACTGATTAGTACTACCACTGACTGTAGGTCAATTCATACAAGAATTACTATATATCTATTATAGATAAATATTTTTTCAAATTCTCACAATACCTCATTATTTATTTTAGAATCTATGAATACACGTACATGATCTAAAATAATTATCGATATTATATACGTCTCTAAAGTGATGTCTACGAATCGAATTTTCTGTATGGTACTCTGTGACAGCGTTTTGAAATATCAGACCACTGACACTGACGTACATACAGAATAAAGAGTAATAAAAACATAGCGCTTCTGCAATACTTACCTGGCGTAGGGGATACCGTGATCATAGCGCTTCTGCTTTGTTTGACAGTTTTCTGTGAATCTATAAATATTATTTACTTGAAATATATTTCCCATTTTAATAAACCATTATCTGTCGTTTTTTTTATTTTTGTGTTTTGAGTTTTGTGTACTAAAACTTGTGAGTTTTCGAGGGTTCATCGAGGGAGTAAAGTTCTCCAAAATTTAAATTTTGTACCTTAATACCTCCCAGTTTTATTCACCGAAACTCAAAATGGATAAGAGTAAAGAGAAAGAGGAGCAGAGTATCATGGATAAGTCCATGAGATCTGTTTTTGGTATGTTTTTATAAACTATCAATTTTTAGATGTAATTTATACATGTCATACCCTTATTTACGAAACCTGTAAAATCTAACCTACAAAGCCAATATTTTATACTAGACTTCTTTTGTACGACGTGGTAGTATATTTCTATTATTTGTTTAGTATCTTTAATACAGAAAAGGATCACTCAATGTGATATGTCCTGACAAGGAGAGACTTGCAATCACTATCTGCCCCAGTGATTTACCAGCTATCCATCTTTTTCCATTCTTTTGACGAGGGTGTGTAACAAACTAAGATACCCACTAACCAACCAAATTACAATAATTTTGCAAATTCAAATTAAAATCCAATATTAAACTCATTTCAGTTGGCAACATACCCTATGAAGCAACAGAGGAAAAATTGAAAGATATATTCAGTGAAGTTGGCCCTGTATCATCCTTTAAATTGGTATTTGATAGAGAAACTGGTAAACCCAAAGGGTATGGGTTTTGTGAGTACAAGGACCAAGAAACTGCTCTTAGTGCAATGAGAAATCTTAATGGGTATGAGATTGGTGGTCGTTCCCTTAGAGTGGACAATGCCTGTACTGAAAAATCGCGGATGGAAATGCAGGCTTTAATGCAGGGGCCACAGGTTTATATAGCTTTCTTATATTCTAATAAAATCTAGACTGTCCATCAAAAGTTGCATTTTGCTATTTGATTTAATTAATATAAAAGAGAAAATTGTTATATGTGTATATTAGAAGATTTGACAGAATATATAATTTTACATTTATTTTTTTCACATATGGATGTGAAAACTGTATCAACTGTATCAATTTTGAACATTGCATCAAAATTAGCAATTATTAATGGTGATTTTGAAATACTATTTACATGTAATGATACCATTTATTGTTTCAATTATTGATTAACAAAATATTCTATTTCTATATATTTTTTTAATGTATGATAATGGACTGGACCGCCTGCGCTAATGACATACACTGGCAGTGCACCAAATGGCGGATGATATGATGAGCATGAGGTCAGGTCAGTTAGCTCATTGTGGCAAATTTACTAGGAATTTATCACAATGGTTTCTAGGGGGAACCGCATGGGTGTCAATCTGACATGGTACATTGCTAGTATTGGGAGCAGACCATATTATGAACAATCCCCTTCCCCTCTATAATTTCTGTATTCTACTTTAACTGTATATAGAACATACAGGATTATATGCAAAATTGCCTTAAATCATAATATCTAATATTATTATGATAGAATTATAATAATTTAAGGGATATAATTTTAAGGTACTAGTGCAAGTAGACAAGTAAAATTCTACAAGACTACAATATAATACTATAGAATTTCACTCAGGTGTACTCTTTCCATTACACCTTATTATATCAAGCACTTGTCATATTGGAACTAGCTGTGTCCATAGTTTCTCATGAAATTAATAGCTTATATCTTATTCTTATGCATAAGCTGTGTTATTGTAAAGTTTCATTAAAATCCATTCAGTAGTTTTTGCATGAAAGTGTACATCCATGTATCTACACTCACTAACTTCCGCTTTTATAACATTAGTGAGATGAAATAGATAGAATTAATTTATTTTGATGTTTGAAAATTTTATTTACAGGTAGAAAATCCATATGGCGATCCAGTGGAGCCAGAGAAGGCTCCAGAAGCCATTAGCAAAGCCGTTGCCACTCTACCACCAGAACAAATGTTTGAACTTATGAAACAGATGAAGCTCTGTGTCCAGGTGTTTAAACTTTATTTGTTATTTTCTTAAATAAATGCAGTAGATTTTTTTAAGTATAAATAGCTTAAAGCTTGTCATATTCTAGGATCTTAAATATTCGATTTAATACAACCTTCCATTCTTTCTTTTCTTTCTTTGAGCTGTCTAATGATACAATATTTGTTTCAGAATAATCCAAATGAAGCCAGAAATATGTTGCTACAAAATCCTCAGTTGGCATATGCATTATTACAGGCGCAAGTTATAATGAGAATTGTTGATCCTGCCACTGCTGTAGTAAGTATAACAATGAAATATTAAAAATAACCACAGATGTATAACTTGTTGAAAAAGGAAATTGATAACTTCTATGAAAACAAATAAAACAATTATGTCTATATGGAATATTTCTTGATGTAATAGTATATATAAATATACTAAATTTATACCTATAATAAATTTATTCTAGATAATGTATTATCTAAAAAAATTGGAACAATTGTTCTCAACTCCTTCCTATGGAAATTGAAATAATTAATAAAACCAGTAAACCATATACATAACAATAAAACTGAATATGGTAAATGTTATGAAGAAAGCCTATGAATCTGTAAAATAACTGCACGGATTTGTACTCACTCCTCATAGACACCAGAAATTGGTGATACTCTCATGCATATGATTGTGGTAATGATAAATCTTAAAAGAATACAGGCATATTTATAGTTATTTATAACATTAAGTCTAATAAGAGACAAATAATTTGATATAAATTATTTTAACTATTCAAATTTATGAGATGCTCCAACTATCAACATGCATATATATTTTTAATAATAATATATTGTCCTTAATAATTAATACCAAATATTATTACTTTGATAATTGTAATTTTTTTTTCTTTCTTTTTTCAGAGCATGTTACATCCAAGTAACCCAGTACCTCCTGTTCTTCAACCAGGCGACAAACCACCACCACAAAATCCTTATATTCCAAACAACCCTCCACCAGGTATGTTGAACAATGACATTAGTATCATCAGCAAATACTACTAGTTCTACTTTGTCAGGCATATTATTACGTATAAAGTCAATTAAGTAATTAACTTACAATGATTTTTATAATGTAAAATGTAAATTTATTTTTTTAGCACCACAGCAGTTACCTTCGCTCCTTAGCAATCCAGTGCCGCCTCCTAATCAATTTGCTCGTGAGTATTATAATTAAAAAAAAATAACAATGACTATGACAATTGATGAGCTACAGTCTCTTTTGGGCTATCCAACCCGTTTTTAGGTCTGGTGCCAAATTATGTCTGTAATGTTCCACAATCTTAGATGTTCTTAGAAGTGCAAACATTTGTTTTCTTGGGTATGATTGTTTGTATCGTTCTGGGTGGTTTCTATGTATGTTATGTATTTACAAAAAAAAATGTCAGTAGTTGTATATCTTGCCTGGTACTATAACACATGCTCTCTTACCACAGTGTGAATAGTCCACTGTATTATTTTCTCGTAATTATTCTTAATATTACGGCTGTGTCAAAGATTGTGGAAAAATACACGTTCTAAAATTATTAAAACTGAAAACATTGGGCAGATATTGTTACAAAAATATATGACAATAGCTCGGCCGACGATGGGTGACGTGGACCTGCGCGGGCAGTCGCGGAACGCTAACGTGGAACGCGGAGCGGCGGCGGCTCCGGCAACGGCCGCGGGGACTCCGCTGCTGGACCAGGACATGCGCAGCCTGCCGCCCATGGTACCGCATCCCGTGCCGCCACCACCCGCGCCCCACGTCCAAGACGCGTATGTACTTGTATAACATATAATTACACTAGTGTCATTACATGATAAATACATACATATGTATTACATATTTTTAAATATAATTTTTTGACCAGTTGATAATAACTCTTGACATATTACACAGGACAGGTATGTCCAAGATATAATACAAATATTTGTGACAGCGGAACTTGGTGGATACTTAAAAAAAATAAAAATTTTGCACATATAACATTTAACAAAGAATATAACTTTGTGAAAATTATTCAGTCTTTTAATTTTGTACTTAGTTTTGCTACTATTCTGCATAAGCAAAATATTGTGAAACCTACTAATATTTAGTGTATTCATAACTCTCTGATAAACTTGACTTTCTGCTTAAGATCTACTCTGGATGTGCAAGATAAGTAAGTTGTGTATTACTTTATGGATTCTATTACATTTTTTAAATTTTTTTTTTATATTTTTATGGATTTCCTCAATATGCATTATTATTATTATATATTCCTAAATATTTCAATAGTTAGGAATATAAAATTACGGTGCTAAAGATATTATATTAAATTCTTTAATTTAAATTGTATTAAGCTTCAAAGGTATAATGAGACTTAGATTTACAAGTTTCTAGGGTCGTCCCCGGATGTATATGTAAGTGATTTTACTTGTATGGACGTCGGTTTTTCACCATCAATTATTGAAATATTTAGGAATACATAATTACGATGCAATCTATTTTGATGTCAAATATTATGGGATTCCAGATATTTTTCTCAATAGAATATTTATGATCTAAAATTTTAATATTTATTTATTGAATTTAATTAGACTTTTGTTTTAATTTATCTATAATATTTCTTACTTATTATTCCGCTATGTTATATTATTAATTTGTTATATATTTAATTTTGTGTTTATAGTGGTTTTCCGCGGGACCCTCGACTGGCCAATATGCCGTTCAACTCGGATCCACGGATGCGAACCAACGATCCAAGGACGCAGGCAAAAGCACCACAACGTGAGTTTACTGTTTTATTTTGAAAATTATGACATTATGTATATAACCCTAAATAAGACATTTATGATAAATCGTTTTTACTCTCATTCAAAGAGCACTTTCAAATCATAAAACCAGGCGAAAAATCCTAGTGACTCTTAGAAATCAATCTAAGCATGTTTTTATTTTAATTAATTGTTTATTTGTATTGCAGAACAATTGCCACCGGGCATGCCGAGTGTCGCGCAGGCTAGGACTATCCAGGGTATACCCTCAGGTGCATCAGATCAGGAAAAGGTAAGTCAGAGTGCTGTTTCTTCTGCTTTATGACGGACACAATTTCGCATAGTGTGTATCTACTTGAGTATTCCATACATGAAATCATTAATAAATACAAATAAATATATGTACAAAAAATAAAATCTTTACTATGTGCTAGTGGTCACGCAGTGGTCTTCGACCATAAAAAAAAACAAAAGATCTTTGAACCCGCAATAATAATTAAATGAAAGAGTGTATATGCGTGTGCGTGTCAAATACACACGGCAGTGTGTGTAATGTTTTGTTTTTATTTATTTAAAAAAAACTTGTGCCTTCGGTACTTCTCTATATAAACTGTAAGTGTGCGAATTTCATCATTTCAATTCCGCCTTCTGCGCACTTTTTGACAAATTCGATTGTCCGACACTGCCCTGCAAAACGTTTGTCGGATAACCGGGGGTCCACTGTATATACTTATATATAAATCTGTTATCAGGCGGCGTTGATAATGCAAGTGCTGCAACTGTCGGACGAACAAATTGCGTTGCTACCACCCGAGCAGCGCGCCAGCATCCTTATGCTCAAGGAACAAATTGCGAAGAGCACCCAGCAACGTTGAATGGAGTATTTAATACGTTTAAACATTCAACCCTCATTGTGAATCTGCTAATCGTTTTTGTAAGCTTTCAACTACATGATTTAATTAAAATAGATTATACGCGATGTTGTATTTTTATTTAAACGCTAGGTGTAACTCACGGCTTCGTCTGTTATACATTTATTACCCCGGCGTACAGCGAAAGGTCGTTACTTCAAAGCTGACTGACAATAAAAACTGTCAATTAATATTTCTGACTGACTCCTCGATGATGAACACACCAATAGCAAACCTAATTAACCAGAGAGAGAGATTAGGTATTCTTTCAAGTATCGTGTCGTTCACAAAGTAGTACAGTTGAGAATGCCTCTGATTACCTCATCTGGTATAATAGGTATATCTATTAATATTATTAAGAAAGTAAACTTTTCTTGTGCTCTGTATTCTGTATATGGCTTCTTTGCGATATAAAATTATTATGTAAAATTACAAAAGTTTTGTATGGTGATAATTAGTCCGTATTAATATGTAATATTGTGTTATTTGTGGTACTACAAAGGCGATTCGGTTGCTCCTTTTGTTGTATTTTTTTTTAATTCCTAGTTAAATCGACAATCTATTGATACAGAGTTATCAAATAATTATAATTGAAATAATTACCTACTTGTTATTATAAATAAACGAACGTGACTGTGTTATCTGTTTAGATTTGTTGGGTCAATCGTTGAGTTAATTTTTTATCGCGTACGTGATGTCTTTATCACGTTCGGACATAGACATGTATTTCAATATAGGTAGATTAATTATAGTTCATGGAGTATCAACACTCCTTTTTTATGGTGCATCAGCGCCGACATAACATGGTACATTGCTAGCAATGGATTTTTATTAATGGTGTCTAGTGTCCCAACAATCCCCTTCTCCTGTTATATTTCATGCAATGGCGCTAACTGTCACCATTACTAACAATTCCATTCCCCCTATCACCACTCATTATTTTCTGCACTTAGAAAACAAGGAAAGACATAGTGAAATCGTAATAAAACCCTATGTTAAAAGTAAAGTAGGTAATTCTTCTCGAATGGAAGAACTCCTCCCCCCGGAATTGTTTGTTATTGTGATGTTTTGATAGTCAACCTACATATAATATAAATGTAGAGGTCGAATCTGTACATAGAAACAAAAACGCAAAAACCAAGGATATTAGAAGTGAAATAGACATATACAGATATTTTCAAATGTGTTTTTTCTTTGTCTGTTTGTACGGGCTAATCGCCGAAATTGTTAGACCGATTTAAATGAAATTTTGTATGGTTAGTACTTAAAAATTAAAGAGTTCCCTTAGGATAGTTGAAAATCTATAATAACTTATACACCTTAGTACACAACCTACTAAAGTCAATTTAACGAAGAACAAAGAGTGAGAACTACATGTCATTTATTAATTCTGGTTCATTATTCCCAGACATAATATACATCGATACATAACACGCAGACGAAGTCGCGGGCATCAGCTAGTAAATAATAGGCACGAGATAATAGGATAATATAAGAGCTATCCATTACTTAAGTCATGGTAATGCTAATTTATTCATGACATAACCATGTAATGTGAATCATTATTTGACAAAGTGAGAACAACTATTTATAGAAGTACTAGGTGTGTGTATAGTGTCTATTAATGTCACATTACATTAATGTTCTGTTTTGTTAAACAGATGCGCTTTAATAGCTTTGATAAGAGAAGAGAAGAGAGAATTTTTAATAAGGTTAGAACTATAGGTACCTATTATACATTAATTATAACGTCATTTTCATTCTTTCTTTCTTTTCATTTTTTCTTTCACTAGTCTGTGCATTACCTGACCTAAAAAAATACAGACGTTTGTTTTTATAAGATCCGGGCCAAATACACTGCTTTCGTAGGTGCCTATATTTAAAATGGGAATGTCGTTTAATAATCTTTTTTATTAACGTTTTTACACGACCGTAATCATTGCAGTGCATTGGAGATGCTCAGGTTTTCTACCGATTCTGCACAAAAATATTTTTAATTGCATGATAGGTAGTTACTTTGTGTTTGAATCTTAAGGATTTTAATTATAAACAAACAGAGTTAATAAGCAGTTTTAGTGGAACAAAATATATCTTCCTGTTTTAAAGCTTGTGATGCTGAATTTTCAATTGTCAATTACTAATACTTACTTAATGTAACCTGGTTTAAGTTCAGTATTCAAAGCCGTGACATTCAACCTTAAACTTGTCCTTATTTATTTACGAATCAGAGGTAACCTATTTACAATTTCACTGTCATGCCGTATTCTACATGCAGATGTGTGTCTAGTAAAACATTTAGTAAAAATCGTCTTACACTATAAAAATATAAGATTCAAATTCAGTTGCTCTGTAAAATTACTAGTCATGAAGTGAAGTTTGCCAAGGTGGATTAATGATAGAAAAATTGTATACAAGATTAGCGAATATAGCTGTTTATTATCTGCTATTCACCGAGCTATTGAGATGCTTGTAATGATATCAACTAAAGTCAATATAGACATTGTTTGCTTCCCTCCGAACTTTGGTGTTGTCGGTTTGTAGTATAAACACACTTGTTACGTAGGAAAGTACAGTCATTCTTGTTTGGCACGAGTCGTGTGGTGGACGTGATAGAAGGTAAGTGTTTCGAATTTGTTCATTTCCGATTATAAATAAACATTGAACAGGGTATTTATTTGGCAAACACTCTTGAATAAGATTATTAGATGCTATTGTTAGTAATAAAATAATTTTCTTTCCATATTTTTAAAACATCTGTCATTGTTTTTGAAAAATACCCACACTAAAACTTCTATTTCATTAATTTCATTTGTTATTTAATAAAATACATCTCAAAGGTACAATATGTACGTACCTACCGTGCATCCTATATTATATGTAGTGATAATTAGCTGATTACTAGTTATACATAATTATGTATAGGTATATACGCTTACATTTAAGGCAAAAAAATCTAAATACCTTGTTATTATTTACTAACGCTATACATACTTATATGTATAGCGTTAGCGTTAACAAGGTATCTAAATTTTTTTTAACATCCTATGGTAACGTGAATATGAAATTACTTAGTCGACTATATAAATATGTAAAGCTTGTTTATCGTATTTACTGCGTATCTATGCCAAATTACACGCAGTGAAAATAAAGTTTTTGACATTTATAAGTAATACAAGAGTACCTAACTATATATAAAATATAACTATAGTAAATAAAATATATCATGAAATATAATAAACGCTACTTTATTTTGAACCGTCTTCAAAAATATTTAGGTGTCATGGTTCTTGAATCGGATGTATTTTATTTTTAAATTTTCGTCAATTCTAAACAGATTCGCCTACTAGATATACCTATACCTACTATTCTTGTGATTGTTCCACCTGATATTATAAAATTATGTTCTTATGAGTTGTCTCTTACAGGATGAAGGTAACAACAATATGTATCGCTTTATGTTTGATGGTTCTCCACATAGAAGGTAAATGGAGACCAGAATATAATGAAGATAAAATAGGAAATAGACGTTACCGTGACGCAGCGAATGAGATTTCAACCCGTCGACCCCATTATAGGGTAGGAGACCCACCAGATCACAACAAGGTGATACCTATGGCGAGATACGTCATGCATAACACCGGTGAGTAATAAACAAATACACCGGACAACACAATGAAAAGAAAATATTTTTTTGAGTTATCTATGCCTAAGTTTAAATAATGCGTTATCGATATATGTAACTCATGTAGGTACTTAGTAATGATTGAGTCTTTGTATGACTGAATATCATCTTTATTCAACTATTCATTGTCTACTACTGGATCCCAGCATGGGTTAGGGGCCATCTATAAATTACGTCACATCAATTTCTGTCTCCCTCCCCCCGCCACCGTCGTCACAGCTGGTCAGACACAAAATCAGTTCTAGGGATAAGATGATAGATTTCACATTTTTTAAACTTAAGTTGGGTATTCTTCCAAGCCCTTGTCATAACTATGTCACACTTTATCGAATCCCTCCCCCTATGACGTAGTTTTTGGATGGCTTCTTAGTCGTAAAGGGTTTACCAAGCTGAAAGTTAGTGATAGTAGGTATTTATAGAACTAAACACATTTAACCCCAAAAAATAAAGTGAATAATTTAAAATAATTATATACTTACTTAAACTGTGCGGTCTTAAGATTAATGAAAAGTAAAAAAAATGTTGGTATATTTCCAAAATGATTCTTGGTGTAGTTAGTGGTTCACATTTGCGACTATTTGGACTTCATTGGACGATACCAAACCTCGAGCATTAGCTCCTTATTCTTAGTGGGATTGATTATCCTTATGTTTTGCCGGGTTTTTTTCGAATACTCTAAAACTATTGGCCGCAGTTGGCTTTTAGAACTTCACCAGTTGGCTTGTAGGGCGATAGGGGCGAAAGGGGGCGAGTGCAGATGGCACTCGAAATCCGCAGAACTTATATAGCGGCTGAAGGCCAACTCCCGCCTAGCGGGTATAACTTTAGTCTTTAGGCTCAGGCCGTCGTAATTTCGATCACTGTTTGAGCTTCGCCGTTTTTAAAGAGATTTATTACACTTTTCATAGTAGACAATATTAGAAAATTTCATTAACTTTTGATTGTCGGAATTATGTAGTATTATATGTACTGCTTTCATAAATACCGTACATATTCATTCATTCTTTATTTAAGATTTTCTATCAGTGGCGTCTCCTTGTTTTCGATATATACCAATAGAAAAAAATATTAGGTTGTTCGGAAAGTAATTTCGGTTTTTCCTCTTCTCCACACACATCGGTCTATTTCTTTCTGGCTTGAACAGCATTTTTGCCCTTTCTGTAGTAAAACAGTAAGATATGACGAAAATGCTGCTTATTCCTCTCCATATTTAAAAGGGTAGAGTCACGTGGGGTAAGTGTGCGCAGCGAGTAAGTGTACGCACTCGAAGTATTTCAAAAACGGTTCATAGGTACGAACTGATAACACCCCTCCTCATTAGCGCACAAAAGGCTATACTTAGTTTTTTTCACTATCCGCCGGTGAACCATTTTGTTTCCGTAAGTGAGTATTGTTTTTTGCTTGAAATATTGCGATTTTTGTCTTAAATGAGAGACTCATTCCTTTGTAATATATTTATATTTTGAAATCATGCTTTATACCATCGAACAGTACATTTTATGTAATATAAGCCGTGTTTAATCTTTTGGTGATGACGATTACGTAATATTGCTCAGTTCTGGTTAAATTTTATTTTGATGGTTTGGGGCAAGTGTGCGCATACGAATGTCGGGTAAGTGTGCGCATGCGAATACTTACCCCGCTCCGCTTTGGCTTTGTATTTATGATGCAATTTGTTATTTCAGAGTTTAATTATACATAAAAAATGCCTCGATTATAAAAGAAATGCCGGATAGAAGTGTTGTCACAGAGGAACAGCTAGAAGCTGTTAAAAGATTAATTTCGGAGGTTGGTAGCAAACGACAGTGTGGCACCCGCAATAATGAGTGTACCTTCGTCTAGGAATGAATATGTACGACTGTCATCCATCCAAGAAATACCGAAGTTGGCCTTAGGCATTTCTTGGTTATTCATCTGGGACTGTGATTCAAAATAGGCGAAAGAAAAAGGCAAAAAGTCAATCATTGATACTGTAAGTCCTTATAAAGTAGAATTGGAAAAAACAAAAAACAAGAGGAAGAATAAATTGCCAAAAAAGAAGATACGACTTGATCTGAAAATAAATAAAATGATGAGCAGGAATTATTTTGCCCACTGTGTGGAGAAAAATACATATTTCCACCGAATGAAGACTGGATCCAATACAGCATCTGTAAGAGCTGGTGGCATGAACAATGCAATAACTTTGAAAAGGAATTATTTGAACTGATGTATTATTAGGTTGAGGATGTCTATTTTCTGGTTTATCATATGAGTCTGACTCTATTTACTGTATGTTACATGTTGCGTACACTTACCCGCACTACTGCGCACACTTACCCCTATACTTGGGTAAGTGTGCGCATTTAAACAGTTTTGATTTTGTTGATTTCCAAAGAATTTGTGTAAATGATAATTATTTATTTTGCGTTTAAGTTGTTGATTATTAAATATTTTATATAATAAACCTTGTTTTGTTCCAGTTAACTTCAAATATTTTATTATATGATACTAAACCTTAAGTGCGCACACTTGCCCCACGTGACTCTACCAACCAAAAACTACTGCGTACAATTAATTGGAATTTTTCACATACAAGCGTTGCTATATGAACTCTCAAAGCATATAAAAATTATACGGCTTAAGTGTGAAGTTGAGTGCAAAAAATACTATTAAGTCCTAAGTTAGGAAAAAACGAAATTACTTTCCGAACAACCTAATATATGCAAAGGCTACACGTGAACGCAACAATAAAGCTATTTAAGAAAACTAAGAGTGTATAATTTGTATTATTTCAGATTGGGCATCAATAGCTACGATATCTATATTACCAGCCATTCAAGGATTCCCATTCTCAAATATCAAGTCGATCGTGGACGGTTCGCTTGCTAATTCGACAGGTGTACCATACTTCTATATGTCACCGCTGGATTTTACCTCCCAAGATTTATCTGTAAGTATCTTCTCTCTCTCTCTCTCTTTTTAAATTCATAAAATATCGTTTAATCAATCCATAGCCGTATATGATAATTTGTGTATATTTCAATGGGTTTCTGGATGAATTGGAAATACAACCAGACCAGATACATAACGCTGGTGTCGGTTTACTAATGTTGTCATTCGAGATTTAAAGTAGAGTAAGAAACATTTCTTCAATTATATTCAACATAAAAACGGCATTCTTTGTTGTATTAGATTTTACAAAATTCACTAGTCCAAATTTCACATTTTTTTAAACAGTTACTTTTTATGTTATACTGTCCCCATTTGACCCTACTATAGCATTTTTATGTGATATAATTTTATTGAAATGTGTATAGTCATATTTTTACACATTTATTGGGAGGATAACTATCATGTTAAATTAATTATCATTTGCCAAGATGGGCTAGCTGATCTAACTTCATGCTCATTTTATCTTCCTCCACTGATGCCGTCTGCACGTACGCTGTACGTGGGTGCATCATTCTATTATCATAAAAAAACTTACTAAGATTAGACAGTGTTTTTCATACAACTTATATTGTATTTCTTTTGTTAGAGAAACAACCGTGCCTCTGTTCTCGTGTCACTTGAACAAACGGACTATTGCATTAAAGAGAAAATTGATGCTGAAGATCCGCGCTGCACCAGACTTATGCTTACTGGGAAAATGAAGAAGGTACGATTTGTATATCCTCACGTTGGTTCCCAAGTGACCCAGAGTGAGGCAAGCAGAGTAATTTTTATAATGTAAATGGAATGACAAACAATTTGACGGCTCACCAATGGTACATGAACAACACATCTAACACCTAACAAATAGGTGACACTGTTAGACTTATGTTCATGGTTTACCTCTGGTACTAACTGCTACGGGTTCCTTAGACAGAGGTGTTACTTTTTAAATTGAACTGGAATGGTATAGAACTGACAGCGCAACTGATAAAAAATAGTAACCATAGTTTGTATACCTACATGAACATCACAATGTGGAGTTAGTCAATTTAAAAGAATACAACTTACAAAGCAAGCTGCTTGGCGACAGAAGCAAGTTATACTAAATAAATGTAAAGCGAAAATCCATCGCTGATATTGTAAAACAAAGTCCCTGCTTCGCCGGTTTCTTTGCGATAATTTAAAAAAGCACAGAGCTAAATTTCATACTTTTTCATCTAATTCTCAATGTTTCAGGTTCGAGAGGGTACTCCAGAATATACATTTGCAAAGGCAGCCCTATTCGAGAGACACCCGGCCATGGCGGATTTCCCAACGGGTTAGTCTGCCTGTTAAAATACTTTGTAAGGTTTATCAGATTCAGATTGACCTCCACGCACACTCCAGGGGGAACCCCTAGAAAGCATCGTGGTAAATTACCATTTACCAAGATGAGTTAACCGGACGGACACTGACTTTTGATTTCATCCTCCATTCTAATATTTAATTAATCAGAAATCACTTTATATATCAAAATTCAATCGTAGTTACGTACATAATTAGTATTGCATTTATCCTTGTTCGCATTCACAAACGAATGAATAATAATTTCTATTGACATTGATATTGTACATACCCGAATAAAATTCATAGACTAAGAATTTTATTAGGTTGCATTTTTACTTACTTTATCTGTAATAAATATAAGTATTAAAACAAATCGGTAGGTAGTGTTTCTGTGGGAAGGTCAGAATCAATTTTCTGATTCGCCCCTATCAATTTAGGTAAGATTGAAGTAGGTTTTTATACAAAGTATAATTTAACGGCTGCTATCCTAAGTCAGGGGAATTGTTAATTGTTGGCGTAACGTACGACGAACATAACATGCCCCCATTTTACGAGATATAAGTAATGAATCCTATGGGAGGTAATGAGCCTTCCGCCGTACTGGGATTAATTTCATTTTCCTTTAAGTGAGCTAGATTTCTCTTGACGGCCTTAAGGATCAAAGCCAGTAGTAAACCACTAGATCACGCCACTTTATATATTAAAACAAAATGTTTTTGCAGATCATAATTGGTTCGTCGCCAAGTTGAAGATAGCTCAGATCGCAATGATCGATTGGTTCGGAGGAGCTAAATACATCCCAGTGAAGGATTACTTGGCATATAACTACACAGGCACAGAAATGATCCAAAGATACAACGAATTATACGGGAAACATGAGTCTTAGTTGTAACATGTTATTTACTAATCAAAACCAGAGATAATGTGTGAATCAAATCAATGTAAATCATTTGTATAGATATAAGTATATTACTAATTACAAGTACGTAAATATACAAGTATAATTTTGTATGTATAAATATTTATTAAAAAATTTAAACTGATATTTTAAAATAACATAGGTATTATCTATAAAGATAGGTAATACGAAATGTGATGTAGAATTAAAGAAACAATTATTATAAACAATACATTTTATTTTTTATGTCCACACTTATTTATAGCATAATACACCATAGACCTTTATAAATTACGTTTAGGAATAGCTAATTACTTGGATCTTGGATAATTAATTAACTTATACCAAAAACAACAACTAAATCTTACTATATAGCACCATATTAATTTCTATAGTATTGGCATGAGAATATTAATTTAACTCTAAACAGGTCTACAACAATAAAATAAATAGAATTACAAATTAAGATACCAAAGTATCTATTGGAATTACCTTTAAACAAACTTAAAACATCAGTTAAATCATATTGATTGAAAAAAGCCTATTACTCACTAAATTATTACTTAAATGACAAACGTGCATGGCAATAGTCGTTCATGCACGGGATTTTCATTTGAAGTTAGACATAGACACTATATCAGTATATATATAAAGTGAATAAAGTTTAGGCTTTAAAAAGAAATCAGTTAATTTTTTGCTAGTTCTTCTCAATTGAATCTGTATACTCAACTGAATGGTAGGGAAAAAATAGTAATACAGAAAACTTGACGTTCCTAAGCGGCTAACATGAATCAATGATATTTTATTTGATTTGAAACTAAATATTCAATTATTGAACATGGCGAATTGATTCCACTTATACTATGGATAACATGACATAAAGTCCATTAAATATTACAGTATTAAGGATTATTTTCTATTATGAGAACTGGTTCTAGCATATCAAGTTTCAGCCATATAATTATCGGGCCATAATATAACATTGATTGTGATCTCTAGATACATGGCGCATATCAGGTCTGTAAATACTTATTACCTAATAATAATAGCTATTTGTAAATATAAAGATTTTTCCTTTGTGTCTTTCAAGACCGTTTTCAGAAAGAATTACTTATTGCCCTAATCATAAAACATACATAAATGTCTATATTAAACCTGTTTTGTCTATGCACTTACTATTTTCGTAATCGGCAATAAACGGCTGTACGAATCTTAATAAAAGATGGACATAGGTTATCTTATTTTTCAAAAAGTAGACCAAGTAGACAGTAACAGTGAGTTTAAAATAATATGACAAGAGATTTTTTTATAGTATTTTGTTTTTATGAATAAAGTGTAATATAAAAACAAAATTTACCGTAAAGAACTATTTTATTTACAAATAAACTAACATATTCCCTTTTTTCTAATATGTATAATATACTTATATATCATATATTTACACTATCCATTATTTACAGTATACTCCACATAGGCACTACTACACTACTACTTTTACTACACTACATATTCTTTATTACATATTGCACTCAGAGAATACAGCAATAAAATAATTTTGTGACAATGTGAGAAAATGTAGATGTAATTACCTCTAGAAGAGGTCTCTTCCACTCAACTTAAAACAGTGGCATAGGTAGTAATGAATAATAATAAATAGAGGTAGTTAGTGCCAATAATAAATACAAAATAAATACTACATAAAAATAATAATTACATATTATACAAAAAATAATCAAATGTACTATATGTAATATACATATACTAAAATACATAAACGTAAACAGCTAATAAACATATTTTACATATATTACATAATTATTCTATCATAAAAGACTAATAAATAATAATGACTCTAAACATTTAACGGCAGATAGTTTACTATCTATCTAACTAGTCATTAAATGATTAAAGTATGGTTTCAATATGGAAGGAATTAGTAGAGTATGTTATATATAAAAGTAACAAAATTATCTTAGAGACAGCGATGGAATGCAGTCCAAAATCATTAAATCATATAGATCACTTACTTCAATTTTTATCACCATACCTACTGTCTAGCGTGATTAGGTACAGATTTCCCATAATAGTTTTATCTCTAGTCTTAAGATTATAATTAGCACAAACGACCTAATGTACAGAATCATATACAAATATGTTTATACATCATTATATTCGAACTATAAACTCGTACATATAATTTTTAAATGCTGTATGTATTCTTAACTCTACTCACTCTCTTACCGTGAAGTCATTTCTGTCATCAACTGGTGAGTTATGATAAAATTTTAGAAACCCGTGAGTGAGAATTTTTTGAATACTGGTGAAATCTACATATACTTCTGAGCAATGTTTTGGAATTCAATTATAACTTTTATTACAACAACATTGGAATTTCAACATTATTAGCAGAAATCTGAATATATTTATTTCAAGATTACATTTACTATGAAAGAGAAGTTAACTAATATTTACAGTATATATATATATATTTTTATTTAACAATATGTATATTTTAAGTCTCTAAGATTATATATTACACCTAATGACAATATAATAAATCCTGATCTCTAAAAATAGACAACAATAACAGACTTCAAATACAATATTCCATTAATATATCCCACATTTATCAAAAGACTGGGTTAACTCAAAAATACTCTCTAAACGTTTTAACTATAGAGTCTAATTTAAATTTTTATTAATTTTTGAGTTAATCCAATATTGTTCTATATGTGGGATGTGTATATGTGATGTGAATTTATAGAAGTTGAACCTTGCCATTGCAGTGCACACACGACGCAACGGCCCGGGCTGTGTTTTCGCTGTTGCTATATGCCAGATTGACCAATGCGTTTACAGGCACCTCATTCACCTTTCTAACTTCTAATGGCATAGCCATGACCTAAAAGGAATAAGTGATTATATTATTATTGACTGTGTATAAACTGACTTTAAAAAAGGGAAGTATAATTTTAAAACGAAATAAATTTGTGCTCTTTGTTGAAATTAGGAATTGCAATTCAAGTGGTTATTTTAGAATAGAATAATTTGACGACTGAATCAAATGTAAGCACATAGTGGATAGACAGAGTACCAGCCAGAAATAAATAGTGCAATAGTGATATTTTTATATTTTCTGTTATTTATGATTAAGGGGTAATTTAGTAATTACCTTCCCAGCAAAGATATGCTCTCACAACCATACTCATTTTTTAACATATTATACTTGTTTTATTGTCATAGACCAAAACCACGGAAAGAAACAAGACATTTAATGAATGTAACTCATAGACTAATATTAATGTTGTTACGATTATTAATAATACCTACCAAAATGAATTATAAAGAATACATAATGAACTTACATTTTCAGCATGCTTTTCTCCATCAGTCATTGATGGCAGGTTATCCAAATGACTGATATCCTGCTTGTCAATTGAAATACTTATATTTTCAGACAATTTCAAGTTAATTGATGCTAAATCTATTATATTAGTAGAATGTGGGGTGGTAGTGTTGAAATTCCAGTTACCTATGGGTCTAGTGTATGCACTACTATTGCCCATGTACTCAGAAATTGTGATATTTTCTAGCTGTTTTTCGTGAAGACTATACAGATTTTTGTATGTACACAACATCATATCTCTTGACCTACACCTCTCATCCAACAATTGTTTTATCACTTGTTGTAGATTGTCAGACTTATCACTCAGCAATTTCTTGCATTGTGCCAGTTCTTCCACCATCAGACTGTAAATGTTCAGTAATGTTTTATTTTTTCTAATTTAAAAGGCAACTACTTGATTGTATACCTAATGATACATTTCAATCTTCACCTACATGTATAAATAAACAGCATTCTATAATAATTATGCTGTACCCACACTTGCATGTTTGGATACCTTTATGGCTTGCCATTCTGGAGTGCAATAAATGGCAGAAATAAATAATAGAGGTTACCCTATGCAAGTAACAGTGTGTCTATAAAAGTGATAAGAAACAGGTAATTGTTTATACTTCATTAAATAAAAATTACATATATTTAAACATACTGGTATCATGTATCAATTATTTGTATTTAAATAAATACCTGCTGGCTAAAAATTTGCTTCTCCATACTTCACACTGCCCTGCCAGCCATTCTGTTTGTTCCTGGTAAAGAGATACATAGATTATGTTGCGATGGACATAATAGTAAATAAAGAGTAATAATTAGGTTTAATACATGCAGTATTATTATATAAATATTACCAAATGAAATAAATTGTTCTCTCGTGATTTATATTGTACTGTACACTTCAGTGAGTGCTTGTGATTTGATACTTTTTGATATTTATAATTTTATTTATTTATTTATTATATTTATATATTTATTGTATACTATTGTTACTATTTTATACAAACTGTATTATTTTCTATCAACACCTTGATTTAGATATTTTTACCTGATGGGTGGAAAGATGTTGTGCAGAATTCAGCAGAGCATTTGCTAAATGCTTTTTGTCTTCATTAAGTGATTGCACTTGAGTCTCCAGGTCTTCCCCCATTGATGCCACTAACATAGTTTTCAATTCTTTATTGACCTGTAACATAATATACATAGTGATAATTAATATTTTACATCTGAAATTGCATACATTTTAAAGTAAACAATACTCACTTGCACTTGTTGCTTTAACTGATCATTCAAGGATTCATTTTCTAGTAGTAGTTGATCTATTTTCTTCTGCTTTTCATCATTCTCTAAGGAATGGTTGTCTGTCTTTGATAATACACTTTTGTCACTACTTGAGAGAAGTTTTGGCCGTGGTTTATATTCATTCAAGTCTGTATTCATTTGTGACATCTGAGTAATTAATGTATTGAGGTCCATATTATTCTTAGATTTTTTAAAATCTTTTTTTAATGACTGAGGTTTGATTGGTTTAATAGCTGCAGTATAAGGCTCATATGGTACAAATTTTGGATTCTTAGAGTGTATGTGGGATTTTTTCTTTTCATTTCTTATTACATTAGTAGGAAACACTTCAATAAGGCGAATAAGAGGTTCATTATACTTGCTTGTGGACGCTTTATTAGCAATGGTTTGATTTTTCCGACCTGGTTCGGTTGCACCATCATCTGATTCCATTCCATCTCCAGCAGTCCTGGTTTTGCTCATTATTTCTAAACATATAAGTAAACATATGTTTATATGTTTATACAATCGTATACGAAACTATATTATAATAGTTATTTATCAACTTACTTGGATATAAATTAGATGACATGTTGTTAATTTTTAATATTGAAACAGAAATCTGTAACCAATACAAAAGTGAAATTTATTTTACAACACAATTTTAATTCATTGGTATTAAATTATTATTAGAAAGGAGATAGAATATAAATAAATTAATTGGAATCTAGTAATAATAATGGATAAAATTACGCTAATATTATGTACACAATATTTATAGTTTTTTTTGTTTTATTTATCCATCCATAAAGGAAAGGCAAAGTGTCTAAGCCCATACAGCCGTTGTCTTTGGTAATATTTATAACTTACAATTACATACTTTTTTTTCCTTTACAGAAAAGGCGACCATGTCTGTATGTTTTTGATAATCTTAATTTTAACTTTTAACAATTGCATACGTTTTATCCATGAAATACTTAATGATAAAACTGAATGTCTAACTAACTGCAAACTGTCGAGTCAAAACTTACGCAAGAACATTCAATCGAGTTTGTATAGATGGCACATTGTATTAGCACAGATAATATAATATTACATAGTATTAGCACAGATAACATAATATTACATACAGATACCCCATCCCATACAAGAAAATGGTTCCTTCCTAACTCGGGCTATTCTTCGGGCTATTTTATTTCGCCACCGTAGCCGGTAGATGTCGCTAGATCTGAAGCAGTTCGGATTACTAGTGGGTGCTTAGTAACAAAGCATGAAAATAGATGGCAGTCAATTCAGTCTACATGACATCTGTTTTGCAAAGATATGTATATAATAGATATGTAGGTAACTGTATCGTGTACCTCATTAGGGACGATTCAAGATTCAATGTAAATGTGTAGGTATAATATCGTTAGCCGACACTCTGCAGATATGGCTTATGTGCCAATGTATATACCTATTATGTTATGGTTTATTTTACATTCCATGCCTATTTTTTTGATATGTTGTAACGCGTCTGCGCTATACGTATAATTTTGATACTTTTATACTCGTACGTATCAAAATCGGGCTATATGATTTTTTATTTCAATCGTTATGTGTAAGAGACTGGTTTTAGCTACAATTAATTTACTGGTATATACCTCATGTATTCTACGATGTACCCCTCTTTTCCCTAATGAGAATTCCGCTATATCTTATATATAAATTTTGTATCACAGTGTTAGTTGCCATATTTCTCCCACATTTTGATGAAATTTGATATGTATACTTGCCAGGTCTGAGGTAGGGTTGTTATCTATTTTTTATACCCCTAAGTCATAGGGGTGGCCTACCCCGAAAAAATATTTTTTTGTATTATGGACAATTTTTTATTTATTTATAATGTTACATTGAAAATACATACACGCCTAAATTTTCACCCGTCTTTCACCAACCCCTATTTTTAATAGCGATATTCTTACAAATATTATAAATGCTAAAGTAACTCAGTCTGTCTGTTTGTCTCGCTTTCACGCCAAAACTACTGAACTGATTTAATTGAAATTTGGTAGACAGATAATGTAGACCCTGAGAAAGGCTACTTTTTAATGCGAAAAAGTATTGAAAGGGGAAATGAAAGGCTATATGAGGATATCGTAATTTTTAAAGTCAGATCTTGTAAGATTAAGTGAACAGGGTTGGTCTAGGTTTTTCATTATTAGAAATGTGTAACGGGGTAACACGTTATTTAGTGCGAAATTGTGTATATTACAATAAAATTTAACGAGAAAATATTATAATGATGTCACTGGGACACTCATTGCCTTACTACTATATCGTCCGTTAGTCGCGAACTTTCTGGAAACACGAGAGGCGCGCTCCTATTGGTTAGTAGATGAGGTAGACGAGTCTCACGGCGCCGCAGCGTAAGTACTTACTATACATACGTAGTATACATATGGGTGTTACAAATGTTTTTATTACGAGTAATATTACTCTGTTATCTAAGCAAGTAATGTGTGCTTATTTTGAACTTGATAACATTCTGAATTACTCGTATATCTTTCAATATCTTTAGCGGTATAAACCAGGTTATGTACTACTACTAGTATTGTTAGTGAGGGATAAAGTTGATGAACAAAAATAAAACAATATTCGTATTAAAAATATATTCATCTAATATTTTTGGCATTATTTTTAAGTTTCTTCCAAATACAAGGGGTCTGACATGGGGTGTTATGTACCTACATTAAAAGATACTTTTTGAAATGTATGAAATGTATGTACCTACATTAAAAGATAATTTTTGAAATGTATGTACCTACATTAAAATATAATTTTTGAAATGTATGAGATGTATGAAAGAAATGTATGTACCTACATAAAAAGTTCATTTTTGAAATGTATGAAATGTATGAAAGAAATGTATGTACCTACATTAGAAGATAATTTTTGAAATGTATGAAATGTATGAAAGAAATGTATGTACCTACATTAAAAGATAATTTTTGACATGTATGAAATGTATGAAAGAAATGTGTGTACCTACATTAAAAGATAATTTTTGACATGTATGGAATGTATGAAAGAAATGTAGTACCTACATTAAAATATAATTTTTTAAATGTATGAAAGTAATGTATGTACCTACATTAATTTTTGACATGTATGAAATGTATGTACCTACATTAAATTATAATTTTTGAAATGTATGAAAGAAATTTTTGAAATGTATGAAAGAAATGTATGTACCTACATTAAAATATAATTTTTGAAATGTATGAGATGTATGAAAGAAATGTATGTACCTACAAGTTCATTTTTGAAATGTATGAAATGTATGAAAGAAATGTATGTATGTACCTACATTAGAAGATAATTTTTGACATGTATGAAATGTATGTACCTACATTAAAATATAATTTTTTAAATGTATGAGATGTATGAAAGAAATGTATGTACCTACATAAAAAGTTCATTTTTGAAATGTATGAAATGTATGAAAGAAATGTATGTACCTACATTAAAAGATAATTTTTGACATGTATGAAATGTATGTACCTACATTAAAATATAATTTTTGAAATGTATGCACCGTACAATAACAATACACGTTAAACATCATACCACAGAGTCATACGCAAGTTAAAAACAAACTGGTATGATATATTAATGAGAAAGGAAAATCAACTTTATGGTATTCGAGTTAGGGTCGATTTCTCTCTTTTTTTTAAATACTATTTTAATCTTACCCAGTCTTAGTTGCCAGTATTCGAAGACAGCTACGATTCGTACTCGATATTTTAAATTATTATGTAATCGATTATTCAGTACAAATGTAAATAACCAACGACACTAATAATGTACTACTATATTCCGTTCTTTGAAACGGAACACTGCTATAATACATAATAATGAAAATTTACTGTTCACAACGACTCATTAAAAGCATCATCGAATAATGCGCTGTAATAAAATCCTGTTATCGATTATTCAAAAAAATCGATAATACATGTATTTATTTTTAATATGACAACACTTCATACATAATTATTATTGGAAATAGTATTACTTGCTTGTTCGGCTATTTTTAATTTACTTAAAAAAAATTTATATGTTTAATTTACAATAATAATATATTAAGTGCTTATTATTGGAAAATATAAAAAAGACATTTAATTAGGCCGATACAAATGACGACAATGCCATCTATGAAAGCATTTTGAAAACATTGAGCCCCATATTAGCACTGATTAAAGTGTAATTAAGTACTGGAAAATAACAAAATGAGTAAATATATGAAAATTACTTTTCTAAACGCATTATTTCATTTTAACATGTATATATAACTTTTTAAAAATTGATTAAACATTTTTGAAAACACAGTTTTGTTTTTTAAAACGTTTGCAAAACTATGAAGAATTCCATCGATACCAATCACGCCATCTATATGCAACTTTTAGCAATAATAATGGCTACTTCCTCATTGAGTGCCACTGGTATTAGAAAGGAACATTATAGTGAGCATAAAACTATAATAAAAATAATGTTTTTTCCAATATGATAAAAGCTACATTAATTAAGATGAATTTGGGAATTTATAATATCTACTATTAGTATAGTTGATATTATAAACAAAATATATAAATATTTTCTAAATCTTATATTGCAAATTACATCTAGGGCAATTTGTATTTATAAACGTTACTCGATTATATGTACATTTTTAAGTAAGTTGGTACTTCCTAAAATATATTCTGTGAGAATATACCATTTGGGTTTGGGATAAAGGTATTTGAAATAAATGCTTATTTGTAGTGACCAAAGGACAATTTATTGCAATAAATAATAATAATGTACCAATAGGTAGATGCTAATCTGATTAATTATGCTTTGAGTGTAGCATCCAAATCTCCACTAGCTTTTAGTTCTTTAATTATATCTAAACCTCCGATTAGTTCCCCTTTAACGTAGAGTTGAGGATATGTTGGCCAATCTGAATACTCCTTCAGACCCTGTCGTACCTCTTCATCCGTCAAGATATCAAATGTATCGTAAGATACTCTGCAATGAAATATTAGATAGGTGACGAGACATATAAATAAGGATAATTAAGGATTCTGACATGATGACCATTAGAAGCAAAAACGAGTTGTTGATATAACAAGTGGCTAAACTAAAATGGTGCCTGTCCCATGACTTATGGAGCAAGTCCTGGAGTGGAGACCCCACAAATCTGAAAGGTGTGTTAGCAGACCACCAGCCACATGACGGAGAGACAAGCCACAGTCCATGCAACATGAAAACGTATTGGAGAGGCATATGCCCAATGGTGGGCCATCCCATGCTAATTAAGAATAAAACTATTCTCAAACTTAATTTCTAAAATATAATATTTGGATATGTGCATTAGCACAGTTTTACTGTCTAGAGCTTGAAATAGATTTAAAAAGAAGTACTTAAATAAATAATAGCAAGTGTAGGTCAGATAGATGCTCTGTGTGTTTACACATATATACACACACACTCACATACACACAGAGCTCTAAAAGAAAATTGGAAAGAATTTTATTTTCCCTATATCATACTTATGCCCATTTTGTTTTCTTTTTTATTTAATAATTATGCTTACAAGACTCTTATAGAATGTTATGTTATATTATGAATTCATACCCTGTTTCGTTCAAGATCTGAATTATTGTTCTGCTGAATCCACAACGAGGTGCATCTCGGTTCCCTTTCATGAATAACATAACATTATGTCTGCTTATTAGAGCCTTTAATCTATCTTCCAGTTTTTGCGGTGACACATTTACATCTTCTTTTTCAGAGACTTCTTTTTCCAGACAATGGGCTTTGATCTTAGTAGTAATCAATTTTGCACTTGCACCATCCAATCTGTCCACTAGTTTACCATTCCTAAATAATAATATTGTTGGAACTGCTTCGACCTGGATTAAGTAATATTATTATTAAATAATTTTATTTATTTAATTAAATATTAAATTTTATGAATGATATAGGAAAATTATTATGCTATATGGTTATAAACCATTGTCTTTAAAATATGGCAGGTATTTAAATATAGAATTTAATTAAAAACTATGGTAAAATGTTAGTACTGTGAAATTTTGTTTTGATTTGTAGAATGAGAGGTAGATTAAAAAAATAAGTATTACTATTCTAAAGTGCTTAAAATTAAGATATCTGCAATAATAATTTCTCAATTCTCTTTTACTATTATTATATTTGTTTCCTGAATAAAACTGACTTAATTTTTATGCCTAAAAAATAAATAATAATGTATAAGTATATTGTAATTTTTATTACCTTATATGTCCAGACTATTTCATCAAGTTTTTCAGCTTCACACTCACCAAATTGGCTTTTGCTAGCTTTTATTTCAGGAATCTTCAGTAATTCTTTTAAGACATCTGATACTACTGTACATTCAACTAACCATTCAGCAGTAAAATGTACTACAGATAATATTGGTGGCCTAGAGATAAAAAATTTATATATACTGACAGTACATAGTTCTTTTTTGCATGGTAAACAGGACTCTGTTTACGAAGCAAAAAAAATGAATTTTTTTCTGAAGGTGAAATGATTGATATTAAAATTGATTAAATTTGTACAGTACAGATATGCACTTATAGTAAAATAATAGAATAGAAATGTTCTATATTATTTTACTATAATTACTATTGTACTATTTGTAGTGATTATGTTAATAGAAATAAACGGAATATACAAAGTTTTGATAGTAATTATGTTTCTTCAGCCTCATTAGAACTTTCCAAAGTGAGGGATTATTTGCATGCATTGTTGAATGCTGTGGCTTAGTACTCTTGAAAGAGATGTAAAATTTTACAAGTATCAGATTTTATATGAAAATGCACAAGTAAATATATATTTAAAACATAGCATAACTTTAAAACTATAAACAAATGTATATTGTCACTTTATTGATTATAAGAAATTCAATTGGTGTATTAGACATTTAACACTTTAAGAATAATAGGTATTATTTTAGGATAAGCATCAGATTCAATTAAAAACAATTGTAATAAATAATTGAGTACAATGATGCAAGAAACAAGGTTATCTTTGGTATTAAAGTACTTAATAGCATAGGCTAATGAGTAACCTTAGGGGCAGTTGTTACAAACAAGTAAACAATATGCTTCAAGTAATAGGCTTGGGTTAACTCATTTAATATCTATATCCTATGCTATTTTCTAATATAAAGATCTATTTGTATACCTTCTAATTTTCTACTTTAAAATTAATAATTTAAAAATGAATGATTAGGAAATACAAATGTCTGGGATTCTATCTTTTAAGGTTTACAATTTTAAATTAACTTACTTTATGAAATTTTCAAATTTCTCACGTGAATCTATATTATACAGTGACATTTTCAGGTTATTTTTAAATCTATAATAAACACAATAATTTATTTTTATTTGTGTTCGAGCTTAAGCAAGAACCAGAGATCAGAAAGACCATTGAGATTATTTTTTTTTTTTCCATATTCGTCCATCTCCTTTTCAGTGAGACCATTGAGATTTTTTTTTCCCCATATTCGTCCATCTCCTTTTCAGTGATGGAACAGGCAAAGATCCTTAGACCGTACAGCCTAGTCTACTTTTAAACTTCTTCATATTTGAACAAGTGATGAGGCCAAAGGCCAATTATTATGTATGCATTGAGATTACTTCTTTTCAACAAGGATTATTTTCTATCTGAGAAATCAGATGGGGTACCACAGGGTTGCCAACCTTAATTTTTTTCCTTTTAATAAATAAATTTGGCTCTCAAACCCCTTAATTAATATATTTCTGTAGATTATAATTTCATGCAAACTTATACGAGGACAATAAAGCAATATCTTTGTTGTCGTTTTACAAAAAAATAATATTTAAGTTTTTACCCGTTGCCTAGTCACCAAAACGTGGACAACTTAACTTGGGACTAGATACCTCTGTGTGAATTGTAATAATAATTGTAGTAATTGCTGTAGTAATAAGGATATACAATTTTAAGTCTGTAAATATGGCAAAGTTTTACCATTATAAATTTTACCTTTCCTGAAACTAACTGTCCACAATCCTAGTACAGACTTTTTGTTAACGATACAATAACATTTCCATTCTAGTACAAAACATTGTACGAGTTTTAGGATATAGGTTGAATGCGAAGATCTCTGAGGTTAGATATCCCGAGTACATACGAGGTTAAATGTTTTAAGGTTGGCAACCTCTATTGTCAGTCGATAAAGTCACTAGTTAGGCAGTCAGTCTATGAATCAGTTCACATCATTATACATGTGAACTTAATGTGTAGTTTTATAATTATTGTGTTAAGATATCATGTCCGAATACTAAAATAACAATTTTATCGTTTATATACTATATATTTAAATTAAAATAAAATAAAATATAGCATGGCTACTATATCCTCAGCGCCAGCTCCAGGCATGCAACAGATCGATTTATCTAAGTTGAATCTTCCTCAGTTGGCTCAATTGAAACAGCAACTGGATCAAGTAAGAATATAATAATTTAAATTTTTATAATCTACAATAAAAACTGACTTACGAGTAACATAATTAATGTAGCCCCGAGACGCGAGAAAATTCTTACGACCGCAAACAAATCAAGTAGCTCACGCGAGTAGTTGGCGCAGAAGTTATTTTTATAAAAATATATATAAAATTAAAAGTTTATTTATCTATTAACAAATAAGTAGGTCTAGTCATTGATACATTTTTAATATTTTATATACAATATTGCATCCCATAAGTGCAGAACTGACGAAACACTGAAGATATTGACGGACTTCAATTGTTACACATTTTGTCTATACTCATGATATATGGTATAGAATATATGTAGAATATATGGTATAGATATATAGTATGAATTTTTTACTTTTCGTCTTTGTGTAATTATAATAACTTGGATTTTTTTCCAATTTAGATTAAAATCTATCTTTTAATATTATTATTATTAAATTACAGGAGCTAAATGTTTTCCAAGATTCTTTGCAAACATTGAAGATGGCTCAAGGTAAATTTGTAGAGTCTGGTGAAAGTGTGGACAAAATAACACCAGAGACTAAAGGGAAAACCATTTTAGTTCCACTTACAGAGTCTATGTATGTTCCTGGAACTATAGCCGATGCTGAAAATGTCATTATAGATATTGGCACTGGGTATTATGCACAGAAAGTGAGTATTCCTAACTGGGTTTCCTCTTTTGTAATTATTTTTGACTTGACTTTTAATATAGTTTTTTCAATGGGTAAATATGGAATGGAAAATACTGCCAGTGCTTGTGGTGTACTATCAATAGTGATGGTTGTCCCATTAAGAATTTTTCTGTGCTGTGGTCAAAACTACTTTTTCTTTTGTCCACCAATAGCATTAAGAAAGTCCAAAAATGGTTTGTTTATATAGAAATATCTTGTCTAAGATGAATAAATACAACAACTGGCAACTCAGAAAGCAGTCAAGTAACAACATAGTTTAGAATGAAATATGCGATTAATTTCTACTGTTTTCATGTGACGTTAGTAAAAGAGTTTGAATGCATTTATTGCAATTTTGTCTTGCCTATATATGTGTGTTATCTACAACCTTTTTTATATGAACTGTGAATTATTTTTTATTTGAAAGATGGTTTAAATACCTGTGGTCTCATTATTTTAATCAAGATTTGATTTGAGACTGGTCATTATAAAATTTTAGTATGTATTATTATTTTAGGATATTGATGGTGCGAGAGATTATTTTAAAAGAAAGGTTCAGTTTGTAACAGAACAGATGGAGAAAATTCAAATGATGGGTATAGAAAAATCTAAAGCAAGAGAAGCAATCTGTATGATTATGGAAATGAAGATACAAGCACAGGCACAGGCACAAGCACAAGCACAGGGACAATCACAATCGCAGAAAGCTACTAGGTCATAACATTAGATTATCCTAATGTATTTCCTAGCTACTGAATGAATATTCAAGCTGAATTCATATAAATAACAGTCTTTATGTTTAAAGAATTTCTATAATTAAAAAATACCATTTTTATATTTTGAATTTACGAAAATCAGTTGTATTTAGCTAACTTACCTTAATACTAATTTTGAAATTTTGAGTCACTTTAAAAATGTGTCTCAGCTTCTCATATCTTATTTTAAATTATAAGATATTGTAATTTAATATTAGTTTGCATTAATAAATTTATTAACAGTGGTTAATGATTCTCATTTACCTATTCTTAACTGAAAATATTCCATTGGTTATTGTCATAGAAATATTTTTTTATACTGTTCAGTTTTATTGGGGTTTTTTATCTTATCTCTAATATACATACAAGTTCTAGAGTGCGATATTGCATGTGTATCTGTTGGTGTAAAGATATTTATCTATATTTTAAAAACCTCTGTTACAAATATGCAAATACTTCAACAGACTCCAATCAAGCAAAGGTCGTCTTTGTCTGTATTTGAACTGCCTGTCAATTGTGTCGCTATGAATATTCTGATATTCATAATATTGTATAATTTATTTTAATGGCTCTATAAAGAGCTTCTGATGAACATACATAGTGATACTTTCTTATCCCAAAAGATTTCAATGTTTCCTTTTCGTAAAAGAATATGTAATCAAATAATATCTTTCTTTCCTTACTTTCTTTCTTTTCATATTTTATTCCATTCTAACCAGAATTGATAACTAAATAGTTTTTAGACAAATATTCATTAATTTATTAATATTCATTAATTATTTTATCATTTGCAAAAAAACATACGTGGTCTACTTTCTCATTTGACGGCCTCGGTGGTCTATTGGCCTAGTACATCGTCTTACTTCCGATTGTCGAGGGGTCGACTCCTTGCACGTGTATAGTGTAATTAAGTGTTTCTGTCCGTTTCCTAGTACCCTTAGCTTGAGATTAGATGACGCTGCGTGGATTATCCAGGGATATTATTATTATTATTATTCTCATGGACATAGGAGTTAGTAAATAAAATAGAATTAAACTTGTGACACCAAAATGATTTATTTTTTTAATAGGCCGAAATGATAGCGCTGATATCTACAATATAATGACTTATTATAAACTATATTAATAATTATCTACAATATTTCTTAGAATCACAAAACAATATTAACTAAATAAGGCAACGACTATTCCTTAAATTTGTAAATAATGTCTAAATAAGTGTCATAAATGAAAATTTTAATTTTAATCGAGTATTTCTTACCATGAACACGTGAAAAGGTGTTTGGATAAAAGGTAATCTTTAAACATTAATAAGGAATTTACATTGATATCAGCTTTAAATAATATTAATAGGTACATTATATTAAAACTGTAGTTAGAATCATAAGCTATTGAAATGTTGCAAAATTCTCAGACTGTAGGTAGCTTCATACATTTAGCAATTTGAACTGTAGTCCTATAATGTAATAATATATGATAAATATATATACATCTGTGTAGCTGAAATTTAAAAAGATTTAGGTACAGTATTACCGAATGAATTGTTTATAAATACATTTTCAAATCTAGTTGCATTAAACTGTATAGGTACTCTAGGATATACATAGATGTAGATAATGAAAAGAAAATAATATGAACGACACATCGTTAGTTAACACTTGTATTTTTAGAATGCACTTATTTCAAATAAGGAAACTAAATGGATATATTTAGATTAAAAAAGCAAATACAAAGAGAAGGAAAATATGTTTTTTCTATCAGCCACAAAAGAATATTCGACATATATGTGTACCAAACATCACTTGATTTATTTAATGTTTCTGATATTTTTCGCGTATACTTAAGAAGGATAAAGAGTCCAACAGATGTGTAAATAAAACTGATGCTCACTGTACCTATATATTTTTCACAATGTGTTTAAATGGTACATTTTTCGTATATCATTTAATATTTCACTCTAATATTGACTGATATCAGCACCCTATATATTAACTCGTTTATGTATTAGTAAAAATATTCATAATTAACTGTAAGAACTAGATAACTATCTATATACAATTAATTACATTATGCCGTATTTAAATGTAAGATTTACCATATCGGTACAAAGATCATTGCCAAACTTATATTATGTCGTCGCTCTTGGGAAACAGTCATTTCTTATAACACCATGAGTCCCACATACACATTTGCGCTATCGAGTGTTACACGAACAGATCGCTTGCCTGCTCGGCAAAGTCCTTATCTCAAATGGTGTAGTATTCAGGTGCGAAGTCATTAGCCAAATTGCTGAGGAAGTGGAAGTCTGAGGAGGAGTTGGAGTTATCGCCGGCGGGAGCGGCATGCGTTGCTTCATAAAACTGTTGGAACGAACCGTACTCGCCACATTCTCCTGCGCTCCCGCCATACGCTTCGCCGGTTGCGCCGCCCTGTGTAGCGCCTGCTCCATATCCGGATGCAGTTGCCCCTTGTTGCGTACCGTACCCACTCGCATCGTAATATGCATTTTTAGCGTACTCAGTGCCATGTGAATTTTTTTGGTTGTCATTACCATAGTAGCTGTGTGAGTGGTCATGTTGACCGTCGTGATAATGGTAACCGTAGTGGTTGTTCGAATATGCCATGTGCTCACCGTAACTTTGAGATTGATCGTATCCTGCATGCCCATATCCCGCTTGGTCCTTTGTGTACGTCGCGTATCCATAATTTTGATACATTTCGTGTGGATAAGTCTGTCTAGATCCAATGCCATTGGCAGGTCTCGCAGGAGAACCTTCTTGTTGCCGTCCATGTTGTTGGTTTCGTACGTAAGTATGTTGGTCAGTGCCTTGTAGGCCTGAAGCATAACTCTCGTAATTTCTATTTCCTTGTGGGTACTGGGACAACTTCCCAACAAATTGTTTTGAATCCATCCGGAAATCTGGATGAGGAATAAACTGGCCAGGCGGCGCATTGCCTCTTATAACATACGGAGGCATTGCATTAGGCACAGCCTGGGGATGAGGTGGACCGGGAGGTCCATTCGGAGGCGATGGCCGAGGATAATGACCAAGTGGACTCTGATGGATACTCGATGGTGTCCCCGGTGTCGACGATGGTGTCAAATTCACAGACGAGAATTTGGCCCCATCTGGTAAACCTGTTATCGGCCCGAGGCCGTCTTTAGATGATGAAGGTGAAACTTTGCAAGAAGCATCTAAGGAAGGGGACCGTTTTCTTGACTCTTGCTTAATTCGCTTTGCTAAATTTCGAGTTGCTGCAGGGACTGTAGAAGACGGAGGATGTGCATCTCTTGAGTCGTCCTCAGCTAATTTATCTAGAGATGATGAAGATGCTACACTGGAAGCACCATCACTAGCAAAACTGTTATTATTTGTTGCGCTAGGTGTATTGTTGTTACGTGTTCGGGATGCAAGCTCAGGTAGGTCTTCGGCTGGCGAACACAATGCCCCCGGCGGTAGTTCGCAGCCCTGACAACTTTTCTTGCCAGATAATGGTCCGTCATCGTCCAGAAATTTGTCTAGTCCCGTCTTTGAACTTTTGCCGCCTTCAGAAGTAGTGGAGTCTTTGTCATCTCCATCTTCACTTTTGCTCAAAGTTTGTCTCTTGTGCTTCATTCTTCTATTTTGAAACCAGACCTTCACCTGTAAAAATGAAATTATATTAGTCAATATTTACTCAAATATCTTTTATTTTTTAGCATTATTATTAGATTGTGGAATTAACTAGGATATTTTCCATTTGATTCGTTCGGTGCGTTCTTCTACATAATAAAAACAAGTAGGTAAGGTACCTATATTATTTTTAAACCGACTTATTATACATAGACACAATATCATAAGTATGTTTAAAAAGAATTTTCGTACATATCTATTAGAAATATTATAGTAGTCACGACTTTCACTCCCTTTCAAATTATTTTTTTAGTTTAAACACACCCTGTGCCCTTCGTCGTGATACCTATAATCTAATATTCATGTTAAATTTCATTAAGATCGTTCCGCCGTTTAGTTGTGGAAAGGTAATAAACATACAAGACGGACAGACACACTTTTGCTGTTATAAAATTAAGATAATTTTATCTATGGTTAGGTACATAGGTACCTAAATAGGTAGGTACCTATAAATATATTGCATCAGTAACTACCTGTCTCTCGGTCAGGTCCAGCGATGCAGCGATCTCGATTCTTCTAGGTCGGCAAAGGTATTTATTGAAATGAAACTCCTTTTCGAGTTCCAAGAGCTGCGTATTGGTATAAGCAGTACGCAGCCTTCGTGGCAGACCATTTTCTGAAAATAATGCAAAATGCACGTTATTGCATCGTTCCTCCTTTACCTATTGAAATAAGTTAAACATATTCTGTAATAACCAAATGGTAGATCATAAGCTACTATTTAAATCGCATGGTGTAGTTCTTAAGGCTAGAGTTACATATAATTAATTTTGTAGAACGCTATTCCTAGAAGCTTTCAATAACAGGGTTGCGAGGCGGTTCGCGGGCGCGCTTTCCTTTAATATAATAACTTGATCGCATGTCAGAGTACCGCCCTTGACGCCATTGTGTCGAAACGGTGCTCTTTTTATTTTACCACAAAATACGAATTGGAATTCGAAATTCAAATTACAAAAGGGCGTCGAATAATGGGGCGATAGCGTTCGCGTGTCGTTTCGGTCGTGCGCGTCCGCAATGTCATCGGGTGCATTTGAAATAATTCTTAGTGCCTAAATAATAAAGACTGTATTCAGCGTATTGCTATTGAATAATGTTTGTGTGGTGGGGTTGGTGGCAGTGGCGGTTGATTGACGTTGCTCGTCAGCTCTCGCTTTCGCCATTGGACAAGGGCAGCTGTCAATCAAACGGAACGCGGCCCTCGGTTACGCGTGGCTCGTTGGCCTCGATCTGCCTACAAAATCAAATTTCAAAATTTCCCTACTGTACTGCGCCCACATTTACTTGAGTTATTCATTTTCATTATATTATAAACCACGTTACTAAAAGTATCTACCTAATATTGTCGACGTCCGTAAATGTAACATTAATAATTATAAAGGAGGTACCTTTATAATTATTAATGTTACATTTTGGTAGATAAGTTCCATGTATCTAACTCTGACTAAACTAACTTGCATACGTTATACGTACTTGAACAACGTTACTAAATTATCAGTTTACTGGAGCCGAAACTTGATAGCCCTTGGTCAGCCACTAAAATTATTATGAATTGTGAGTACAGTCGGTAACAAAATTGAAAGTCGGTGTTTATGCAAATATACACTTAAGTGGCGGTGGCTTAGGTAGTACCTAATCAGGAGTAATGGCTAGCTATGTATCATGTCAGGTTGGCCTCCAGCGTCAACCAACAATAGTTTCCAGGGAAGATCACGTGGTCCATTAGTCGTGGTCCAAATTATTATAATTATCCTATCATACTCTACTGTTGTTTATAGGTTACCTATTTCAGACACTCAGAAATTTGTCCTAGTAATTTTTGCATTAAATTTATAAAAAAAAAATGTCTATGTAGGTACTCTTTAGTAGTCACCATTTTATAAGATATTATTAAATTATTAAAACAACAAAGAGGTGGTGTCACTGCAGGTGTACCATAAAATAATAAAAAACACTTAAAGAGGTAAGGAATTATTAGTACTTAGGTAATAGGGATTTGTAGCTAACATTGCTTGTAACGTACCAGTTTAGGTGCGATCTTCACATGGTCTCCATTAGAAACCACTTATTATTGTTCACCTTGATGAGATAATTTAATCTAACTTTATTTCAACCAATAATTTTTCACTGGTATACCTATCGTACGTAAAGTTAAAGCCCAAACATTTAATCATATAGGACATTTTCGTCAGTTTATGCATTTCATTATTTATTAATACTAAGTAGGTATACCTATCGTCCAGTTCAGTTATTAACATTAGTTAAGAACAACTGACCACAAACACAATTGTTGCAGACGCAGCATATTATTATTAATAAAAGTATATTGCAACTCTGTTTAATTGCTACGACTTGTGTACGCGGTTGTACAGAGGGACGTAACCAAAAGATGCAAGTTGGTAAGTTTTTGCTCCAGATAATAGGCACGATTATGCGGGCTGGAGAGGTGCCGCGTATAATGTTCGCATTATCACGATGTTATACATTTCCCTCCACTGAACAGTGCACACCGAACAACTGAACCGTTCCAGTAGGCTCTTCTGTCTGATGACTTTTGTTTATCATTATATATAAGAAGATCATATATATAAATAATGTTGTTGGTCGTTGCTAGGTACCCTTTACTACTTTTCTGGACGTAGGTGTACCATCTCCGCAAATTGCATATTTTATCAATACTATAATTTGTACTGGTAAAATATGTATTGAGGCCTTATTGTTTCGGTTTATTATTATCAATCTATTTATTACTTTGCTAATCTATTTAATTAGGTACATATATCTACTGTGTTTCAATTGTTAATGTGATACTTCAGTACCGTAAATCATTGATAAAAATAAGAGGCATAAGTAAATTTACGTAAAATAGTTACCTGTTCAGAATATCTGTGCATATTATTAGATATAAAAGATTATTAAATTTAATAGAACATTTTAAGCTAATAAATTTGAAGAGCACGTTTTTCATAATATTACTAGGTACTTTTAAAGTTGAAAGTAAAGGATATAATATACTTATTATATCCGTAAGTAAAGGATATAATATACTTATTATATCCTTTACTTTTAAGCAACCTTAAGGTTGCTAATTATAACGGATCAAAACTAGAAAAATATAATAATTCCAAAATATTTAATAAGTTAACAAGAAGCGACATAACAAAAATACATTTAAAAGTAAAACAGTATCCTAAACATTTTTGTAGACACGTGTAACGAATATATATATTGTTTCTATAGATATGTATGTATAGATGTAGGTATGTGTATCTTTATATTATGCATTTATGTGTACCTATGTATATATAAAAGTAAATTTTAAGCGCTTTAGCTATAGACAAGTATTTTACGAATTTTCTTTCAAATTCCAATATTATAGATATTTATCTATTAATGATTACTTAAAATGCAGACGGTAAAATGAGAGTTGGGTAGTAAATGTTTTTAAAGACGTTATAAATGTTTTGCAGTAAATACGCTGGTAATAAATGATTGTTAAGTTATTTCGACTTGGGTAGGTTACCCTCTTGCGGACGACTCCGGGTATCGGGGTACCTACAGTGACAGAAGATTTACAGTGGATTAGGGTCACTTAGTACATGGCTCGAGTCAAGAGTCAAGTCGTCCGCACATAATTTAATATTGTTACCAGCTATACCCTTGTTTTATTGAATTGTTTCACTATATGCAATAAAATATTAGAAATCGTAGGCTCGTCTGTCTGTATGTTGTCAATAATCTCAAAAGTTTTATGGGGTTATCAAACTCTCTATACATCTATATTAGTTGTTACCCGCGATATCGTTTGCGTGAAGTTTAACTTTCTTTGTTCATAAAATGAATAAAGTTTCTAAAATACAAGTAACCTAAGCTATACATTACCTATCTGCGAGTGAAAGTCTCGTCAAAATCGATCCAGTTGTTTCGAAGATTGACAGAATAAAGGACAGTCAAAAACGTTTTAATTTATTTTTATTCCTAAGTACCGTATATACTTTCGTATGCATTTAGTGAAAGCTTTTAATTAAAAATTATAAACAGATACTTATATATTTGTATATAATATACAATTATAAAAAGTAACTTAGGTATGTCCCTCTCCATTTCAAATATTTTGGGTAAGTATTTTTATGTCAATTAGCTATTAAACAATCAAATACAATTACGTTTGATTATTATAATGTCACGTATGACATGTGGTCCAAAGACACGCTTTGTTAGAGAGAGAAGTTTATATAGAGTTTTGCGCATTCATATAATAAAATATTTGAAGTTAACTGGAACAAAACAAGGTTTATTATATAAAATATTTAATAATCAACAACTTAAACGCATATAATTATCATTTACACAAATTCTTTGGAAATCAACAAAATCAAAACTGCATTTAGTAAAAGCTTTTAATTAAAAATTATAAACAGATACTTATATATTTGTATATAATATACAATTATAAAAAGTAACTTAGGTATGTCCCTTTCTCCACAGTGGGCAAAATAATTCCTGCTTTCAGATCAAGTCGTATCTTCTTTTTTGGCAATTTATTTGTTTTTTGTTTTTCCAATATTTTGGGGTATCAATGATTGACTTTTTATGTCAATTATCCAAGCTATTAAACAATCAAATACAATTACGTTTGATTATTATAATAATCGTCATTTTTTATGTATAATTAAACTCTGAAATAACAAATTGCATCATAAATACAAAGTAAGAACTGACTATGACATGTGTAATCGTCATCACCAAAAGATTAAACACGGCTTATATTACATAAAATGACACGATGCTGATTTCAAAATATAAATATATTACAAAGGAATGAGTCTCTCATTTAAGACAAAAATCCAATATTTCAAGCAAAAAACAATACTCACTTACGGATGTGTTCAGAGAGAGAAGTATAGCCTTTTGTGCGCTAGAGGAGGGGTTTCGTACCTATAAACCGTTTTTGAAATACTTCTAAATATATGTAGTTTACGAATTTTTATCACAATTATGTAACTTGATAAAAAATTTGTTTGAACGAGTGTTTTACTTCCAACATTCTGGAAAATATTAATCAAAGTTTATTCCATCTTTAAAAATATATGAGTGTGACGAAATAACGGAGTCTGCAGGTAATGAATTATCGACTAATTGACCATAGCTGTGTCTAACATTTTTGATTAGCAACTAAAGTTATTTCGGTGGCGTAGTAAACAATTTGCAAGGATACGTGTCGAGAGAAGCCCCTCGGGTAACTTTAAATAATTAATCAAGAGGCGGTAAAGGATTAATGCGGTGGCCAGTTGGCGGTTGGATGCCATTAGAGAACGTTCGATGCCCCTACACTAAATGTTGCGGTCACATTATTTGTGTCGGCATTCGGCATATGGTACCGACTTTGAGAGAAACTACACAGTTTACACATATAAAATTTGTTGCTTGAACAATTTAATTTCGAGTATGTGCTTACCCAATATTTAGCTTAGACAGTAGATATTTGTAGTGACAAAAACCCAAAGCAAGCGTATTTTTGGATTATTAGAATATTATGTAAAAGTTAGTTGTGAAGAACTACACAAAATGTTACTTTCATAAGAATCCTAATAGGTTTTTAATAATATATCTAGATTT